CCGGCACTACTGTAACCAGTTGCAAAACTCTGTGCTCTTTTGTTTTTCAAGCAGAACTGGCTCTTTAAATGGTGACGGCATGCCTTTCAATCCCCCAAGCCTCAGCCTCGCCCCCCTCGCCCCCCCCCCCTTCCCCGCCCTCCCGAACCCCCCCCCTCCTGACCACCCACAGGGGGGGTGGGGGCTTGGGCAGGTTCCGGTCAAGACTCGTCGCGTAGCGTTCGAAGTGAAACTAATTTGAAAACAGAAGGTCGATGAAATGCCAAGCTCCCACCAAAGAAGAAGGTTTGGCTGCAGAGAAAAAATCAAGCTTGGTTTCTGGATCTGTGCCAGCAAGTACAACCATAGCAGGCTCATGTGGAATGAGGGGAGGGGTAGAGTAGATGTGTATCTATACATATAATGGCGCAACAAAACTAAGTAAATTAAACATGTGACGACGCGTCCGAGTGATCGTAATTTGTGTGCCTGCGTCGACAGAACAACCGCACCGACTGACTACTTGCAGCATTCCACTCTTCATTCCTGGGGATCCTTATGACTTAGTTTAGGTGATACTTCTACACTTGCTCGAAGTCTGCCTGAGACCGTGTCTGGAGAGGCTTGAACATGGGATGGGTTGTGGAAGTACATGCATCAGCAAGGCTGTCCTGTGGAGGCGGGCGCGTCAGCATTGCCGCAGCGCCGCCCTGTTCAAGAGACACCCTGCCGCCTTTCCCCAATCCATACAGTACGACTTGCACTGGCAACAGACGCCAAGCAGAAAGGGCACGGAGCAAAGTGCAGGAAAAACTGAACTGAAAACAGACGAGCGACACACGAACGGATCCACACATGACATGCCAAGATCTTCATAGGGGAAGGGCATGACCCCTATGCACACCCCTATCGGCCCTTTTGGCCCCTGCAAAGAGACTATGAGACCTCCTCTAGACCGTAAAGCCTAACCCTAACCCTATGGTGTTTCTGATATCTCTTGTTCAGGCGTGCAGAGGCGGGGCGCGTTGGCGATAATGCTATTTCGGGTTGTCCACTCTGGCCGTTTCTGAAAGCTTATGAGATGAGCATGAGGAGGTCCTGCGCAGGCGGCCGTGGCGGCACCATCGCTGCACCGCCCTCTTTGCAGGCGAGGTGATTGATATTCAACAGCATGAGACTGTCACGAAGGTGACGGCAGGCAAGATTGAGATTTCGCACCGAAAGCCCCTGGGCCTGGGACATGACCACGAGCACGAGGAACGAGGAAGGGTTGGTGTCAGGCACTGCTGGGTGTGTCTGCTTCTGCTGCTGGGGTCAGGGGGTAGCGGTCAGCTGTTCTTGTCTCGTTTCTCTCTTATGACAGCGTACAGGCGCAGAATCAGTGTTTCTGCAAGCCTAGGGCACACTCCACATGGCTAGCTGTTCGATGAGGGCGTGTCCCTGCCGATCCCTACAGATCCCTACCGTCGAAATTGTAAGTAAGTAAGAAGCTGCATCAAGCCAGCCTTGAACCGTGTGGCTGCTGGGATTCCCACAAGCGGTGGCGCGAAAGACACCCGCGCACAAGCCTTCGCATGGCTATATAATGTCTGTTCAGTGTCTCCACGGGAGCCCGAAATCCATGTCGTGCAGTGGCCAGAAAAACATGGTACCTGAACAATCCTGCGCAGCGCACCCTGTGACTCAGACGGCAGCTGGAGCAACAATGACAACTTTCACCTCTCGCACCCACTCGCCGCTCTCAGCTGTTCAATCTTCCTCCTCCTGAAATTGGGCATGGGCAGTGAAGATTTTAGCAGTGAGGAGGAGACAGCGTCAAAAGAAGTCTGCAGCACCCTGTGGTTTTTCGGCCTCTTCTGCTGCTGCTTGGACTGCCACAGTGTCCAACTCACGCTGGCCCTCCTGGTGAAGCCACGCGATCACACGAGCGATCTTGCCCCACTAGCATACCTTCTCTGGATGCGCTTCTGCTTCCACTGGGCTCACTGGGCTTCCCCTCCTTCGTGATCATTCGGCCGCCCTGCTCGTCTTGCTCTACAAGGCCCATTTCCTGTCAAATGAACGCACACGCACACACCACTGGCCGAGCCCCATGCTTCCATGCAATCATGTGCCAAATATGTTGCATCCTCCAGCTGCTGCAGAATGTACCGCGCGATCTTGCCGGAGGCTTTGGTCTCAGAAGGCAAGGTCTGGGCTCTGCCAAGACTGTGAGCCCGAAAACTGGGGGACGCACGAAGACATTGGTGCATGTTCCTCGGCGCTTCTGTCCACCATAGACCTTCTTGAAGGCACCTCACATATCGAACACCGCCAGTGCCGTGCTTGCTGCCATGCCCTGCCATGCCCTGCCATGCCCTGCCATGCCCTGCCAACACCGCCCTACCCATCAAATCATTGAAATGGAGCCATGCTGCCAACGCCCATGCCCTTGCGGATGTAGATCTTTCGCACCATGGATGCTGTTCTCACGTACAGCCAGTCTGGGTCCTTAGCTGAGACGCGCAAGTCTGAGCAAGAGCCAAAGTTGAAGATGCATAGAACTGTGAAGGAGAATGTGAAGACACGTGCTACTTCGACTTGCAACTCGTGAAGTCCCCCTGCTCCTCGCAAAACAGACAAGCCCGCCGGCGTCAAGTGCCGGCACCTATATCTCACGAGCATTCATGCTTCGTCGGCCATCCCAGGACGCCAAGATGTGCCAAGATGTGCCAAGATGTGCCAAGATGTGCCAAGATGTGCCAAGATGTGCCAAGGTGCAGAGGGTGGCAGCTCCTTGGCCTTGCTGGTCTTTACGACATCTGCCCACTTCGGCAGCTCGAAGCGGCCTTCAGCTTGCAGCTTGCATGACACCACACGCCCTGCACGAAGCCTGCTGTGCATTCTGCTGCGTCACGGGCGACAGATGGCAACAGTCTCAGGGAAGGACCTTGGCGCTTGAGGTGCTGGGAGAAGGCCTTGATGAACTGCTCAGGCTCGACGTCCTTGACAGTCACAATCTTCCGGCCCTCCTGGCAGCTGGGCAGAGCTGAGCCCGCCTGGGACCCAATTGATGGGGGTAAGGTAAGGCGCAGCTCGTCTCCACCGAAAGCAAGATCACGGCGGCACCTTGAAGTAATTGTCAAACACCTCGATGGACATGATGGACGCCAGGACCCGGGTACGAGAAAGGGTGAACACCGCAGCCAAGCTGCGAGCTGCGGCGGCCACAAATCTAATCGTGGAAGGTCAAGCGACATGCAGACGCTAGGCCAACTAGGCTGCAAGGCGGTCGAGGCGGGGGACTGAGTCGGATACCCATTTTCGACCGATATCTTCTCGCACACACAAGCTCTCTGATCCCTGCCATCTCAAGCTGTGGACAGTTTTGCCCACGGCTCAGTCTTCCTCCTCCTGCAGAGCTGAGCACACATTCGACTCTGATCGCAAACTAGAATTATACTCCGCGTGGCAGCATGGAGGGCAATCAGCAGCTCAAAAAAGGTGCTTAGATGGTGCCGGGAAGGTAGCTCACAACAAAAGACACAGCCAGCCTCTTCTGCCGCTGCCTGAACTGCGACGGTGTCCAGCTCTCGCTGGCCCTCCTGTGAGGACTCACAGCCATGGAGAGTGGGGGACGCAACCAAGCTCCCTGGGACCACCATCCTTCGTGATCATCCTGCCACCCTGCTCATCCTGCTCCACAAGTCCCATCTCCTGGTAGGCATACTCGTCATCTTGCACAGCCACAAGAACTTGGATGTGGTGTGCACAAGCATTCGGCCATGCCCATGCTAGACCAATGATGCGTCCTCCAGCTGCTGCAGAATGTACCGCGCGATCTTGCCGGAGGCTTTGGTCTCAGAAGGCAAGGTCTGGGCTCTGCCAAGACTGTGAGCCCGAAAACTGGGGGACGCACGAAGACATTGGTGCATGTTCCTCGGCGCTTCTGTCCACCATAGACCTTCTTGAAGGCACCTCACATATCGAACACCGCCAGTGCCGTGCTTGCTGCCATGCCCTGCCATGCCCTGCCATGCCCTGCCATGCCCTGCCAACACCGCCCTACCCATCAAATCATTGAAATGGAGCCATGCTGCCAACGCCCATGCCCTTGCGGATGTAGATCTTTCGCACCATGGATGCTGTTCTCACGTACAGCCAGTCTGGGTCCTTAGCTGAGACGCGCAAGTCTGAGCAAGAGCCAAAGTTGAAGATGCATAGAACTGTGAAGGAGAATGTGAAGACACGTGCTACTTCGACTTGCAACTCGTGAAGTCCCCCTGCTCCTCGCAAAACAGACAAGCCCGCCGGCGTCAAGTGCCGGCACCTATATCTCACGAGCATTCATGCTTCGTCGGCCATCCCAGGACGCCAAGATGTGCCAAGATGTGCCAAGATGTGCCAAGATGTGCCAAGATGTGCCAAGATGTGCCAAGATGTGCCAAGGTGCAGAGGGTGGCAGCTCCTTGGCCTTGCTGGTCTTTACGACATCTGCCCACTTCGGCAGCTCGAAGCGGCCTTCAGCTTGCAGCTTGCATGACACCACACGCCCTGCACGAAGCCTGCTGTGCATTCTGCTGCGTCACGGGCGACAGATGGCAACAGTCTCAGGGAAGGACCTTGGCGCTTGAGGTGCTGGGAGAAGGCCTTGATGAACTGCTCAGGCTCGACGTCCTTGACAGTCACAATCTTCCGGCCCTCCTGGCAGCTGGGCAGAGCTGAGCCCGCCTGGGACCCAATTGATGGGGGTAAGGTAAGGCGCAGCTCGTCTCCACCGAAAGCAAGATCACGGCGGCACCTTGAAGTAATTGTCAAACACCTCGATGGACATGGCTCGGGAGGCAGGTGGGAGGTAGCCGAGATATCCGAGAAGCGGTTTCTACCGCAGCCAAGCTTTGAGCCGCAAGGACACGATCGCGCTCGTCATTGGCCCAGGTTCGGGTCATTAAGCGGATATCCTTCTCCCTGGTTGGCTTGGTCAGACTTCTGCGGCTGTTTACTTCACGTGATTGAGGAGCCCCTTTTCATGCCACATGGAGTCACATCCCTTCCATAGGTTCCATAGCTTCCATAACAACCTCAGTTCCGTCGAAGTCGAACTTCATGTCCGACTCATCCTGCGCCTCTTCCGCAGCCTCCGACGCGCGACTGCATCTCAAAGATCCTGAGCATGTCCTCGTGCTATCTGCTAGCCCTTGCTAAGGCCAGCACATCGACAATCACCACGGACCTCCCACACACGGGATCCCTACTTCTGACTGGTCCCTTCTTCACTCTGACTCCGTCCCATACCCTTCACATGGCTTGTATGGTACTGTAGATTATGTAGAACTGTATTCAGCATGCAGACGACTCTGCGGGCCTTCGGTTCAGCTCCCTCGGATCCACTGGCGCACCTTTCCCAGTTCCCAGAGAGACTTCGCAGAGGCCACTGGAGCAAGACTCTTTGGCCTTCCAACTCGGCCATTCGGGTCATGAGCTTGGACTTCGTCCTTTGCACCGCAAGTTCCAGCTTCGGACCGTGACTGGGGAGCCAGTTTGTGGCACCTGCGCTGCATGTCGCGGTTTTTCTCCATGTATGCATCTCGCACCTCCGGCGGCGCATCCTGTTGAGAGAAGAAGGACAGAAGTGAAAGCGCTTGCTACAAGCAATAGCAGCAGTGCCTGAGGAATGCCCTTCCGGACTTTCGTGAAAGGCATCTTGTAGCTCCTCAGAAAGACCGGGAGTTAAGACGGAAGATGCAAGGAGCCAACTCGGCTTTCGCTTTGCGTCACAGGCTATCTACAGCTTGCAATAGTCTAATCTGCAGTGTTTTTTGCAGCTGAAGCTGCTACTGCTGCTACTGCTGCTACTGCTGCTACTGCTGCTACTGCTGCTACTGCTGCTACTGCTGCTACTGCTGCTACTGCTGCTACTGCTGCTACTGCTGCTACTGCTGCTAGATTGAGGACATGTGCCGTTTACAGCTTTTGGCAGCTGGCCTCGGTCTCCACGCAAGCTGCAGGCCCTGCACAAAAGGCCGTGTCAGATGAGAACCCAAATCGAGTCGTGGTGGTGACATGAGGTGACATGAGGTGACATGAGGTGACATGTGGTGACATGTGGTGAACTTGCATGCTGACTGTGCTGGTGCTTCGAGCAAGCAAACTTTCAAGGCCACTGTCAAGGCGTCAAGGCAACCAAGTTGTCCTAAAGCTGTTTGGCCGGACGGGAGGCCACGGGGATGAGATACGGCGGATGAATCTGTCAAAGCTGCACCACCGTGCCGCAAGTCACCAAGCTTCTCATATTTGCCCTCGACCTAGCCTGGCCCGGGTGGGTCATCTTGCGGGCTTCATGGGCGTGAGACCACTCCATACCACTCCTCTGCTCGTCGCCTTCACCTCCAGCACTCCAGCATGCCTGCTTGGAGCTCGCGCTCTCTGGTATTCACTTGGACGGCATGATTTGATGCCTGGCAAGGCGACCCGCAGCAAACTCAGCCACAAATCCGGCAACCGTGTCTGCTGATAGAGCCTCCGGACCTTCAGGCCCAATGTAGTAGCTACCGTTGTCTGGCAAATTGATGAGCAACAGACGGGGAACCCCAGTGTGTTTCAGGCCACAGAGTTGGTTCAGCTGTTTGGTCAATCCACCCCCACAGCCAATGAACAACCCGTAGTCGTCACCGGCTGCCTTCAGGGCCTCGGCAGCCTGGGGTGCTTCATGTTCCTCGCAGAGGCAAATAACCGATGGCGAGTCGTTCAGACGCTTCGGGTCTGAGACTGCCATGTCCCGACCGCTGGGCTCAGTCCAGGGGTAGTGCTCGCCTTCGGGGTCATCGACCAGTGCCTCGCGTGCTCCTGTGGTGATCGTGTTCCCCTCTGGGTCGACGAGTGCCAGCGTGGGAATGGTGCGAACCTCAAAGTGCTGGCAAAGCTCCTTGTTTATGGAGTTCTCCTCATAAGGCAAAGCCAGCCAAGGCATGGAGGAGTAATAGTCAGCGAAGGATGGTTCATCTCGATCCCATGACACGAGGATGCAGCGCAGCCCCTTTGCGTGCAGATGCTGCTTGTAGCTGTCGATCAGAAGAGGCGTGAAACCTCTGCAAGGGGGACACCAGCTTGCTGAAAAGTAGAATCCCACTGCGGAAGCTCCTCGCAAGGCCTCTGATGTCAAAACCCGTGAGCCATCTGCCTTGGACAGCAGCTGCTTGCTAAGCAAGCGCAGAAGATCGGGCATTATCCACTGCTAGGGAAGCCGAAGCATGAAGCGATGCAGCTGCGGGACAGAAGAAGAAGTGCAACCGACAAGGAATGCAAATGCACCGGCTTCACAGATCAACGCGCATCCGACTCGCTATTGGTATGTCTCTGCAGAGCTAGGGCGTGCCTGAAAGTTGAACCAATCAGGTACGGAGTGCCCTTGAGACAGCACCATACGGCGCATAGCCTGGCTCTCACAACTGACGGAGCTACAAAGCAGCTTTGCCTCATGGGCATGGGCTAACATCTGCCGACAGCGTGCAGGCACAAGCAAGCAATTGCCTGCTGCGCAGGCTGCGTTTGACCGCATGCAAGTCACAGGGTGGAGGTGCAGACATGATCCAGACTTTTTGCTCATAACATGCCAGGCAAACTCCGAATATTTTCTCGCGGCCGGTGACGAACGTAACAGCAGTGCCCTTGCGGCCAATTCTCCCTGTGCCTGTCATTGTCACTGCCGAGACTGACAGCCAACGTTGCTGGAAGTGCTTAGGCAGGGCTTCGAGCTATGCCACTGTCGCAATTCGTCGAGGCACGGCCAATGCGATGAACGAATTCATCCAAGACCTGAGGGGCATCCACTGCTGTTGCACGCACTCCCCGCATGAAGCAAATATGAGCAGGGTACCAGAGGTAGCTCGTAGTTGATGACATGGGTCACGCTTTGCACGTCCAAACCACGCGCCTCCACAAGGCTGAATCATTGGAGACGGTGCATGGAGCAACGTCCGCAAGTGCAACGAGGACCAAGCTGCAATGTCTGTGGCGACCAAGATGTCAGCATTGCCCTCTTTCATCGCCTTTAACCAAAGCAACAGATGTCTGGACAGTGTCCTGCAATTAACATGAACGTGCACCTTGATGGACTTGCTGCGGAAAGACTGCGTCATACCTCCATGGCACGTCACCACCTCGCAAATGTTCAATCCTCTTGAGAAGGAGGTCACCTTTAATGACAGAGTTGCCGGCCTAAAGAAGCGCTAGTGCCATTTCGGGGTGTTCGGCAACAGTTCGGGCGAGGTCCTCTTTAAAAACTCAAGAACATTTCGGGCGGCGCGCCTTTCACATAAGCGGAGCGCTTGTTTTGACAAGGGCTGGGCATGGCTGGGCCGTGCAAAATCGAAAGCGTACTCCAAGTTCCCTAATATCGTTCCAAACCCTTCCAGTCTTAGTTTCAGGGTGGGCATCTTCGAACTGAATATGTAATCTCTTGAGGGATGGACAGTGGAGAGTGTCGAACATGAAGTGGTATGGCGAAGAGCTAAATTATAAGTCGGGAAAGTGCTTCAAGGGTGTCTAATGGCCGGCTGAGGGATCTTAAAACAGACGCAGCTTGCCGAATGCCCATCGAGGCACTCCCTCGAAGTGCTCCTTCAGGTAATGGTACACCTCCATGACCTAATAGTGGCAGATAGTGGCAGATAGTGGCAGATAGTGGCAGTGATACATACCAGTTCAAATCCGAGGTCGCGGCCGTGTCACGTCTCCGACAGAAAATGATAATCGTCGCCTGCTACGGTAAGCGCATGAGTCACTTGTCAGTCTCTGAACCAGTTCTCTGCAAGCCCAGGCCTCCTCGAATTCACGCGATTCGAGGACCGATCGCAGCCTGCAGAAGCAAAACGGGAGTTCGTCACACCCCTGCGAGTACAGTTCCTACCGCAGTTGGCCATCCCTCTTTGACCGAGCGTCTGGCATCTCCTGCTTGCATCGCACGCTGGAGTCTGTGCGTAGGCTTGTATGATGCAGTCGTCCCTGTGAGGCACTTGCTGTGAGCTTCGAAATGGACAACTGGGCCCTACATGGATACCGGAGGCCTTCTCAGAAGCTTTGCAAGACACACTCTACGAAATCCAGAACTCAACTGGTACAACATGGTTGCCTTCAAAAGCATCTTGTGCTGGACGAGATCACCATCATCGAACTGCACTCGCCATCGACCTTGGGTCACATGCTGACATGCTCGCATCTCACATCTGCAGAATCCAAAGCTGCATATGATCCAAGATCACGACGCCCAACCCGAAACTCTGCGACACCGCGCCTGGTCTCGGCATTGCCAGCAGCTGCCACGCCCTTGCAAAAGGATGGCCTGCCTTCCACCCTTTGTGATCACGGAGTCTCCAGGCTGAAACCTTTGCCCAGAAAGTGCCTTCCCGTCTTCCCGTCGTCTGTCTTTCAAAGTGCCCGAGCTCGTGGCTCTCGAAGAGCGCGATGCGGAGGGCGGGCGTCGATGAACACGTGAGATATGGTTGTCGGCTGCAGTGTTCCCAGGATGTGCCATTGCTGCAAGAAACATTGTGAACTGCTTCAGTACATGTGTATCAGCGATACTTGTTGCGACACCGCTGAGTGTCGAACCACTGGATTAGTTTGTCCGCCCGTGCAGTCTACCCAAACCTCCGGCAACAGGTGGCCCAAATTAACGTAAGTGATCCTTTGCAGCAACTCGGTAGTTCCCACATCGCCCGAGGTTCAAGCACACTGTGTTCCCACGAAGGCTTCTGCCAGCTCTCGCACGGAGAGGGGGATGGTGGCGGACCAGAACTCAGAAGCCACGTCAAGTGATGCATGGTTAACGGTTAGGCTACTTAGCAGAGGAAACTTCCTTCCCAAAGAAGCAGATGACTTGCACCGCATCTGCAGCTAAACCCGAAAACATTGCAAACAGACAAACAGTTTTGAGGACGGGTATCCGATCGCCCTTGGCCAGGACGCCGGGCCAACGCAAAGCCACCGAGTTTATGGACGACACCCGGCTCCATGTCGGAGACGCGGAGATGCCGCCCCGAGCCAACCCAACCCCGAGCCCGTCCCATGGAATCAGACGGCTTCTTATGCAATCTTACCCTGGTCGTGCAGCCTTGAACTTAAACACAAAGACACACGATGTGGCATGACGTTGCACCCCTTCTGCTCCATCCCTGTTCCTTCCTTCGCAGCTTGCTGCCCTGGTCTCCGTTCCCAACATTGAGGACTCCCCTTCCTTGAACCCTCGGGCTGAACCCTTCCCGAAGAGTCCTGGTGCTGAACCCAGCTTTTCAGATGTCATATGATGCTCATGGCGTGAAACTTTGCGGGCACAGCATTTGCTGATGTGATGCACCAAGTGGCGCTGTTGTTGCATTACTTTCCCGGCTATCTAGTCTCTGTGTCTGCTCCCTGCTCACCGGACTTCAGAAAAAAAAGCACGTCTTGAAAAATGTCACAAACACTCGGTCGCGCGCGCTCGTTTGGCGACCGCCAAGTCTACCAGGCCTCATATCCAAACATTTCAAGAAACTGCTGCTACTCAAATCATTCAAAGTCTGCCTGCCTTGCATCCGAAAGAAACTGGGTCCTCTGCATTGCACCCTGAGTGACGATCTCCTCGAGCTGACTTCCAAATCCTGCCACGCTCATGCGAGCGCTGCACATCACTGCCGCACTGTCAGTAACAAAAAGCCCCACGCCTAGCTCCATCATCCTGTCTACCTCGTCAAGGACCAGAAAGCGGACCTGTGTCTTGTTCCAACAGAAGAAGAATGACAACATGCTACACCAGGCTCGTATATGGAAGTGTTGCGATCACGGGCCTCATCCAAACGAATCATGCCCTTGTGCAGAGCGTCAATCAAGCGCCCCGGTGTCGCCACCTTGCGGCGAAGGTCCACAGGACCCATTCGCAGGACATCGAGAACCATACAACTGACAAGGATGGTGCAGTGCCGATCTATGGCTGGGCCATTGACCAAAACGTCTGCCCCATGGGCCAGATCACCTTGCAAGCAATGGCACGGAGACCCCGTCCCTGAGGTTCAAGTTTTTTCCCTCTGTCGGACATCTTTCAAAACAACCAACTGGCCTCAGAAACCAATTGCATCGGCAGACTCATTGCCCAGATTAATGGCTCCAGCCGCAGGGGCAAGCTTGAAAGGGCTCTCGCTCGTCATTCAGCCTTCATCGTACTCCATGCCAGATGCAAGCAGAATGCCATCCGGCTTCTCCGGGTCCGTGTTTACATGGGTCCGGGCTTCAGCGATCAAGTGTTTTTTATGAGTCATCGCCCAGCTACAGCTCTTGCCACAAGGGCAACCTTCAACGAGCTCTCCTCATTCAGCCCGACAGAGCCACTGCAGCGCACAAGTCTCAAGCCTGTTCAACCGAATCTCTCGACGGCTCAACGGCAAGTGCAGGAGACCACCAAGTTCTTGGTCAGGTCGGTCAATAGATCCACACAGATCAAAGCATCAATCCAATGCCCGCACACGCATGGAGCCTGGCGACTCCAAAATGCAAAGAAGCCCAAGCAGATGCTTGATATAGCAACGCCGCAACATGGCGCAGTTGCTGGCAGTTGCTCAACACGTCTCGAAAACATCTCGACACACAAGTGGACACCAGACCTCTTGAAACCGATGCGACGCTTGCTTTCACGACCCTCGGGATCCTGCGGAACTGTGATCGCAGGTTGCTGTCGCCGTAGATGGCCGCCTTACCCGAAAAGCCCTTCCAAGAGACGAGAACCTCTGAGCTGCACAGAAGGTGAGGCTCTGGCACTTCGCAAAGGCGAGTAGTGTAGAAACTCTTTGGCTTCATTGTGCACCTAGACATGTCGACATGTCTTTTTTGCTCGCACATCCAGTCTGCAGCCGCGTGCCAATCGCCTGCTCGCTGAGCTCCCTCGTTGGCACCAAGATCAGAGCCTTCGGAACTGCCGGGCCTTGCCATCTCCTGCTGGCAGCAATTGCCGAACTTGCTTTACACCGTGCATGTTTGCCAGTCTTCCTGCAACGTCTTCCTGCAACGTCTAGAATTTTGAGCGAGATACAGGGCCAGCAAACCCCAGAGTCGCTGGAAGTTGCAGTTGCAACGAAAAGCATGTAAATCCGTAAGATTGGCCATGACCAGCGAGTATGCCTAGCCGGTCCAGGCCCAATACCCAGAATGTTTTGAAGCAGAACTAAGAAATCAAGAAGCGGAATGCAGAAGCTCGGTGTCCTCTTCGGTGGTGGGTCAGGCCTCACGTGGAGTTTCATTTTCCGTCCAGTTCTGTGTGCTAAAAGATCTCTGTACAGTCTCGAATGGCCGGTTCTAGTGCGTAAGCTATCAGCATTCTCCTTTAGAACGGCTCGAATACTCACACATATCTCACACATAACATGCGTACTGGATTCTCGGAGCTCGGCGCTCCCACAACCCAGTCGACAGGCACCAGCTGTCGATGGATCTGCCAGCGGTGGAAAGGGTGCAAAAGGATAAAGTGAGGTCCATGTTGACGTGTGCCAATCGCGACAGCCGTGAAGACGAGGGGGCTTTCACAGACAGAAGTCTCATGCAGCTTGGCAAGGGGCAAGAGCTTGTGCTCCATGCCACAATAACAAAGATGGGAACGGAAAGGACCGAAATAACAGGCTGGCGTTCAGTGAGTAAAGGAGCTCGAACCGAAACAAGCGATAAGGAGCCGAAGAGCAAAATGTGAACGCATTTTTCAAGCAGGACATGGTGATTTCAGAGGGTTTTGCGTACTGGTTACATGGCTTGCATGCAGAAAGATACTGTACTCCTACGGCGCCGATGTGTGCATTGTATACTCTGGTTCCGACAGCTAGACTTGCCGTGGCATTCTCTCAAAGCTGTTCGAGCTGCTGGATTCTTACGTGGTGAAGTGTCGGGTGGCTCGGGCAGCTGGTGCAACCAGTACTTGCGACCAGTACTGCCACCTTGCATCCCTCGACTGGCTAAGTCCCCAAACAGCCCCAACCCCTAGTCAAGTTTTTGTTGCCGATTCTGTGCTGAAGTCAAGATTTCTGCAACGGTGCTAGCAGCTCTATGATCCTTGCTGGTGTCTTCTGGGTTTCACGAAGTCAACTGACACTGTTCGACAACCAAGGAAAGTCATAAATCCTAGACAAACAAGCTCATGATCGCAACTAGAACGACATCCCAAGCACGACCGACAGCAGTACTGGACAGGTGACAAACACGGCAGCAAGCTCACTTAATGACAGAGCATGCAGGTCGTGAAAAAAGGGATATTGATGCCCTGCGTGCCAACATGCTCCAACATATACCTTGCTCATACCCCGTGATTCTGAGACCGACTGTGGAAATCCTGGACCATGCTTGACAACGGTTGGCAAAGGTAGCTGGCAGGCCTTGCCCGCTGCCGCTTCGAACTCCAGAGCCGCCTGGCCGTTCTTGATTCCTGAAAAGAAGGCACTGTCATCATTTTTTGTGAGTCGTCTGACATGGCTGGTGCACCAAGCAAAGGCATGAACATGTTTCTGCAGCGCGTCTCTTGATCTTTTGCTTTCGCACGGCTCTTGCACAAGCGCTGTGCAAGCCGGTCGGCAACTCTGCACGTAGAGAAGCACAGCATGTCACCGATTGTCGTGTCACACATGGACCACATGTGACAACACAGCATCGTGGACCTTAGCGAGCGAGTGGCAAGTTCATTCAAACAGCTCGGAGGACTTCCGCGCCCGCAGCACGTCGCAGCTACGAGTATCGATCTTTCTTCGCGGCACCCTCAGATGCGGCTTGCTTGGCAACACGACCTACTACGAACGTTCGCTCCACAGGGCGCACGTTCTGCGTGTGCCTTTTCTGTGCCCGCGGTGACCAGTGTAGACAAAGACAATGATCAGGACGAGCAGCGCTGTGGCCCACCCTCACCCACCCTGGATACTTTTGGCGTCCATGGCGTTAGCCAAGCACAACTACTGCATGTACTACGTCTACTGTTTACTACCTCTCAACAAGCAACTTTGCACGGGGACCCTCTGGAAGGAGACCCTTTGAGATTCCTAGAGTGCGCTTTTCTGTGCACATCCTGCCAAGATGGTGGTGGGAGAGGAAGCTCGGAGCATTCCGAGCAAAGGCGATGGGCGGATAACGGGGCTGGCAGCTGTGGCGCTATACTTCCAAGATGCTGAACCCTCTCGTGGCGGGATCTGCGGGCACCACTTGCTCCGGGAACGCAATGTCAAGCAAGCATCAAGTTATGAAGTGCCTCAAAGCTACATGGTTGGCCTGCGAAGGTTCTGCAGTGTTGCCCGAGTCAAAGAGGTAGACCTGCAACTGCGCATAGATGCAACAGATGGCAGGATGAAAGTTGAAGCTACATAGATGATGCGTGGTCAACACATGTCAAACACGACTGACATCAAGAAGGTCCTGCCTGGTAGCTGGATCGGCCCTGCGGCACATAGTTGTAGATAAGCGCGGATTCCTCATCCGCTTTGGACTCGAAGTGGTGCGAGTTCTTGCGCGCCTCTGCGATGAAGAAATTGGCAAAGTATTGCATGGCCTTACCGGGACACAGCTTCCAAGAGCCCCCCCCTACCTTCGCTAGAGCACTCGGAAATCAAGCTTTAAACCGAGGTCTACAAGTGCGCCTCGATCGCATGACGGCCATGGTTGATGCCAGATTCATCTGCGCCCCATTCGAAGATTGGCCGTTCTGGGTGCCACTGGACCCCGTAGATGGGGTGGTCTTTGCCTTCAATCGTGGAGACGAACGTCTTTCCCGTTCCTCGGTTCATGGCTCTTCCGGCTTCTTATGGAAGCGGTTGCCATACCACACTCTGCCAAACATGCATCCACAAGATCCTCGACCCAAATTCTACGCACCTGTTTCCTTATATTCCTTCGAGTTGCATGAGGCCTACATGAAACAGCTGTCGGAAGAAACCGTTGCGGGTGCATCATCGTACACCATAGTACCCACGGTCGGCGAAACCGGACGATGAAACACAAGAAAGAAGCTCGGAGCGCGAAGCATAAGTCTACAAGGTGAGCGCATTTGGAACTGCCACGGCAGCAGTTCACAAGGAGGGGGAAAGAGGCCAGCGCATGATGTGATGGTGACAAGTTAAGTTCGATACTGCCACAACGCAAAACAAGGGTTTGGCAGCGATCCGGGCCTGACATCTGACTCGCCGAGACACCTGCCTACAAAACACTGTGCACCGTTGCGCGAAAGCATCAGCCCTGAACCGAAGAGAGGCGTCCGCACTCAGTTTAGCGAGGGAATGTAAAGCATGTAGTTCCGTAACGTAGGCACAATCGCGTAATTGCATACATGCCACTGTCTCGGTTTGTGGATAGCACAGAGAACAGGCTGGCCAGGCGCTGGTTGCGTGTGAAGCTGGCAGGGACCACACCATCATGGTGCAAGTTTGTGGTAATATTCTCCTCAGGTGAGGCCCCAAATGAGCGATGCAAAATCTACTGACAACCCAAATCTACTGACAATCCAAACATGTCAACGACTGCTGCTTTGCACCAGGTAGCCGTGGTCAACCAACGTAGAATGTTCGAAGGCACCTGTGGCCCTAGCAGCTTGGATGTCGCCGCCGTCTGCGTCAGCTCCAGCGGCAGCGACATATTCTCCGAGTCAAAGGAGTTTGTCTCCAAGACGGAGGTGCCTTCAGGGTGAGATACTGCATGGAGTTGCTTCGCAGGGCCAGCTGATGCAATCGCACTCACATGACTCACAACCCACATGCACCGTCTGACAATTGCAAGACCCTGCCTGCTGCCACCACCGACAGCGTCTGCAACCCCATGCAAGTGCCCCACAATGGAACAGACTCGCCAGCGGAACTCGCTCGCAGTGTCAGGTTGAAGAGCAGCGAAGCTGCCCTGAGATACCTACTGCAGTACAACTGCAGTACAACTCTCTGGCTCCGTCTCCATGAATCTTTGCATGCTAACACGTGAAACGGGTTGCCGAATCCGAATAAGATTAAACTCTGCATCTGAAGCACTTTGCTTCCGGTCCCCCCTCAATAAACACAGGAAGAGATAATGGGGGGGAAGTGGTGATACATGTGATGACCCAACACGACGGAAAAACTAGGAGGCACGCCCTGCAGGCATCAGCCCAAGCCTGTGCCGTTTCCCTTAACGCTGCAAAACCGAACGTGGCCATAGTCCATTGAGGTGCTGCGCAGCTGGAGGAGAGCTGTTGGGGTGCGCGATCTGGACGCCGCCGCCAGTGAATAGCACAGCGTTAACTGAAGCAAAAGCCTTGCCAGGAGAAACATGCTTTCACTGCAACATTACCGTCAAGATCCATGAAGATGGCAAGGCAGTGCAAGAGCTGCTGACTCCCAGACGATTGCCGACTGCGCCTTGGCAAGCTGCTGGTCATCCCAATCGTAGAGGATTGGAACAACGCGTCCTCCGGCAGCCTCCACATATTTGACCTGGACGTGTCAAATCAAGCGCCAACAGGGAAAGCTTAACGTGACGTTGACTACTCTGGCCGAATACAATGCTGCTAAACGCATGCTAGGAGACATACAAGGAAGCGAAGCAGCTGATACCACCGTTTGTGGCATCTTTCACTCTGTCGTAGGTTCGAGCCGTCTCACAACCATGTGCTGCTGGCACGGTTAGGACTCCTGACACTGTGTCAAAGCAAAGAATGCACTGTTCGGATCGGCTGCAACTTTGGCAGAAGGGTCGGGCCTACGATGGGCGCATCTGCAGCCTGGGACCCGCCAAGCAGCAGCGCGAAAGCGTGCAGGGCCAAGCCCGTCATTGCTGGCGAGCGTTTTCGACGTATTCGAGTCTAATCAGCCTGTGCTTGAGCTAACTGAGAAGACTGAGAAGATTTGAGACAAGCTTGAGTCTCTTGAGTCACTCAGTGTCCATGACGGGCTGTAGGCTGTGGGAGCATGAGTCACCTTTTGATCGACTTGGTGGTCTTTTCATGCAAGCATGGCAAGTCGCTGAATCTGAAGCGGCTGTCTTGCAATGGTTACCATGAAGCTCGCGTCGCGCTGCCGCGCATTCTCTGCACCACTCCGCACCACTGAGTTGACTTAATTGAGGTAACTCAGGTGGCGACCCCTGACGATGCCTAGGCCCGGTTTGACCTGCTTGTCACATGGGGTTCCCAAAACATGATACCACACCGGCCACTGAACTGCCACCGAGCTGAGCTTCTGGCACTTCGGCTGTTGTCCTTGCGGTTTCTGACAAGGTCGAGAGCTCTCAAACAAGAAAAAGTTGTCTGAGTCTCAGGATGCGTCCTTCGTCTTGTAGTGGCTGGCGACACTGGTGCCTGGAATAAGTCTGGACACCTCCAGCCACACCAGCTCTTTGACATGCCCTGCATGGTAGCTGCAGACGGTGCCTCGTGCAACGTCTTGAGGATGGGAAGTAGATATGCTGCTGTCCTGAAAACCAAAAATGCTGCCAAGTGATGAGCGCACTGCTCATACCTCTGGGCATCTGACTTGCCCGAGCCAGTGAAGGCTGACGCAAGAAAATCGTGCCGGCCTATGCGTTTGACATGCGAAAGGCTTTGCAACAAGTCGTTGCAGTGCCAGCTTGCGAAGTAGAAAGCTGAAAGAGCTGGCCTCTCATCAGGGGTAAGGAGCACTGTTGCACCGGCGTTAAGTAGTAGAAGCCACGCCGGGCCAGCGCGGCCTCAATCAGAACATGACGTCCAGATGTCACTCTTGCAATTGCATCACTAGGAAAACACTCTGACAACTTTTGTCACCATGAACACTTGACATCGTTTGACCACTGGAGTGAAGATCATGGTCACTGCTACGAAATGTATCACTGCAGAGGTGAGAATGGCTAGCAGGCTAGCATTAAATGGCTGACGCTCGAGCAGGCCCGACATTTGCCGACAGGGTGCCTGAAGAAATGGCGGATACGCAAGCTCCTTGATGGCCTCCTCGAAGGTGGAATAGAATGGAACCTCCACCGGACACGCAGCGGACAGCAAGTCGGGGCTTTGATGGCTGTTGTGACATCTTGTGACTCTTGTGACTGTCGGTTAATTAATGCACGGTCCGCGCCTTCAAGGGGCGGCCATCTGAGCCCATGATGGTGGGCTCTGCGGGCCGATAGGCCTTCTCAAAACTGGCCGCCTGATCCTCGATGTCATCTCCGATGTCATCCCCGTCCCCCGGCGCCGGAGGCTGCATGGAAGGAAGAGGCGATGGCAAGGGCTCGGGCTCTTTGTCCCGAGGCAAATTTTTCGGCCCCGGGGTCGGATGGAGCTGCTCCTCCCAGAAGGCCCAAGACCTGCTCCGCTTGGCACGGTAAGTGCGGAGTGCATTGAGTGTGCGACAGAAATCGAAGGATCGTCTGCAGCCGCGGTACTCATCATCATCGTCATCCCTTCTTCTCTCTGAGGCGTTGCTGATATCTGTGTCATCCTGCCCAAAGTCCTGCAACGAAACACTCTTGGGCTACGACATACTTTGTAAGAAGCACCGTGCCCTGGTTCTGCTTTCAAGAACTCTCAGGCCTGGTTCAGCATCGACAGGCCCTGCAAGTTGGGATCCGGTCTCGTTTGCACAGGGGCGCGTGATTTCGCCGCCGCAAGCGCGAGGCCCGTACCTGCAATAGCCCTACACAACCCCACACAGCCCACAGACCAGCAAAATACGGAAGAAGGGCAGCTCCCTTCGAAACTTAGAGCGGAAGAACCACCTGGCAAAGCCTCTTAGATCTCTTAAAATTGGGGACTTGGGAGGCTCCACCACGGCTGCGCCTACTCCGAGACGCAGCCACGGCGTGCTGGTCTTCGCACGCACTTTGCCGGCGACATAGGAGCTGCTACCTTAATGGACGAAAGTGGACAGTGTGTTTGGAGCGAAACCAGCTCTGAGGCTCTGAGTCTCTGAACGATACTACGAGTATACCCTTCGAAGATACTGCATCCCTCACCACTCGCGGTCATCAGTGCAGACGTTGAGCTGCTGCTTCCACCGCTGCTCCACACCTCTGGCACCACTGGCGGAACAGTCCAACGGCGTCCGAGGCAAGGTCGAGCTGGCGAGCGCCAGAAGCTCGGCTCCATGGCAGATGATACTCCTCTGTCAGTGCGAGAATTTCAGAATCGGCCTGGAGTCACAGGGGTCTTTCGCGTTCAGTCAAAGTTGTGAAGCGCAAAACAAATTCATGTACTGTCCTACTGTTCTACTGAGGAGGCAAAGAGGCAGCGGCAGCATGCAACGCATGGCATCTCAAAGCGTCCCTATCCCATGACGAGACGCATGAAGCTTCACCAGCTCACCCCATGACTCAGTTGGATGTCTGGCATAACAGCTGCGATATCGGTTTTCTGCACGTGGAGCGCGATCTGAACTCACCGGTGCAGGAGGTTGCAAGTCTGCAGCTCCCGACGCTCAGGCAAAAGTGGCTCTTTGGAGTTCCTTTCCCCCACGAGCGACTCTCGGCCTGTGCTGGTCAGAGAACATTATCAACAGCGGGCTGCTCAGAAATTGCAGCCTCAAATTTTGCACCTCAGACTTCGGAAAAGTCCAGTTTAATGGAATTTGACATTGGGCAATGTCAATGGCACACGTTTGCACCCAACACACAAACACAGGGCTGCTGGCGACTGCTGCTCGAGGTGGGCCATGTACTCTGTCAGCTTCTGCAGCTGGGCCTGGAAGTGGCGAAGCCGTGAGGACCCTGTGATGTCACAACATGACTTCAAAAGATTCCCCTTGGTGCAAATTTGGGGCTATTTTTTTTGGCACGAGATGCGAGACGCTCTCGCCTCGCCCATCTGCATCAAATCATCTTCAGATCTGGCAAGAGATGGCGACACGTTGCCCTCCGCATCAAGGGCCTGGAACTGCATGGCACAGGCCGAGGTCTTGCTTCGCGCAGACTCCGTTGACAAACATGTTAACATGTACCCGTAAACACCCACTGATTAGGAGAATGGAGATTGAGTGAGATTGAGGTAAGCACCCACCCTCTGCTCTCGCAGGCTGCGCGCGCCGCGACGGCATCAATGCCCAGCATCGTGGCAACACGTGTTAGCGACACGACCTGGCTGGAGAACAAGGTACAGCAAAAACGAGACGTGGGGAGATGTGTGTAGAGAGGCCCTAATGTGGGGCCTTGTATGCCTTTCCAATTTTGTCCAACAGTCCTTCTCGACTTCTGGACACTACCTGCAATGGCAATCCGACATGGACCCAACAGCCAGAGTTGCCAAGAAACAGAACGCCTCAGCCACAAGTGGCTGCAACCGGCTGTCCCATGGAGGACCCGCCTTTACAGTGCACTTCACATGGCTTGTCTTTCTCGGCTTCACTCTCTAAACAGCCTGTCACAAATCTAGGACATGCATCCTGCAGGAGAAGTGCCTGGAGTTGCGCGAAGGCCTCAGCATACTGCCTGCCAGAAGCAAATTCTATCCAAACAATACTCACAATAGCCTCTCAGAATTGCAGATCCCCACCGACCTGCGCCACCGTGCAGCTAGCACCTCATCAAACTCAGCTATGCTGCAATCACTCATCACTTTAATCTACCATCTGCTATTGCTCGTGGGTTACGTGCCGGCTCTTTGTCCCTTCTGATAGCGTCATGCTCATGCGAAAAAACGCCGCCTTAATGACTAGCGCCCACGCGTTTCGAACCAATGAGACTTCTGACGAAGATCAGTAAGCACGTGTTTTTGTGAAGTGGCTGCTTTATTTGAGACGAAGGCACCCGGTGTGCAGCCGCAGCTTGCGGATGCTGCTGCACTGGCGCAGGTGTCCTGAAGAAGAGATCAGAACCGCCACAGAATACATGGCAACCTGTCAGGGTTTTTTTTTTTGCTCCCTGCCAATTAGGAACCTTCGCGCTTGGTCCTTGCGCAACCGTTGTGCGTGCTTGCGCGCGCGCATGGTTTTGATGGCTTCGAGCTTCGATTCGTGGACAATGGCTCAAGGCTTGTATTTGAGGGCTTCGGCTGTCAGCGTTACAAAGTTGATGGGTCGCTTGTGCGCCCTCCATGTCTTCTTGCAACGTCACCGAGCAGGCTTGCGCGTGCTTGCCAAGCTGGCGAAGACGATCGGGCTTTGGTTGCATACGTGGGCGCGCATGTGTTTCGGGAATGGGGGGGGAGGTGGGGGTGGGGAGGTGGGGGAGGTGGGGGAGGGGGTGCAGGGAGGAGGGGGGGGGGGGGGGGGGGGGGGGGGGGGGGGGGGGGGGGGGGGGGGTGGGGGGGGGCAGGGGGGGTGGGGGATGGCGGGGGCCGAAGGCCTGTCGCAACCATGTTTATGTACGGGCATTTCTTTTCTCACATGGTGGTAGGGATGCGGGCGTTTAACGTTTCAAGGGCTTAAAGGGCTCAGGGCTTAGAGATCAGAGGCTTTAGAGGGTCTACGAGCACATGGTCATTCAAGCCCCAATTGCAAGACACCATTGCAAGATTCTAAGAACGGCTGCAGGTATTTTATACCTGAACAAATTGCAGTGCGACATAATGACACTGATCTGGCTCCTCTTCCAAAGGAACCTTGCTGAATCCAGCTGACCTGCACAGACGCTCAGCACGACTCTGTGGCTTGAGATTCGGGCGCTCACCTTCCAGCAGGTACGCCAGCAAGTGCACGGCGCACAAGAGGCCCTGTTGGTCCACCTGGCAACAGCACTCTGACTTGATGAGGCCCCGTATGGCCCCGTTTAGTCAGTGAAGAAGTGCTTTGCATTCTCTCTTCCAGCATTCCAGCACCTGCTCAGGCGCCGTGGTCGCAGTGCTTGGATCCAGCGAGATCAATGGCGAAAGCTCCAGCTCCTGCCACTACCGCATCAGGCACATCTTCAGCCAAGAGTTGCCATGAGGCCATGAGTGAGAAACCGTTCGAATTTTAGGGAACCAGCCCCGGAAAGCGACTGCTTTGCGAGCACAAAGCCCAAGCCAAGGTGCTATGTAACCATACTCAGCCCGGGTCTCCATGAAACACTACCGATCTCTATCTCTATCCACCTACACACCGTGCCAAGAGCATACTGCAGAAGTGCGGAGAGCTGGGGAAGGGTCCAGGGATGACAGGAGACAGGGCCCCCATGTCCTCGCATGCGGCCGGAAGTTCTCTGAAGCGCCCCGCTGAAACGAGCTGCAAGACCTGGTCTGCATGTGCATTGAGGGGTAAAGCTTAATCAGCTTAATCAGCTTCATCAGCTTCATCAGCTTAATCACCGACCCTCGATGCCAAGCCTCCAAAGCTGCGATCGGCGCCTCCTGTCACAAAGGGTCGCTGCCTTCTCCCTCGTCTTCTGATTCGACCGTTTCGGCCTCTTCTCTCGGTTCCCCTATCCTATCCCGGTGTGGTAAGGGAACATGGCGCACCTCGCTCATCGGAGGCCGAGCGCCGCAGCGCCACTGACCTGCGCACCAGAAAGGGGCAGCCTTATTGAAGCCTTCTTGAAGCCTTGTTGGACTTGTGGTATCCTGTGGCATCTTGTGGTGTGATCAGGGGTACATGGTGCCGCGCGGCCCGGATTATTGATGAGGCCAGCCGGCCGAGCACTCGAGCACAAAGCAACGGCTACTGGGACGACATGCTGTCGTTGCACACACAGGATTCACGGGCAGGTCGGGCCTCGATCGACAAGTCACTGCTCTCGAATGTAAAGCTGAGCCAGAGCCGCACAATTCAAGTGCCACAAGAACTAAGCAATCAAGGTACTGCACGGATGACAGCATCAGTGAGACAAAGGGAAGAGGGGGAGAGGTGAGGGAGAAGTGCTCTCTCAGCTGAAAGCATCGAAGGCTATCAACTATCAAATGATAGTAGCAGGACGGGTGCATACTTCCTGGTGGAGCACATACACACACTCTGCGGATTGATGTATACATCTTTTGATTGCGCCCTCCTTGGTCTCCGTTTCAAACCGATTTCTTACATGCTCGGAGGAGCATGCATCATTAACAGCACGCCCGATGGCCCAAAGGGGCATGGACAACAACTCCGCCACTCCCGCACTTCAGTGTACGTTCGATTACACTAGCCGTTAGCGTTGCACTTCCAAGTCAACGAGGCTACTGGTGTCACCAAGATGCTGAGCGGCAAGTGCGTTAACTTGCTGAACGGAGATCTGAGAGTGCTCTTCTCAGTCTCTTCAGCACGTTGGAGACTGGCAACCGTGCCGCCGGCCTGCATTCTAACGCTTCGTACTTGCTCCGTGTGGCCGAGAAACTCTCCGAACACTTCGAGAACTCTTCTTGAGATCTCATAGGGGTGGCTTCATTCGCAGTCCACCCAGTGGATCAAGTTTGCTCGACGGGCTTTGCACGTCTTCAGTTTTCTGCTCCCCCTTACTCTCCATCTTCGGCTGGCCTCCACTGCAAAGTTTCAGACAGGCAAATGTGCAAAGCATTTCAACCATTGCAATGGCTTGTGAGGGTTCTTCGATCTACCCTTGTCCCCCTGGCCGCCTTGGCCTTGGCCGCCAGTCCGCAAAGGATCGGCCAAGGCCGGCGTCAGGGAAGCTGGTGCCGCCTGCACGCCCTGAGAAGGAAGACGAAGACTTGCAACATCTTGCAACCGTATAGCTAGCAATGTGTCCATGCCAGAGTCTATGCAATATATTGCAAGAAGTGGCAAAACGCAAGTTTATAACGGCGTGTGTCTGCTTTCCTACCAAGGCCCTGCCCAATCCTGCTCAAGACTGGGTCAGCCACCGCTGAGTGTTTATTCAGTACCTGTTACTCCCGATACAACTTCTGAACCCGGAATTGCCGCAGTGTGTCGGGGGTGCTGGGGGTATGTGGGGGTGACTCTGGCAAAATTTCGGAGCTCCTTGCTGGGCGCAGGCTCATCGCCGAACAAGGAACTCAGACTGCTTCGCGGTGGCGCTGCCTGCACAATGTCTGCCGAACTATCTGACCTCTTGCAATGCTCACGTTCAAGATTGTTCAAACTTCAAACATGATCACATAATCACCTCATAGTTTCATAACTATTATGTCGCGCTATCAGCGAATGGCCAGACATGGCCTTTCCCGAGGGGACTGGCTTGAGGAAGACATCGTCATCATCATCGAAGATACTGTTCATGGTCCGGCCGATCGAGGCTCCGCCAAACAGGCTGGGCCGCTCGCTTTCGCTGGCACTTGCCCTGTGTGAGGCACTGGAGGGCGGTGGCCCACTGGTAGTCGCCAAGATGGGTTCGGCTCTTTGCTCCTCTTGCTCCTCTTTCACTAACCTAGAAACCGTTGAAGTCGGCTCTGTCTCGTGCGTTGGTGGTTCCGTGACGTGTGTGTCAGAAGCCGGCACAAGCGGACTGTACCGTACCTCGGAATCCGCAAACAAGCCAGAGCTAGTTGTTGGGGGGTCTGCAGTGTGTGCAGGTGTGGTCTCTTTCTCTGACGAGCGCTGCTGGGGAGGAGGGCCTGTGTTCGGCTCTTTGCGATCAGCAGATGTCCCGAAGAGACCGGGCTGTGCGGACTGAGCGGATGCTGGCTTGGCTGGATTGGGCTCCCAGGCTGCGTCACTGTCAGAGCCCGATGATCCTGAAGAGATCCGCTGTCGAAGGGCCGCCAAGCGACCAGCGGCGGTGGACTTCACCGAGATGTCGCGGCCAGCTTCGGCTGAAGTCGCCGATGTCGCCAAATTCGCCTGCGCTGGGGTCACTTCCGTCGCAGCTTCCTCGTGCGCCTGCTGTGCAGGCGTTGCGGTCGAGAGCCGAGGCTCCGCCGCTTGGTGCGGTGCTTGGGGTGCCGACTGGGCCCCGAGGCTCGCATCTTCGTCGTGAACGTGGGGATCTGCTCCAGACATTACGGGGCCAGGCCCAGGGCTTGCCGGTCTTGCCGGTCTTGCCGGTACTCCGACAGGTTCAGCTTGGCTCGGTCTGCTGAGCAGGGACGTCGCAGAAGGCTTTGCGTCGTCATCATCAAAGATGGATGCCATCACACTTCTGGCACTGCCCCCGAACAAGGAAGATCTGTCAGGCTTGGCAGGCTGGGCAGGCTTGTCTGTTTCGGCCTTGCAAGGTCCACCTCCGCCAGTGGCAGCTGCCTCCGACCCCTCAAACAGGGTCGCCACTGCACTCGCCGATGGCCGAGGAGGAGGCTTGTTGCCAAACAGGGACATCACGCCTGCCGACTCTGGCTCATCGCCTTAGTCCGATCCCAGACAGTAGGTCAGGAAATGTCAGGAAGTACGGGTGCTCCCACTGCGGGTCTCCCCCACTGCGGGGTCTCCCCCACCGTGCAGCTGGGAAGCCGAAGAGAGATGCTTCGGCCGCCTTACATGTTTTGAAACATCACGTTAAAGAAAGCCTCGTCTCCAACCGCAAGGTGAGCTCTCTTGGGCAGGAACAGGTCTTGGCTTAGAGCCGCCCAGAGGAGCTGATGGAACTGGCTTCGAAACTGGTTCCAATCTCTCAGATGGCTCCTGCTGCTGCGGTAGCTTCGAGGTCGGGGAGCTTCGGGGAGCTTCGGGGAGCTTCGGGAGCTTCGGCCCAATCAGGAAGCAAAGTGTTCGACCACGAGAGAAGGCCTCGAAAAGAGCCCTGGCCGTCGGCTTTGCTTTTGCCTGGAGGCACAAGGAGTCATCGGGAATCACAACTCAAAACAAACAGCCCCATTTCAACAGCAGCGCATTAGCCTCGGGGTGCTCGGTTTCCGACACGACCTCTCTCTGCGTTGGCCTCAGTCGTCTCACGAGTTGTGGCTGAATCATCGCTGAAGCATGGCGTGCAGTGTGCCAAGTTCTTCGCGCTGCTTGCGAAGCTGCCACTGCTGCAAGCAGACCCACACCTTCTATGCAGCTGCTAGCTAGTGAACAAACTGACAGGGGAAGAATGCTGGTTAGTTGGGTGAAGGAGTGAGGGCTGATTCCCGGCAACTTCCGGCAAAGTTGGCCAGGCCTTGCCCTGAGGGCAGGTCTCCCGCAACACGGGCAACCTCGCCTGAACTCCTAACAGTGACACGTCAAACTCTCAAACACACTGACACAATGGAAAGCAATGGCCCGATCTGCAACACCGGCTCTGCAAGCTTCTTCAAGGCGAAAGCTCGCTACTCCACCGGCTAGATGTCAGCCATAAAAGGACGGAAGATGATTCAGATAGATAGGTAGGAAAGTGGTGAGTGGAGAGGGTCCTGCAGCGCTGTCGTTTGCCTTTGGACAAGCAGTCGGCTCGCTTTTCTGGGCGTCGCGACAAGAGCTCTGAGAGGTCTGCGCGAGTGAGTAGTCTGCACCATAGGTGGCTTGCCACATCACTAGCATCTGTGCCATGATCATTTAAAATTAAGTCTCGGGCAGAATTGGAAGTGGAACAACAGTCCATGCAGCTGTGAACTGGATGCCTCTTGGCTAATGAGCCTGACGATTTTGCCAATTCTGCCCCAAGAGGACACACTCAGCAACGATGGTAGCAGCTCCGAGCTTAGTCGACCATGTGTGGTGTGTCCGACATTCACCGCAGAGCGGCTGTGCTGTAACATCGCAAACCTCTAGCTAACCTTGTCGGAGCTTCCAATTTGGACTTGTCTGATCTAGGGCACCATCGCATTCCAAACAATCGTCACAACTAGCCCTCCAAAACCTTGCAAAATCTCAGTGCGCATTGGATGCTCCCCCACCAATGGGCCACAAGGCTACAACCATCAATGGTGTTTCGGGCCCGGCCGAGGAGCCAAAAGCAACCTCAGCTTGACACCGAATCATACGACACCACCCCTCGTCGCACCTGTGCCTGAGACAACTCCGTCTAAAGGCCGGGTGCAAAAATCGGAGCTTGGCTGGAGTGGCTGATCTGGAAGCCCGTAAATCGGGGGCCTCCTCTTTGATCTTGCATCCCCCTGCCGCCCCTTTGCATTGAGAAGATTTTAAAACCCAAAAACAAATTCAATGCGTCAGAAGGCCCAGAAGTGTTAAGATGGCGAAGGCAATGCGCCATACTATGCCTAAATGCACCGAAGCAAGCCAGGTCTTTCTGAACGTCTGCGGACGAGCTCGCAAATTCCAGGTTCTGGTGACCCGAGATGACCACAAAGCCGTCAAATCAATACATCACATCCATGTCTTACCTCAGCACCTGAGCCCATAAACTCAGCACAGCAGCATAGCCCCTTCCACCTGCAACGGTGATCTCAAGGAACCTGCTTCCAAGCTGCTGTGCATTTGGAGGCAGACAGCTGCAAGTGGCAATTGGCCAACCTAAGCTTTGACTCTTCGACGTAGCGACCTGCTGCATCCTGTTTTTCTATCCTATAGTAGAATACTAGACTAGACGATCCTGCAACATGCAAGGACAGCTGGGCAGGCTGAGCCCGGCACCTGGGTCCACAACTGCAACTCACACTTGGATAAGTTGCCGGGCCCCCTTTCCCTCCACGCCGGACTCAACCAACCTGAGTGTGCTCAGATTGCAGTGACACTGAGGGACCAGGAGTGCGCGTTCCACGCAGAAACCCGTGATGTAGGATATAACGGGATGATGCAGGTAGACTGCGAGACCCTACACTAACTTCGAAGTTCAAGTCCTGAAACATCCTGAAGACCCACACCCAATATCCAGAAGAATGAATGATTGACCGCGGCTCGGGAACGTGAGAATGGCCTGGTCACACTCGAACTTGCAGTCCATGACAAACAGGAAGCTCACGAGCCCGCTGAAGGATTCCTGAAAGGGCTTAGGCGGCTTAGGGTATGGAGTCTGTTCAGTTCAGGGTTCAGGGTTTACTGTAGAAGCCAAATTGGTGCGTGCCACCTCTGCAAAATTCTACACAGTAGCCAAAAGCACCATCTACTGCGCTTGACAGCGGAAACCGCCAACTCAAAGGAGACAATACGCACGAGTCGCGCGCCCGCACTTCTAAGAGACTTCCTGCAAAACCCTACTTGACCTAATCGAAGAGTGCTACTCTGCGCTACTCCCGCAACCCGCAAAAGTCTTGAGAGGAGCTTTGAAGGGACCTTCTCGTCCAAGCAGCGAATGTGAACTCGAAATAATGTGCCACCTGCTCCCCTGACTCGCCAGGAATGCCATTGTAGATGCACAGCTGGAGTACAGCAATTGCCATGGAGATGGCGGTAACCTGAACACCCAACCAGGTCAGCATTCATTTTGCGTCTTGCTGCGGCTGAGCTGGCTATCATCCTAGCTGTCTCCCTGACTAATTGAAGTCTTTGCCAGGCTTCCACGAGGTTGAACAGCAAGCTCTGATCCAGAAGCAGTTTGCTTTTCCTTGCCATGCTGTACAGGAAGACGAAATCGACGAGGGCCATCGTGATTTCCTGGGGACGCAAATCGCAGCATGGAACCCTGACGTCTGTGACAGAGGACTGCGATCAGGAGTGAACTCCTGTGTCAAGACAGGTCGGGACCGCAAGTTTTAGGCGAGCAGCGTTGACATATTCAATTTCATGCGCGATGACCTCGAAATGTTGCAGACTGGCCGTGACGAGCACAGCAGGCACAACGGTAGAGACAACGTTGAGGACCATGATCAGCTTGATGAGCTTCCTTATCACGGGCTAGATTCGACGCTTTGCGATCAATGGCCATGCTGCCCCATGTTTGGAAAAGTGTCTGACCCGCTGTCACAACAATGGTTTCACAGCGCGGCGCACCCTTTGACCGACGCGCCGTCTGATCAACGAACGGTATCTTCAACAAGTGTTTGAATGAATGGTGCTGACGGCGGAGCTGTTTCTGGTCCATTTTGTGTAGCGGGTGGTTTTTGCGGGGCCCGCTTCCATGGATTTCCGTTGCAATCGCCAAACCTCCATCTCCTCGCGGTATGCATGAAGGCAAAGCTCCCAAAAGTGAACCTGAAGGGGCCCTCCTGGCTCGCACTTCCATACTAGACCAAAGTCAGCCCATAGAAATGCGTGGGCTGCCAATACGGCACAGAGTCATTCCAACCGATTCAAACCGAGGAGGTAACTAGCAACTACCTATGCTATATTGGGCACGGCTTCGGAGCAAGAGCAGCTTTTCATCATCACTGGCGCGAGCTGTTCACATTATGTGTGCTGATGAAGGGGTTCTGTGTCATGATGCGTCATGGATTAGTACGCTACTGCAATGCTGTTCCTTCCCGGAAACATTCTAATTCCTGTCAACGGTCACCTGCAAAGTCTGACTGCTGTCGACATGACTGGACCCTGAATGAGAGGAACCGCGGCAGCCATCATCTGTCCCAGTCCGCGGAATGCCCCTTTACGAAGCTGGGATATCCAACAGGGACACCAGGGACACCATCTGTCGGGAATGCGTTGGCCGAACTAGAATGTAAGCAAAGTAGCACAAGAGTTGGACGGAACAACACTGGCGGAAGAAAACTCAGAATCCTGCAGTCTTCCGGTCACTTCTCCAGCCATCTGCAACAGAACCATTATATGCAAGAGGCGATCGCGACAAAACGTCCTTCAAGTCCCGCGGACAGCCTGAAGTCAGTTCCCTATACCAGGCTTCTGATGCAAGATGTAAGGACATACGGCACTAAAGCACGACGAAACTCGTGGAGCCACGACGCAGCCAACCGTAAAACTTTGACAGGAAGCACTTTCGACCTATGTTGTGGATTGTTTCCATCATGTCAAGCCCATGCGCCTATGAGGGCATAAACCTGAATGACGGCGAAGCAGAAAGTTGCCCAGAACTCAGTCAAGTGGAAAAAGTGGTCGTGCTCGTCTCCTCAGGACAATATCCATCTCGGGAACGCACAGGCGCACGCACAGGCGCACGTGCATCCTCTGTGCCGCAGGCCGGAAGGCGCGCAGAGAAGCTCCACCAATCACTAATCTCCTGAGCCCGGGCCTTGGCCTTGGGGTTTCGGCCCGGACGTCACTCCATATGCCGTGGGAGGGCTTGGTTCCTTTGGTTGGTTCCTGGCGGTCGAAAGACCCCTCCAGCCTATCGGCTGTGGGGATTCAAATTGGAGTCAAGGTCTCAGTCTATCAAGTTCCCACGCGCTGCAAAGCCGGTAGACTTAGCGGTCTCGCATCGGGCTTGCAATGAAGCTCTGTAACAATTGCAAGGCTTCCTATCACAGGTGTCACCAACACACACACACACACACACACATATATATATATATACACACATATATATATACAATCACATATATATATATATATATCTACACGCACACGCACGCACGCGCGCAGGTAGTCAGGCAATAAGACAAGTGAGCGCCGGTCGGAATGCCGGATCCATGGAATTCAGAATCGTGTTGCAGAGATTCATGCCCACGTACACCAAGCTGCATATCGCCAAGTGCCTCTGCTAGACGGAACCAGGAGAAGGGGACAACCGAGGCACGAATCAAGCTTCGAGCCGTGAAGCTGAAAGTCGAACCCTTGGGATACGGTCAGATGCCATGCGAGTACTCCCCTACTGCACTTCATTCTCCTACCCAGGAATCAACTTGCATGAACAAGTGATGAGGACCCGTGGGGACAACCATGGACGACCATAGGTTGTCTGAGCTGCAAATTTGTCTTTGACATCCCACGCAGCCGATTCAGCATTTCGGTCATCATGATCTCCTCCATCCTGCGTTCGGCTACATTAGGCGCGAAAGTTCAGATAGGGACGGAGCACTGCATTCCAAGCGCACGGAGGACAAGCCGTCCGACAGTTGGACACGATGTTCCAGTTCAGGATGTTGACCTTGTCCGTGTGCCTTTTCGAGCACGGCGGATGACAACTGAGCCATAACTTTACACAAAAAAAGGCTCCAAGTATTGCCAAGTACGACTGAGGAACACTTGGTAAGCTGTGAGCACCTCATTGCTCTCAATCAAAGGGACACTCATGGCCATGGCTAATATTTTTGTCTAGACTTGTCAAGATCCTGCTCAGACTCGAAACTCACGGCTCAGCATACTCTAGCTTTCCTTTTTCGTGCTTGCTATACACGTGGGCTGCACGTGGACTTGCGTTCTACAGCATACCTTGAGCCAGGGAATGCCAGACGGTGCAAATCGCGCTGCGCAGCAACCGTAGAAGACCAGGACAAGGCAAATTATGCAAGCTGATCTCCTGACTTGCCGGGGAGGCTCCGCATCGTCGAAAAGGAGAGAGGTAGCCTTCGGCTTCTTGGGCACAGTTGGCCTCCGAAAAGACACGTTTTTGATTGTTGGTACGTCCCACAGAAAGTTTGCAAGCTAAGATCAGCTAAGTGGCAAAGCTTGGGCGTCGTCAAACAAACCGTGGCTTGCTGCTTTCTTGCCAGGCTGGGGCGCTTCGGATGCCGGGCCCGAGCTGGGGCCCAAAGGTCCCAAAGGGCCCGGAAAAGCCGAAGGAGCCGGAGGAGCTCCACTTGCCTTTGCCGCGACCTGGGCCTTGGAGCCATTGATGCAGAATTGCAGGCGATTTTGCAAGCGCGCGACGGTCCTATAGAATTTTGAGGGCGAGAGGGTATTGGGGGCTTGGAGAGCAAGAACTTTGAGAGGAGTTTCCAGCACGCGTCGACATGCTGCAGCCTGGATCCGAGGCCCACACTTTTGGCTTCACAGGTTTGGCATCCTCTTCGCGCCCACACGAAAAGCAACATTTGCAATACTTCGCCATTATATCTACGTTCAAAATCGGCGCCTCATCGTCGAAGAGCGGATCGTGGACACGTGGTGCCGCAGGCGCCTGGCCAGCCGCTGGACACTGTCAACTCTTCAGGCCCTGGCATCCGTCTGAGGCTATAAACCGAAACGGCCTTCGCGACGGTTTTGAGGCTTGCCTGAATCGTCCCATGGTGCACTTCAACACAATCCGGCCGGAAGGCGATGCGCTTGGACTCTGTGTATGTGTGAAGAATCATAAGCATGTAGTAACCTTAGGGGAGCACCGGTACCGGCACAGCGTCATCATCGTCAAATAATGATGCCACACTTTTTGACACCGGTGCCTCCGCAAGGCACGATGGAGGCTGAACTGCCGTGATCCATGGATGAAGCCAGCCATGAACATACGACAACCTATCAAAGCAGCAGTGCTACTGCTGCACCTTTGCCGGAACCAGAGGCCCAGGGATCAGCGCTGGCCCTCCGCCCTTGGAGACCGGTGCCTTCACTCAAGAAAACAGCCCACTTGCCACTGATGGAACTCGCCAAAATTTCACGATCCCAATCATGTCAGAGAACAGCCACGAGCAGCAGCAAAAGGCAAAGTAACAGAGGCCGACAAGCCGAGGCGTTTTGGAATGCCTCGGGCCTTGACTTTCCACCCAGGGCGTGCCCCGCAAGTGGAAAACCCTGAGCTGGCCCTTTGCAGTGGCGACAGGACCCTGTAGGCTTTCGGACGGATTCTTCCGGACAGCTTGTGCGACCTGTTTGTGGGTATGGCAGCAATGGGACGGGGGACCCCCGTTCAAAAGCGGAAAGGTGGCTGTTTGTTTGGGGACTTCTGTCTCTGTCAGCAGAAAGTGCGCCGACATGGGCCGACCTTGGTGGCGTGTTGGATGAATCGAGAAAAGGAGGAGATCCTCCCACCTTCCCTCAAAAGCACGGGGTTCGCTTTCGCCTCTCGTCCACCTCCTCCTTCGTGACCTTCCAGACCTGGCTCTCCCCTCTTGTCCCATAGTTCGACGTTGTCGTATCGTTGCTCCGCCCGGTGCGGGTGTTTCCGGCTTTTGTGGATCGTCCGAGTTTCTGCTGAGTCGCTGCTGGCCCAGCTGTGCTGCCGGTGAGGCGCACCCGCCAATGGGCGGACATGAGTACTTTCCAAGAGGGCAGTATTGCTGTCATGAGCTTCTGCAAGCTTTGGGTGAATCCACGCCTTTTACGCCTGTAGGACCTCGAATCTTGCAAGATGCGCGACGCAGACGCAGCCCCCTGGCTTAGTTGCTGTGTTCCTCGCCCACTGGACTGTTTACAGCTCAAGCCGGGAGCGGGTTCAACTTGAGCCTAGATGAAAAACCTCTCTCTATCGGATAACTCTGAGTATCTCATCCAATTATTTTTACTTCTCTGAGCTCTCATTAGCATTGTCGTGTTGTTATCTTGGCTGGCTTTCTGGGTCTCTTACTTGCTATCCTACATCGGCCTATCTCGTCCCTGTTTGCTCTTTGCCTGGCAAAGTGGGAACTACGAGGTCTGAACCGACTCTGCATGGGCACGTGCCTTCGGCTGTGCTGGGTGTTTAGGCTCGCTATCAAAAAGCGATCCCGCTTTCGACACAGGCACCTGCGGACAATCGGAAGAATCGGATGCATGAAATCCAACAGCTCGACACAGGAGGAGGCGGCACCTTTGGCTGTGCGGGCGGAGCTCGGGTGACCGGCTCATCGTCGAAGAGTGAGGACATTCCAGGTTTCAAAGTCAAAGGCGCCTGCAGGCCCAACATGACCCCAACTGCCCCCGGCTCTGGGAAGGAAAGGCTGCAGACAGCGCTCAGACTTAACGCTTTCAAAGCGACCTGTCTGAAGCACGGGAAGGCAGCAGATCCCCAACATGCTCAGCCAGATTGGAGCAGTCTTCTGCTCCCACCAGTGACACCGGCATGAGCCGCGACTAGTGTTTTTTTTGAACACGCTTTCTCTGCATGCGAAGCTGACCTGTCAATTGGCAGCTGGGGGTGGCACCTTGGCTGGTGTTGGCAGCACATCTCCATCATCATCAAAAAGCGATGATGCCCCACTTTTTGTAGGCGATGCCTTGCACGTTGTGGCACCCACGCCCTCTACAATTGCCTCTGATTGCTTCGCGACATGAGACCCGCCTTGTGGGCTGGAGCAGGGGTCGGCTCATCGAAGAGCGACGACATGCCAGGCTTCAAGGCCAAAGCCTCCGATTCTACCCTAAAACGTTCAGTCAGTGAGCCAGTCTTTCAGTCAGCTTCAAATGCAGCTCAGTCCGCATGCCTTCGGATTTGCTGTCGGCCCTGCCGAAGCGGCTGCCTCCATACCAGTTCCCAACCGATCTCAATCGACTTACGAAAGCTTGGGTCGCGGCTGGTACTGGCGAAGGCTCATCATCAAATAGAGAAGATGTTCCGCTCTTCTGTGGTGATGCCTAGGTCAGCAACATGTTCGTGTGGCTGGCCTCCAAGAAACGATGCCAAGCATCCGACTGGCCCCAAGCTGCTTGGCTGACTTTGCACAGGTAAGCTGTCGTCTGCATCGAAGAGGCTAGCCGCAGGCCTCCAAAAAAAACTCCCAACCACATCTTTGTGTCAGGCAGCATCCCCAGGCAAAGCACGCCTCGAAGCAGGCTTCCCGGCTGGTTTGCCTTTGCCTTTGCCTTTGCCCTTCCCCTTTTCCTGGACAAGGAGCACAGACCGAAAGACACAGCTGAGCGCACTCTTTGCCTTCGGAACAGGCACGGGAAGTGGAGGACCGGCGTCTTCACCCTCACGAGATACTGTGCGCGAGATGCGTCGTTGCACAACTGCAGTTCGTGAGCAACTCCTACGAGTTCTCGCAATTCGCAGCAATTCACGGAATCCGCATCCTTTTTCTCTAAGCCCCTTCGTGCGGCTGCTGCTCAGGAACAGTTGGATCAAATCGATGTAGCGGCTGCACCTTCCACGCGAGTGCTCCAGTCAGGACTTCTTCTTAGACGCTTGTGGCTGGCTTTTTGCAATATCACGTCCACTGAGGCAGCTTCTGTCTCTCCTGTCTGTTTCCGAGCCACGATCGAACTTCGCAGCAGGCAGAAGTTTCACTTGCATGTGGCATCATGTGGCCATGTACTCAATGTACTGTTGGCACTTCGCGCAGCGTAAGGCCGCAAGGCCGTTGAACCCGTTGCCTCGCCTCGCAAGGAGCCACAAAGCTGCAGAGGTCCAGTAGATGCCGCACAGCTGAAGCCGCTCCGCTGTGCCGGTCGCTGCCTGCATCAATTGCTTGTCCTGAGTAAAGCATGCACGGCTTACAATTTGGGGCTTCTTATGCTTCTTTCCGTTGTGTAACTGATGTAACTGTGCATGCTGCGTATGTGTAAAGCCGCCGTAGTGTGAGCCCAGGCACGGCACAGGCTTTGGAAGGATGTGCGGTTCTTTTCCGTCTCAACCACCTGCAACAAAGCATGCCCAGGGATGTCAGGTGACGGCAGCACATGTTCTTCCTGCCGCAATGCTTCGTGCAAAATTCAAAGTGTGACTCGCATAACCACCCTGTGAAGCTCCCCACGCATGGACATGGAATCTTGTCAGCGGCCTCAGCGGCCTCCTCAATCCTAAACCCCCACCGCTGCCTGCGCATCGAATCCGGGACGCCCATGCAGATAGCGCATGAGATGATCACGAGCGCTTGCGGGTTGGTGAACCTCCAAAAAGAGTCCACCAAAGGCAGCGGAAACGGCCCCAGCGTGCAACCGAAGCTTTGGCACTTGGTCTCACAAAGCCCTCCAACCCGGGTAACCCTTAGGCTCCGGCTCCGAAGCGCTTTCATTTTACACACCAGAAACGACGACATCTTCACGGCGGCTACTTAGTACAACCGGTCTCGCTTTTGACCAACACACGGAGAAAGTTTTGATTTAAGCATGCCTTCAAATACACCAAGCTCCGCCTCGGCAAGCCGTACGTTCAATTGCAGCGATGACAAGACAGGCTACGAACCGCGCATCGATTGCTCCTTGCAGGCCGATGTTGCTCGTTGTGAGCAACATCGGCCTGCTCCGTGATGTTTGATTGCTATGGTTTTCACAGTCCGGCCAACCAACCCACCCACCCACCAACCAACCAGCTGCTCGTGTCCATCAGGTACGTGACGGAAGCTATCTAGGTATACCCTACAGGCAATGTCCGGCAATAATTTACCCGGTCCAGAGCGCCTTTCCAAATATTTAAAGACCCGCCTGTTTGTGACAGCATCTGCGAGCGTCGACAAAAGAAAGGCTGTGCCATGTGCCATGCTGCGGCAAACGAGGCTGTACTGTGTCCATCTCACAAAGGATCGCTGCCCTGTTAGGATCGCGCCAGAGGACAAATTGCACACAAGCGCGATTGAATTGTGAGGCGTGAGAAGCAATCTGCAACAGCAGCTCCACACCAATCAAAGAGTCAAAGGCCTCATCCAAGATGCTGAACTCCTCTACTTGTCCACGGAAAGTCCAGGAAAGTCGGCAACAGAACACATGGCAAGCGTTCAGGCGTCGTGCACAAGCTCGCAACATTCTCATACGTGCTGTGGGATCGCAAGCGCCGACATGACAAAACGCCGCCCCGAGAAAGAAACGCCCCGAGATATTATCTCCGCGACATGTCGGCAAGCATTTTGGCATGTCGGCACGTGCTTTCGGCATGGTGGCGCACCACGTTCCGGCATGTCGCGCTTTTTTGGCATGTCGGCGGGCATGTCGGCGGCTGGCAAGTTTTGCCATGTCGGCGCGTGTTTTTGCATGTCGGCGCGTGTTGTTTTGCATGTCGGTGAGCGCTTTTGGCATGTCGGCTCGTACTTTTTTGGCACGTCGGCGTGTCGTTTTTCAATTCTATATACGTGAGGCTCTGATTGTCGGAGTGGTAAGACTTTTAACGGGTGCGTCGACTGCCGCTTCCTGTCAAGCGTGCAAGGCCTGCAACTGTCGGTATGGCATGACCCTGAATTTATAGCAAGATTTCAAGTCTGCCAAACATGTTGAAGGCCCTCTTAGGAAACTGCGCAAACGCCAATCCCGTGACATGACCATGAGGGAGCATGTCTCGGCTTATAAACTTTTATAAACATCGCATCTCCTATCGGTGTTTTCAACCACGTGCCTGCACCTCCACTTCATTGTGCCCTCGTCCCAGCTTCAGGCGACAAACCTCCAAGCCTTGTCCGAACCTGAGCAAAAAAAAGAAGAAGGCGCGAACAGGGGAAGTACGGGCTGAGGACTTGGGACTTGGGACGACTTGGGGATACTTGGGGCTTCAAGAATGTTGGAGTGAGCCTGCTTGGCGAAAGCTCGCGGCCATGAGCCGCTGCTTGCCATGTATCACATCCCAGCAAACCATCTTCAGTCTCCCCTGACTAGTGGCATCAGATGCGAGCACATGGGCATCCCAAACCGGGCACCAGGCGGAGCTCTTTCTCCCTGCGTCCCATGCCAGTCGCAGATCCGCTGCAGCAGGGCGCGCCACAGCTGGTAGGCGGTGTAGGCATCGATCTTTGCACCTGGCAGGGGCTTTTTCTTCGCGGGGTGGGCCTCACTCGGATTTATGGCCCGACTGAGGAACCTCCAAAATATCCCACAGGTTACGACGAATGTCGTAACTTCTGCCTTCGCTGCTTCCTGCGAAGTCTCCATGGTCTTCATCTGGATCCTGACTCCAAACGAGCTCCTTCGCTTTGCACACGAAGGTTAGCCGAATAACATGATATGCGAGGCATGCAAGAGCAACTGGCGAACCAGATGCAGAATGAAAAACACTTATCAGATGATGCACGTAAGGCATCATAAGGTTAAGTCGAACTGGTGGATGTGAAGCAATGTCGGCTGAGCGGGTACATGCACCCTCAAAGGTGCACAGAGTTGGACTGCTTCCAAAATAACGGAGCTTGAACCCAAACTCAGTGATTGTACTACGAAAGGAGGGTGCCTGCACCGATGACAGAGTAGCCTACAGCTTTACTGAGATGCAGGGCATCATCAGACAACATGAGACTTCACCTCACACCTACCCAGCCTTACGCACACAACGCCCGAAACAAGCACTTCAACCGCTAGTAGAACTCAAGGAGGTCTAGCGGCTAGACTTGCCTGCTATTGAGGCCTGAGGTTCACTGGGCAGAGAGAAGCTCTCGGTGTAGAGCAGGCCTCGCTCGCTGAACATTCCCCAGTGCATTGCCACGTGCGCAACGGCCGGGAGAGCAAAGCCATGCCTGAGCTGAAGGCGAGGCAGAACAGGCACTCCCCCAGTTGATTTTGGGTCCGGAATTAATTTAGGGATTCTTTTTGTTTTTTTTTGGGTATTTTTTTTGTTTTTCTTGTTCTGTACTCAACACTAGTAAAAAAAGTAGTAGTAGTAGTAGTAGTAGTAGTAGTAGTAGTAGTAGTAGTAGTAGTAGTAGTAGTAGTAGTAGTAGTAGTAGTAGTAGTCGTAGTATTAGTAGGAGTAGTTGTAGTTGTAGTTGTAGTTGTCGTCGTCGTAGTAGTAGTAGTAGGAGCATTATTCGTAGGATTTCTTTATTTTTGGTTCGTTTTCGTGGTTTTCCCTAGGACAAAACTACATTCCCTCTTTATTTTAATAGGATTCATACTACTTTTCGTGGGATTTCTTACTTATCCTTTTTGGCTTGGTTCGTTTTCCTGGTTTTTCGTGAGAGAAAGCTACGTTCCGTCCAAATTCTCAAGGATTCATACTACTTATTACTTCTTTGCTTGGCTTGTTTTCTTGGTTTTTCCTAGGAAAAAGCTACATCCCCTCTACAGTTTCATAGGATTCATATAACTTTTCGTGGGATTTCTTATTATCTAAAGATGGGTTTCAACAAAATTCATGGGCTTTGAAGCACGCTTTGCACGGCTTAAATAAAGCGGGTTGGGGGTTAGGGGGAGGGGGGCAACCCCCCCATTGCAAACACAATGTTGACATGATGGGTTTCAACCAGATTCATAGGCTCTGAAGCCGCTTTGCACGGCTTACAAGAAGCGGGGGGGTTGGGGGGGGCGCAGCCCCCCCCATTTGCAACCACAATGCTCACACGATGGGTTTCAACAAGATTCATATGCCTTGAAGCACGCTTTGCAGGGAGGGCGCAGTCTAGGGTGTATCTTAATATATATATTATATCATAAAAGACCAAAAGAAAACACATTTTTCCAGACTGTACATACCGTCAAACGCATATATCAAAGAATCTTGGCTTTCTATACTATATACACTATATATATATACTATATATACCATATACCATACATACTAAATATACTATATATATATATATATATGGTTCAGCGTCGAGCGTCCTGGGCCCCCCCGCCCCCCATGGTATCCCCCCCCCCCCCCAAGCCTACTCTACGGTCCCTAAACCCTAAACCCTAAACCCTAAACCCTAAACCCTAAACCCTAAACCCTAAACCCTAAACCCCTAAACCGTAAACCCTAAACCCCAAACCCTAAAACCTAAACCCTAACCCTAAACCCTAAACCTTAAGTCTTAAACCTTAAACCCTAAACCCTAAAACCCTGAACCCTAAACCCTAACCCTAAAACCAACCCCCAACCACACCACAGGGGGGGGGGGATCATCTTAGTACCCCATCCGCGGGGAAAACCCTAAACCCTAAACCCTAAACCCTAAACCCTAAACCGTAAACCCCCTAAACCCTAAACCCTAAAACCCTAAAACCCTAAAACCCTAAACCCTAAACCCTAAACCCTAAACCCTAAACCCTAAACCCTAAAACCCTAAAACCAACCCCCAACCACACCACAGGGGGGGGGGGGTACCATTGGGGGGGGGGGGGGGGGGGTAGGGGGGAGGGGGGAGGGGGGGGGGGCCCGCCGGGGCTAAATCATATATACATATATATATATATATATAGATATATATTCATATATAGATATATATATATATAGAATATATATAGAATATATATAGAATATATATAGAATATATATATATATAAATTCTATATATATACTCTATGTATATACACTATATATTTGCTATATATTTGCTATATATATATGTATGCTATATGTATATTATATGTATATTATATATATATATAGTATATATATATACTATATATACTATACTCTATATAGTATATATCTACTACTATACATATATACTATATATACTATATATACTATATATACTATATACTATATACTATATATATATACTATAATATACTATATGTATACTTTATATACTATAATATATATATACTCTATATACTCTATAAATATACACTATATATGTGCTATATATTTGCTATATATATATATATATACAATATGTATATATATATATTATATACATATAGATATATACTATATATATTATATATAATACGTATACTATATATACGATACATACTATATATATACTATATGTACTATATATATATATATGTATACGATATATACGGTATATACTATATATACAAACTATACTATATATATATATACTACATATACGTTTTACTTTATGTACTATATGCCCTACTATATATACTGAAAATATATATATATATAACTGATACATACTGCTATATATACTCTATATATATATACTATATATACTAGTATATATATATATCTACTCTATATACTATGATACACACTATATATACCATAGAATATTTTTTCGCGTGTGAAAATGCATGCTATATACACTGTACATATATATATAGATATATATCCATATACACGTTGTATAACCTATAGTATGTGCACTATATATATATATATATGTATAAAACATATCATACATATCTCATGTATACTCTCCTATATATACTATATATATATATGACTTATGAACCAAAAAAACTACACTAGATATACTACATATATATATATATATGTACATAGTCTATATATATATACGATATGCACATATACTACATGTATACACTAGACACAAACATGGAAAAGCAAAAGCAACCGTCAAAAGCAGAAAGCCAAAAACTGACCTGAAACAAAAAGGAGCTAAGAGAAAAAGCAAAAGCAAAAGCAAAAGCAGAAGCACAAGCAAGAGCAAAACCAAAAGAAAAAGCAACAAGAAAAGCAAAAGCAAAAGCAAAAGCGACAAGCAAAAAGCGACAAGCAATTCAGACAGGCAAAAAACGACAAGCGAAAAGCAGAAAGCGAAAAGCATAGGCAGAAACAAGGAGAAAGGAACAAAAACAAGCAAAACAAAAAAAATACCCAAAAAAAAACAAAAAAAAATACCCAAAAAAAATGTTCTCTCGTTGATTTTGGCAGCTTTGTGCGAATGATGGGTTTTTTGGTGCAACTGCCAAAAGCCTGAGGCTGTGTGCGTTTGAGCAGCAATGGCGTTATGCGAGAGGCCTCGCTCCACCAGCGTGAAGCACATCGCAGCTGCATCATCTCAAAGCATTGCTGCTCCGATGCCTCTGCCGAGCAAGACCAGTCATGGACTATTCGGTGCGCACAAAGCGACAAATGAGATCTAAGAAAGCCTGGAACGTGAATGCTACCTGCATGCACGTCTGCAAAGAACGCCGCCGTGCAAACCGTAGTGGACCCTCCGAAAGATGCTATGAATGAGAAGAGTGTGTGGCTAATGTTGGGACAAGGTCACGCAGAAGGAGGCTGCCACCAGCTGTCTCAGCTTGGGGTGATCAAGCGTCGCCATGGGCCCCAGCAAGAATCAGTGCATGCGACAGGTATCCAGACAGGTATCTATCCAGGCTGGTTCTATGGTGACCCGCACCTTCTGCAGTGACTCGGCTAGTGTGCAGACGGAGCTAGAGACCAAAGAGAAGCATCCTGTGGGCCATGTGTGGTGCTGTGAGCCAGGATGCTCGAAGTTCAACTTCAACAGGTGAGCAGTTCCTTGCGGCGCAGCTTGCAACTCTTCGCCTCCAGCGGGCCACCTCGTTTCGCGAAGAGCGCATTCAAGGAGGACACCAAGTCTCCGGGAGCCTGCAGAAACCAAGCTGTAAAAGCGGCATATGGTGCGCAGGACTTCCGCAGATTTGCCCAGGCCTCCTCGGAAACCACTTTGGGTTGCACGCGGCTCTCGTCTTCATCGCACAAGTTCTCCTGTGCCTTCGGTCAGGCTTCGCAGTACGATCATTCCTATCACTGACCATCACTGATTGCCGCATGTCGCCGTTCAACTGTCATGCATCAGGCCGCCTGGCCTGATCTTCTTCATGCTCGGCCTGTGACTGCTCTTCCCGTGCTTCTGCCTGCTCTTCGTGGTCCTGTGCAAGGGGGGTTCACAAGTTGAGCATGGCATTGCTCAAGGATTAACCGGCTCCAGGACTGGGCCGAGAATGGACCCAATCAGCTCAGGCCTCCTGGAGGGCTGGCTGCGGAGGGCTCGGAACATCGTCTGCCAGGAAATCCTGCTGCGGCACAAGGTACGGTGCAAAATCAGAAGCATGGCACGTTCTCTGCTCAATGCGGGACAGCCCGGAACAGTCCGCCACCGACTGAGGAGCATCCCAGCTGCTATGCCAGGCCTGACGTCCGCGGTTTGAGCAACATGCAAGCCCAAGCCCCCCCACGGCAGTGCAGAATCAAAGAAATGCTGGAGAAGCAAAGCACACTCTTCCGACGCTTACCACGTCGGGGTGATCAGTGCCTCGCTTCCAATCACCAAGGGCAGGGATGGCCAGGCATCGTCCGCCTTCTCGGAAAGCCGGGACGCTGCTCTCGCGACTTTTCGGAAGAAGTTGGAACAAGGTGGGACAAGAAAGGAAAGGAAAGGAAAGGATCGGTGAAAGGAAACGGGAGGGGACACAAAAAGCAGAGTACGAAAAGGGGCTGGGCCTTGGTCTGGGCAAAGTCTTGACCTAGACTGAAGGCTCGGCGGACCGCCTCGATCTCAGCCTTCACTTAGCTGAAGCACAAGCTTTTACAAAAAAACAGTGAAATTCCTATGTGAACTTAGTAAGCAAACACGAAAAACACTTACAAACTCTCGCCTCGGGTGCCACCTCCAAGTCTAAGTTCGACCAGATGTCCTCGTGCAGCGGAGCTGCGAGACTGTGCCGTGGGCTGAGCACATGCACTCGAAGGTCTTACAAAACTTCATGTCACTCATCCCGAAACGTATTCCTAAACGTATTCCTAAACTAGTACGAACTACTAGTACGAACTACTCCGGCCATCTGTGGTCCCTGTCCTCTGGCAGTGCGTCCACAGAGGCCTGGCATCGCCACAGCGAAATGTCTTCACGACGTTTCAACGACAGCATTACGTAATATTCAGCTATACTAGCAGCTATACTCGAGCACCCGACTCCGAGCCTCCAGACTGTCCTCCTCTGCCTCGACGCGGTGCTCTAGGAACTGGCTCTGTGCCTGGTCGCGGCCATCGGCCTCTGCCCTTAATAATTTCCCGCAGCGAGACCCACCGAGGCCAGCGCCAAGACTTCCAGGCTACACGAGGCCTTGCGCAACTTCAGGCCCACAGCCTCGAGATTTTACTGACTACATGGAGATGTAGGGAGATGTCGGGGACATGTAGGGAAATGTAGGGAAGTGCAGGGGGAAAGCCTGGGAATGGGGGAAGTAAGTTTCACAAGGACCCCTTCAAGGGTAACAACAGTGGCGCGGAGAACCATGTCCTAACTCCTTACACAGAACCAGTACACCAAAAGGAAGCGCGGACGCGTGGCCACGCCTCCGCACGGCGGGCCGTCTTTTGCAGCTTCTCCTCTGTAATCTCTGCTCGCCTGGTGGAATGTTGCCCATCTCTGTCCCAGCTGATCTGTTGCAAGATGAGCTTTCTCATGGCTGCTGACTACTTGTGACTGACGCGTGCCAAGGCCTGAGAATGCCATCTCTTAAGGATTGCAGCGCCCGCAGCAGCAGCTCATCCTGCGCAGTTTGGCAAAAGCGTTTTTGCGAAAATGAGAAGCTTCCAGGCTTCAGCTTCCAACCCTGAGGCTCTCCTGCACGGCATCCCATGCGGCTATCTGACCATGAAGTTGCTGCAGCCTAAGCATAGCAGGAAACACATCGATTCTCTGCTGCGCAGAGCAGGGTATAGCGAAGTGCAGAACACATGTCGTCACACATATCACACATATCAGCTGCTAGGATACGAACACTGCAGTCGGGTCAGAGGCCATACTGTCATGGGACAGGCGGATAACGCCACAAGGCTGCTCTGGTTGTTCTTGCACATTCTCGTGTGCTTTGCACGTTGTGGTTTCTGCAGGTTGCGGTTCTGACTGCGTAGCGTCGTAGACACATGTCGTGGCGAACACAGGATGCTCAAGTATGCTCGACTCAAGCACGTTCAAGCTGTGTGATGCCACAGTGCCGCGGCGAGATGGCCAAGCTAGCTTCCTGGCACTGCCAAGACCGCAGAAAGGTCAAAAAGTTTCCACGTTCCCGCCGCTCATCGGCCCATCGGGTGCCATCGGGCCATCGGCTCACTCCTTCCTTTTTGCTCCGACTGGCAGGCTGGAAGTCGCTGAAAATTGTCTCGGCAAGGTCTCTTTGGAGAGCAAGTCTCTTTGCTTACCCAGCCACTTTGTATAGACTCTTGACATGTGTTCGTCACACTCCTAGATCTACACACGCGCCCAAGTTCCTCCCCGAAGCATGACCAGGAAGATGTGAAAAGCGACATGGTGACACGAACGCATTCCGCAAACTGCAGATCTGTACTTCATGTTGCTGTACATGCCCTGACTTTGGAGCCTTTCTATCCAAACACTCCGCGACGGTTCACACTGTACCATCCCTGGCCCTCAGCCATGACACGGAAAGCTTTGAAGATCTTTGAAATGTCGACATTTGGCAGATGACAATGGGCTCCATCACTCGAGGAAGCGGCCGTCCGGATGATGCGGATCTGGCACAGAGGAAGAAAGCACACAGCTGCAGCAGCTACGGAGCAGGATGAGGGCACCCTGTTCAAGGGCAGAAGCCCCTGGAACTAACCCGAACTAACACTCAGTCAAAGCACCTAACACATGCTTGCTCTTTTCACATTGAGTTGCGTCGCTTGCCTCCTCATCCAAGTACAAAATCTCAAACTTCCCAAAGGGGAGCGAAAGCCTCGGTATACTTACATGTGACCTCCTGTCCCAGACTGCAACTCCCCGCTCTCTAACTCTCGCATCTCCTCTCATCTCTAGCATCTCCTCTCCTCTGCCCTCCTTCTGGAGAACCCCGGCGGGCCACGGAGGTTCACTTTCAAAGCCTGGCTCGGCCCATGGTGCCAGACTGTGCTAAACATGTTGTGGCACACTTTAACGCTGATGCACACTCGCACAGTGCGCAGCAGAGGGTTTTGTTTTCTCAGCTTCTTTGTGCTCTTCTGATGCCCCTGCTTCGGGCATCGCAGCCTCTCCTCGGTGCCCACGGATTGGGTACTCGCAAGCGCTGGCACACGGCGTGCGTCGACATGCCTTCACATGCCATGAAAGCACTGCCTTGCTGTGCCAAAGATCCGGCTTCGTCCTCCTCTGCCGCCTTTTGCAGCATCGCCATTTTCTGCTCCCACGTCCTCAATTGAAATCATGGACACAGCAGCAGGCGGGAGGAAGTCCTGTGATGCAATACAGTACGGTTCGAGCCCAAGTTTCTGCCTGGGTTTCGAGGGACTCTCTGTCAAATGAGAGAGTGCAAACTGCATGGCAATCCTCGCGTGCCAGCAAAAGCAGGCGTGTTCAACTCGGCGCAACAAGCTCCATGCCCCCATACCGAGAATTCTCAAACTTAATTAAGCGATGTCCTCGCAAGCTTTCTCAAGCACAAGGGAGCCTGCCGCCAAGTCTCGCGTATCGTGTGCCCGAAGTCAGCTCCTCTAGGCCGTGGTACAAGCCGCTGCGGAAGATGACAACATCGCCCTTGAAAAGATCCTGTGCAATGTCAGCTTTTAACGCCACACGGGCCAACTCTGGAAGTCTCATCGGGAGGCTCTGGCTGTCAGCTGGCTCCTGGCAGTGTTGGCGATCGACATCCCTCTTTCCAGGCTGAACGAAGAAGTGTCCACCCTCGTAGTCCTCACCTCAAGCACAAGTGTACAATCACAAACCTCACAAGCTCATCAAGCATACGTGAACCTCACAAAATGGTTTGCAAGATGTGGCAAGATGTTGCAAGCAGATCCCATCACATCCCCAGCTCCAGCCTGGACTGCTCAGCGGGCACATGGCCTGGAACGGGAACATGATGGTGCCCTGCAGATCTCGGTGTGCCTCCATGAAGCCACCAGGGCAGTACCTCGGAGGCTTCTGCAGCAGATGAAGCGGCTTGGGGCTTCCGGGTTCGAGAGTCGGTTTGGGCGTCAAGACTCTAGATCTACATTGCCGACACAACTCGGGCTGCAGCACCTCAGGGCGATCGAAGTTGGCAATCTCTGAGCAGGGCTCGCCGCCCTGCATCTCTCCCAGAGGTCACACATCCTTAGCGGCTTGCTGGTCACCCCAGCTGTTGATGGTGATTGTCTGTTTCATTATTTTGCATTCATTGTGAACAGTCCAGGTATCCGCTCGGGAAAAGACTCCAAAGCCAGCTGCTTGGGGTAGATCTCTGCTCTGAACATTTCCACCCTTGTTGCAGAGTATGTTGCCAAGCTTGCTGCCAAGCTTGCTGCCAAGCAAATGCAAGTCTAAGCCTTGTCCAGGCAAGAAGCTGTGCGTTTGCCACCGGGGCAAGTGCCACGTACAAAGCTTCCCGCAGCGCATTCAATGGGGATGGCAAGGGCTCCCGCAAGTAAGCAAACTTTCCTCATCACAAGGGCGGCAGCATTGTGGAGGATTGTCCGAAGCTCTACTTGGATGCAACTGCTAGTGCGAGACAAGGGGCCATAGCCAAAGTTCATGGCCTTCCTGCCAAAACGCAAGCCAAAAAACACCCAGCTTGGTTTGCAATGTTTACAACATCAGTCTCTGTGTGTGTGTGTTCATGTCAATGTCACACAGCACTGCAATCTCGTTGTGCTGCACAGGGACAGGCCAATGCAGCCAGGCCACAGGTCCACGATGCGCATTGCTGGCAGCTCATCAGGCTTTGAAGGCGTGCAGTCGATAAGGCCATCAGGCCACAAGCTGTCCAGATCTCCTTTGACCTCGAAAGGTATGGGTCACAATCCGTCACAAAAAGCGAAAGATGAAGCCGGCAAAGCCTTGCCGCAGCCTCACCAGCATCCAGTCTGCAGGAGACTGCAGCACGTAGAAGTAGATGTAGCCAAACAAGCCAAGTGACCATTTCATGCAGCCTCTCGACGGAGTCCTTATCTTCTACTGATTCTACTGCGCACATTGGCATGGCAATTGCAGAATGGTGGAAAGGCATGCTGCACTTCGAACCGACCAGGCTCTGGTTTGAGCAGCTGTCGCAGGACCATGAAGCCCTGCACAGCAAAGGACCAGCGTGTTTTTGGAGGTTTCATCTTATGTTCATGCGAATTTCATCCCGGGTGTTCTTCCCTGGTCCCTGATACTCTGAAGCCTCGGAGTCCAGCGTCCGGCGCCCCTCCGCCATTTGGACAGCCACAGCGCGGCGAAGCGCCTGTTCCTCTTCCATCCTCCAGGAACCACAAAAGTCGCAATCAGAGCTACCCGAATGCCCCTATGCCACAGGGCGCGGACAAGCGCTCCCACAATCGCAGAGGTGGGCACCTCTGCGTCACGTCGTCTTTGTCGCTGCGTTGCTCCATCATGCGCTGCACCATCCGGATGCATCCCGGTGCCGAAGACGGAAAGCGTTTCTTAGCTAAAGCTTGCGATGCTGCCTCACGATCTCCAGACCTGGTTTGAACATGTTCGAGTGAGATGTGTCTGCGTGAGTGTGTGTTTGTCTTCAAGCGCCTGCTACTACGGCTGCTTTGGTGATTTTTTACGGGTATTCATCTGCGTGTGCAGAGGGCCGCAGGGGCCAGACTAGCAAACCAACCGTCGTTTCAGTGCAACTGCCCCTGCTCGGAAGACGACAACCCTGCAGACATGATGTCAGAGGTGCCTCCGGCACATTGTAGCCCAGAATCCTGCAATGCGAAACGTCCCATAGCTGATAGCTTCACATCGCCCCACGTAGACATACGTAGACTGAACGCTCCGGGACAAGAAGTCAGCACACCTTGCCTCTCAGGCGCCAGCCCCAAGCCTCGGATGTTGAGATCCACCTGACAAACGGAGACCGGCAACGGCCTTCTCTTTGCCAGAAAAATGCACATCTCCCCGCTTCCAAGGCTGCGCTCGAGTGGCTGACACATTGACGCTGTGCACTTTACCATCTTGACATCATTTTCGCATCATTTTTGATTAGCTTCTTGCTCTGGCCACATGAAGTTGATGGGTCGATGGGCGCACCGTGGTCGGGGAGGTCACTTTGTAGTCAGTGAAGACCCGCTGCACGAAGGCGTCCCTTCGCACGACATTCGAAGTTCGACAACACGAAATAAGACGCATAGCAGCTTTCAGGGCCCCCGGCTCCAACGCGGAGTCCTTGATCCCAATTGCGAAGGACGACGGCCGATACTCGATGACGTTGGCAATGGTGCCTCGGTGCTCCAGATTGCCTCCCCAAGCGTCGGCAAGTCATGGAGTCATGGGGTTCTGGCCACTTGCTGCGTCGATCTCCTGTCCGATCCTCCTGAGAACTCTGCGGACTCTTCGCTGTCCGAGAACGCAGTTGAGCGTGGCCCATGGGCCCAGTAAACAGTGGGCAATCGCCCGTCCCCAGGGTGCTGAACGGCGACGTTGGAATGCCAATGATATCCTGAGTCTGAATAGGTGCCCCTTCGCATGTCCGAGCTACCACAAGAACATTCTCTCGTTCGACTCCAAGAAACCGGTGCATCTGTGTAGATCAAGGTCCAGTTTCCGCCTCGGCCCAACTACTCAGTAAACGACTTCTTTGTCTTGCCGATACAGTCGAATCAGTCGAACTAGTCGAACAGAGGCACTTTTTGTCCCCGTGCTTCTCACGACCAGGACTGTACGGTAATCATACTGAGCCCTGAAATTACGGGCAGAATTCATTTGCTGCCGCACTTGTCTCGTGGGCAGCAAAAAGTCATATGGAGGGTTATGGAAACTCACAAGGAATCGAGGAGGAGCTTGCCTCGTCTTCTGGGGTCAGCTGCCTCACGTATGTTCAACGGCCGCACCCATGCGTGCACTCGAAAATTCATGTGGCATGAGTTTGAATTTCACTCCTGTCACATGACATGATGCGAGGGCGCTGCATATGCGTCGCACGTGCACCGTGCGGAGTTCTAGGCCTCTATCGGCCTCCGCGACGGCGGTCGCGGCTGGGCCCACCCGCCACACGTGCACCTCGAAAAAACAGTCAGTGGAAAGAAAGTGTACTGCTCCTGCACTGCTGCTGCTGCAATGCGCATGACGGTCGCCCATCATCAGATGATGTGCAGGCTCAGTTTGGCTACGAGGCGCTATTGCCCCAAGACTTGGCTCCACCAATCTGCACGCCGTGATTCTTCAAGTCTTGGGTGAGCTCATCAGCGGCTTCCTGTCGATGGCGTCTACGTAGTAACATGTACGAACCTTACTAATCATGACTCTGGCTCATTCCAAAGCGCCTGCTCCTCCTTGCCGATCTTCTGTAGCAGCTCCTCCAAGCCTTTCCATACACAGTGCCGTGCCACTGGAACTGCAAACCAACAGCTGAAGCAACGCCAAAGAGCGAGAGCGAGAGCGAGAGCGAGAGCGAGAGCGAGGGAACCGGTTTTCGCCTTCCACCCCGACCGCTCGTGGGCCGCTGGGAAGAGAGCTGCCCGGCAAGTGGTGCGCTGCCCTGATCACTTCTATGGCCTGGCACACAGAATCTAACACGAGCTGCCCCAGAACGGTTCGCTGCAAATCACAAAACTTTTAGCATTCCCCTTCAAAGTTCTCCTGTTGGCTTTGTCTAAATGTGGTGTACTACACCCTAGTGGGTAAGTCAATTCTTCCAACCTTTGCTGTCAGCCGTAGGCCTCTATCAAGGAAGCCGCGCAACAGACTAAAGCTAAGCTACCCTAAAAAAACCAACTCTCACAATGATTCCAAAGACGGTACTGGCATGTCAAGCGGCCAAGCATGCCTCCATGCATACTGAGCTTCAGGAGGCAACGCACACGAACCACCAACCCCCCAAATTGGAATCCCAATTCCCGCTGAATGTAGCTGAACGATTCAACAAAACCATCACCCAGCCTTCGTTGGCTGGTGCAATTGCAAGCATCCGCGAGCGAGCACTGCGTAGAACTTTTCATCCGCGCGGCAGCCCTCCTCGTTGAGGCGGCGTCAGTTTCAGAACTTTCTGACGGCTGGGACGACTCACCCCCTCCCTCGCTTCATAAACTTCGTGTCACACCAACTTCGAGTGAACAGCAACCAAGAGCAGTCGTTTTGGGGGAAGTAGGAATTTGTGCAAACAAGCATGCAAGCACCTTGATCATGTTTTCGTAAACTCCGAGGGCCCTCTCGAAACGCCTGACGCAGTCAGCACAGTCAAACTTGCGGCCGATGGCGGCCACGAGGCTGAAATGACCAGGAAGGTTAACTACGATGGGTCTTCCCGGCTGAAGCAATGCGCACCTGTTTTGGAAGCAAGCATGGATCAGGCAGGTGTAGACCTGGATGTTTGGCTTCAAGCCATGCTGCGAGCTGAGATCCTGGGGCAGAAAAGCACAGCGACGAAGGAAGGGACCACTTTCTGCATCGAAGCGTTGGGCAGCCCAGCCTCGACCATCTGCATTGCTTGGCCAAGGCGCCGCGCATTCCCCAGCCTTAGACCGCAAGACCCTAAGGTTCAATGTGTAGACGACATTCGATCTCGTCGAAATGGAACTGCATAGAACGATTAGAATGGGCCAGCAATGGTCCGGACAGGTCTGCCAAGCAGCAGCTTCACGAGGATGCTGAGCGTGTAGTTGCTGGGCTTGATGCCAGATGCCTTCATCTCTTCCAGCAGGCGCAGCGCCTCGCCGACGTTGCGCTGCTTGGTGCAGCCGTCCAAGATCGAGTTGTACCTGGAAAGTACGGAAAGTACGAGTACAACATAGTACAACACCACTCAAGGTTGACGTCAGAAAAAACTGTGGGAAGAAAAGCCCAGCGACATGATCTCGTCCGGCACAAAGTGCCCATCCCGCTTCATCTCCTGGTTGAAACTTGAAACTAGGCAGCTGTTAAACAGAATGACTGGCTTCTCATCAACCGTCGAGCACTCCTCGAGTACGCTCAAGGCCCGTTCCACATCACCATTCAGGCAATAGCCCTTGATGATCGTGGAGTACGTGATGATGTCAGGCTCGATGCTGGCTTCACGCATGTCTTCCAAAAGCACCGAAGCCTTTTCCATCGCATTGCACTTCGCGCACGCATCCAGCATGGTGTTGTAGGTGATGGTGTTGCAAGCAATGCTGTTGTTCCGCATCTCCTGCCGAAAGCTCTCCCCGGTAGCTCCCTCGTCACTTCCCTCTCATCACACCCATAACATGAGTACCCCCAAGCAACAACAAGCAAAAAACAGGGGATAACATGGCCAGGCAGGGTAACGGCCTTGTAGACGGCAAGCACTCTGTCAATGCGCTTCGAAACCGCAAAGCCCTTCAGCACGGTCGAGTACACCACCGTGTTGATCATGCTCTTGCCTTCAGATTGCATATTGCACCCTCCCAGCTAACTGGAGGCCAAGGCTGAAGAGGGGTGGGCTGCAGGAGCGCTGGTGGGGCAATTCATCCAAGGCGCGGTCGTCGTATTGCAACTGGTCCTGGAAAATTTTTCCAGAATCTCAGGACGCGGTCAGCTTTGCAATGTGGTGGAAAGAACTTGCGAGGTCCTGGACAAGTTGCCAGGCTTCCTCGCCCTGCTTGTTGATGACCAAAGCCTCCACCACACAACCGATGGTGATCGCCGTGGGCTTCACATTGTGGCTTTGCCTCAGAAGAGGCACAGATAGGCACAGACTAGTAACTTGACTTGCTGCTGTTCCCACCACTCCTTGAGGCATTTCCAATCCAAGCGGCAGCTGGGCCCAGAGCTCGCGGACCTGGTGGAGGTAGCCGGCCTCACCAAAGGCCTTGATCATGGCCCCATAGATCGGAGCAGAGATGTTCCTGGGCATGAATCCCCCCTCAACCCCCCCGCCCAACCCCCCCACACCCTCCCCAACTCCGACACATCCACGCGAGCTTCGCTTCAGAACTATAAAAGGTCTGAGAGTCTTGAAGAGGCCCTTCACCTTGTATCGACCAATGAAGTCGGAGAGGCTGTCCAACCTCTTGATCCGGATGCAGGCTTCGATGATCGACGAGAAAAGAACTTCATCGATGGGCTCCTGCACATGGGGTACAGTTCATGAGTAGTGAAGTTCATGAGCTGCCCATGTTTTTGTTGTAGGATCTTGGACATCAAACGGATTCGGCCGCCTCCACACTGTCAATCAAGCTCAGAACCCGCGCCTTGAACGACTCTTTGGTGACTTGTGTTGTGGCGGATTGAGGATGGACATGAAAATTGCAAATATCAGCAAGTCCAAGTTCCGGGTCCACAAAACTCAATGCAACCGAGCTTCCAAGTCTGTCTCTGCTGAATGCTGCGTCAAGGATTTCAGAAGAATTGAGCAGGTTATGAGATTGGCCTGGAACCGGCTTTGCGCAGCAATTGCCCTGCTACATAAGCAACATCCAACTCCTGCAGCAACTGCCCTGAAGCACAAGCAACATCCAACTCCATGTAGTGCATACTGCACGGACTCAAAGAGACAACCCTGGAGACGATGCTGGATCTCACGGTGCCAGCCTTGAGGCCTGCTTGGAGCATCTGGTCAACGATGCTCCACATGCCCGCGCGATCTCGGGCGGCCACTTTGGCATTCAGGAGCTCGTTGTAGGTGACCTCCCCGCATACTCAGCATGCCCATCGCACCTAAAACTAGCAACACAAATCTCGATTGGACCTGCGTGCCTTGTTGGCTGCCAGCCCACGGGAAGTCATCTCCTGCAAAAAATGAAACGAGTTGTGCCAGTAGCGCTACTTCATCCTTCTCTCCATGCCTTCACGACGAAAACCTAAGCTTAAGAGGGCATCTTTTCAGGGCACCTTTCGGTCACTTTCTTGCCGCTGTCCTGCACGAGACTTCGTGCCTCGCCCATGCGGCCGGCGGCCAAGTAGCCCTGTGCAAAGAACTCCTTTGACGGACCTGTTTTTCCCTGCAAGAACCCGTTACCCTGACCGGCACTGGCACCCTGACCAAAGGCGCCTTGAGAACCGTGTTGTAGCTGACCTTGAAACTGCAGTGGGACAGTCAGCCACACCTTTTGAAAAGTTTAGGTCGCCGACCACGTCCACGAAGCCAAGCTGCTTCATCTCCTGAACGCCACACTGTCGAAAGAAGTCTTCAGCTTCTTTGGTAAACGCAAGCCGCTCCTCAAAGAGCGACAGGGCTGCCTCAATGTCACTGCACTGGACGCAGGCATCAAGGTAACCTGGTGAGCACGCAAGAGTCGACGTCAAGCCACAGATGGTTTTTGGCCAGAACAAGCTGTAACAAGCTGTAACAAAGTCAGTATAGCTCAGCCCATCCCATTCTGCCAAGCGACAGTTATAGATTTGCGAGCGCATCACCACACCATTCTTCTTCAGGCGATTGAACACGGCCGTTACGTTGGGCAGGTCCTAGCAGCTGGAATCCTTCTCACCGGGAATCGCCAGGACTTCAGCGTTTCTGTAAGGGGTCTTGGTGGCACTGCGGTCCTTGTTCTTCACGTAAGCCTTCATGGTTGTTACTGCCCGCTGAATCTCCGTGTTGCTGTCCTTGCTGTCCTGCGACACTCGGAAGATTGGTTTCAAGGGGCAATAGCCTCAAAAGCCGCACAGGTGGCACCAGTTGTGGGTTTTCAAGGTCGCCTGCAGCGGCTGTACGCCAATGCGCTGGAGCTGTGCTTGGACTTCGGCCCCGCGCTGCTCTTTGTTCGCCAAGCACAGGATCTGACACGAAGCTCCGATCGAGGTGAGATGAGTTCGCATGCCCTAACCTGACCGAAACTCGTCCGATCTCGTCCGAACTCCCCACCTGGCCAGCCGCAGAGGCACCGAGGAAGCGCGGTCCCTGGTCATCCGGCAGCTGCTCGAGCTGCCGCAGCGCCTCGTCGAGCTTCTGCCTCTGTGCAGCCTGAAAAGCCACAAAAGCAGCCCAGACAAGACGTCCGAGAACGCGGAAGTTGTCCAATCGAGCTCAGCCACTGCAGTGGCCAAAATCGCTCGCATCTTCGGCCTCGGGGCTCACTCCACACCCAAGCGCTGTCAGCACTCAGAACCGGCATCCACAGGCGTCCCCTCGGGGTGGGACGTCAATGAGTCTTCCGGCAATCTTGAGGCAGTGACAGCCACACCTGCACCCCGGTTTGTCAGCACACTTCTGCTTGACAGCGCAGACATGTGAGATGGGAGCCAGTGCACAATTCAGGCAGCGCGCACCGGCAAAATCACGACGACGCAGCTGGGCGGCCATCAGCGCGGCCTCCAAGTGACCCGGCAGATACCAAACTGAAGTATACTGACGTCTGAACGTGGGAGACTTGATCTGTCAGTCTGCATATTGACTTGGAGCGTTGCGTAGGTCGATGTTTCGGCTCGCTTGCCAGTCTCCTGATGGGCAGCATTGCAGCAGCCAAACGTGAAGCATGAACAAAAGGAGCTGCATTGTAGCTACATGGAAACCTGCAGAACTTGCAGAACCGGTGGAAGCAGATCGATGGCCTCAGACAAACATGTCGGGAGGAGCACACAGCAGAAGTGCTTCACGTGCTTAGGAATGCACGTCATCGCGGAGAAGTGCGGCCGGCAGCGCCTACTCTGTCAGGACCGGATCGATCCAAAGAAAAAAACAACACAACAATTACCAACTGTACTTTGATTCTGCTGCATGGTCGTGCACGCAGAGCTCTGAATAGACTTGGCAACGCAGCCTCCATTTCCGCCAGCAGCTTCGCACCTGCGGGCCCCTTCAGCGCCCCGCGCAGCTCCGCTTCCACCTGTTTCACATGTTCGCAGGCAAATGAGATTGTCTTCAAAGGGGTCGTCGTTCATGGGCGCATGTATACCCCGCCTCCGAGCTCGACTTGCGTAGCTGGCGCATGGCAGTCAGAGCCTGCACTCTCAAAATATTCCAACCATGAACACAATGGTTTTTGAAATCAGTGAGCCCTGAGCCCCGGCCTTGTAGAGGCCCGAGCCAGGGCTGCCCGTCAACTCGGCCCGGCCTTTCTTGACCTCTCAGGGAGAAACGATGAGCTAGTTGCTACGGGTGCTACGGCTACGGCTGAGGGCCCAAGGCAGTCCCAGAAATCGGGGCCTGCTCCCAGTGCTTCCAGGAGTCCTTGGCCTCCCGCAGCCCGGCATCCTAAGTCAGAGGGCGAAGCGGGCGCTCGAGTGGCAAGTCGGAATAGTCGCCATGTGCCTCATAGACGTTTGCCAACTTTCCTTTTGGCTTCTTTGACCTTAGAAGCCCCTCCTTCAGCCCATCTCATGCTTCGAGTACGCCACATCGCCCAGGAAGCCGACCCTGTCTGGGGCAGGCCCATGCACCTCAGCAAATTGTCAAACTCAGCCAGTCTTTCTGCGATTCTGCTGAGACCCCCCTTCCAGAGTGCTGCCAGGGCGCGCGACATACACGAGGGCAGCAACCCCAAACATAGCAAGCTCTGTCCATACAAGGGACAAGGCCTAACAGTCATGACACGCTCACAAGTGCCCAAAGGAAAGCTCGAGCACGCCACCGTGACTGCAACAAATAGTTTTGCATAGTTTTGCGAAATGCATCCCTGGCCTCATAGGCAGCAAGTGCCATCACTGACAATGCTTCCACAAAAGCCATTTTTCTTGGTGGCAGAAGTTTCCTTGGATCGGCTGAGTCTGTGCTGCCGCTGCCAACACAATGAAGGACAGCAACTTCGAGCAGAATAAACTCAACTGGCAGACTGGGCTCCTTCCTGAAGCTTGACTGGAAGGAAATTGGACGGGAAGAGGTTTTCCCACCTCAGCTCCGAGATGCAACGTTTTGAGGGCAGCCTTCCGGCAACAAGAACCGTCCCAAATGTCTGGCCGATTCAAGACACGCAACGCACTTTAAAAGCGCTTGTGAACTTCAATGGGGCTTCAATCAGAGCCTCAGCACGTCTTTGCGCAGCCAAATTCACGAGCACGCTCACAGCCGGAATCTATGCATCTGCACTGCTAAAAACCACTCTGCCAAGTATTGCCAAGGATCTGATCGCAGCACCTAGGCTAGGCTATTTAGGCTTGAGCCCGGCGGCGAGCGAAGGCGAACACCACATCCAACCAAATCTACAGCCACAGTGGGCAGGCAGCGAGTGATGGACCATGAAAAGCAAGCTGAGTTGTTGTGAGTCCGTGCATTGGGTTCAGGCCAAGTCTAGAGGTGGGATCTGGAGTTGGATTCCATCGCACCTCGGCCCATTGCGGCTGCTCTCCGATGCGCAGCAGCGGGGGGATCGTATGGCAAAATCAAAGGCTACACTTCTGCTCTCGTGAAGTGAGGATTCATCTGGAGACTCCGGCCAGGTTGGCAATTCGGTCGGACACATCTGACCTGCAAGTGGCAGGAGCCACGAGCCACCCAGGCCCGATGGCCGCACTCCAGCATGCCCTGCCTGTTCTGTTTGGTGGCTGCAAAGCCGCGGTCAAGAGACTTGAGGGCCTCGCAAGAACAAAAGCCATGACAGGCCATGAAAACCTTCGCGCAGGTCTCTCACTCTAGACTGTAGACTGACTCCTGACTCCAGCGCCTCGAGCAGCGCTGCTCTGGCAGCCAGGCGCTGGCCGTCCGCCTAACGAGGTAGCGTGGCGCATGCACTACACAGCATACTTACAGCCAGCCACTGCTGCGCAGCTCCTCGGGTTGGCCGGTCGGGCCGCTGGAGCCAGAGGCCTCCACGCTACAGATTCTGTGGCCATGGAACACCGCGACAGCTGCAGTGCCTGCATGGCAAAGGCTGGACGCCCAACAATCACCATGATGGCGCCCGCCAAAAGCAGTCCCACCTCGGACTTGACCAGGCTGCTGTGCTGTTGAAGAATTGAAGAACTCTGACTCTGACTGATTGCTTTACGTAACGAGGCACCCACCCCTTGTGCTTTTTGAAAACCCGAGCGGCCCGAGCGGCGACGACATGCCCAGCGGGCCGAGCCTGCACCAGAGCCGTCTGCAAAGCCCAGCACACAAGGGCTTCAGCATGGATGCCCTTGTTGCATTTTTAACAAAGACGTTCCTGGCTCAGCGAGCCCGATGCTTGGAGTTGCCATCTTCGGCAACACAGACATGGGAAATGCGTGCTGGACGACAGTATGACATAATCTGACAACAGTGTTGTTCAACTGTTTCACACAACGGTGAAGGGCTTGGCTCGGCTGGGCTCAATTTTCAGCGTGACGGATGCCTTTAGTTCGACTGTGTGCAAATTAGGAAGTGCCAAGCGGGCGCAACCTTGAGGCTCCACATGTTCCATGTCAGGGAGCGGCAGGTGGACTCCTCTGCGTGGAGAGGAAACAGCTGCGAGTTCTGATTTTTTTGGCATTCGCAGGAACTCAGCGAACAAGCCAGGACCACGCATGGACAGCTGGCTTGCGTTGAACCTCTTTTACCGCCGCCACCTTCGTTCACTTCGCTCGGCACCAGACCAATGCAGAAGGTCAACCCAGCGGCTGCCGTTGAGGAAGCGGAGCTCGCTACTCCACTCCAGGCCTCCGGATGTATGGACATGCTGGTTTCTGCCGCGTCATGGAACTTGCTTTCGTATTTAGTCAACGAACGCATGCTGGGAGGAAGAGCGAATTGACAGAGCGCTGGGAGCCTGTGTGGTTTCTGAAGCTTTCGGCAAAAGCAACGAGACCTCACGGAAGCCAAAGCACATTTCGAAGCGCATTTCAAAGCTTCAAGGCTCACAACGACTACTGGGGCCATGTTACAGTGTTCCAGCAGAGTACTCTCTGGGTAAAGGATAAGGTCCGGGCAGTAAACCCCTCGCCATTCAGCTCGCTGCTGTCTGAGCAAGCGGCCTAGCCTGCCAACTTTTTCATCTTATTCAATCACAGATAAGCACAGCGAAGGCTGACAAAGCATGATAACGACATCTGAAACGAGGCCTGCTGTACGTCTCTGCTGCCTCAGGCAGCCCAGAAACTGGATCCTCACAAGTAACATCCAAAATGCTGCGCCCAGCAAGGCTCGTTCAAGCCGGTCCTGTTTGCCACCAGATGCAATGCCAAAGGGCACGTTGGTGACAATCCTTAGAACGCTTGCTTGGTGGATTTGAACTATCGAAACTGGCGAACGATTTTGCTTGGCTGGCGAGACTTCGCTTTGGGTCGAGTGGCAACGTAGGCCGACCTTGCAAACAGCAAGCCAACGACCCACAACACTTTCAACAACACTCCTGATGGTTTGGGTGCCATGTGTTGAACAAGCAAGCTAGAGTTGCGTCAGGCCGTGAAGCACAACCATGCATCATGCATCGTCAAGTAGAATTAAGTAGAACACACCACTGCGCAAGAAGACCGTGCCGAAACAGAGACAGACAGACAGCAAGCGAGAAAGAGGCAGTTTAGCTTCCTTGCCCGGGCCTTGGAGCATCTGCACCACCTTCGAGATCGAGCCCTCACAAGAACGAGACGTGCTAAGGGTAGAGCTGCGTGGGCGTGCATGCTTTTAGGCTGTGGTCGTATGTGCACGAAAAAGCGAGCCTGCACAAGCTGCACTTTGCACGGAACGCGCTCCGCGAGGCTCTCGAGGTCCGCCCTTTCTGCCTGGACATTTGGGATGCTTTTGAGATTTTGGGGTTTGGGGGGCGACTATGCGTGACTCTTCCAACTTCCATCTGTGCCTTGGCCAGCTCCCCGTCCGGCATCTGCACGCGGCGCAGCGATCGCCGCAGGTTGGCTCGGGCTCGGCCGATCTGTTCCTGCTAGCGGGCTTCTCAAACCCCAGAGCAACAGAAGAGCTCCAGCCTTCTCTTCTCATTTACACACCCTTAGGAACCCTTGCATCGAACGTCCTCCGAACTGTCGCTGCCGAGAAGCCTCGGCTCCATGCGGGAGGAAGCAAGAGTTGCCCCGATTCAGCCAGAAACACGCAATGAGGCAATGAGCGATTTACAGAATGCACAAGGGGCGGCATGAGCCGAAGGCAAGCGTCGCTATCGAATGCTCTGGCTATGTCAATTGAGGCGAACTGCGTTAGCTTTGACGCGGCAACATGTGGCTGCACCGCCAGTGACGACGCGAAGTCGCGAAACGCCTGAAACAGACCGCTACAAGCAAGCGCGCTTAGAATGTGGGCAGATCAACACAGTCGGGCTGGCGACGCATCATTCGAGAACCAGTCAAGATTATGAAAGGCCTCCGAGGAGTGGCACGGGAAGGACTTGAAGGGATAGTACTTCCTGTGGTTGCCAGACAGCTGGCCCAAGACGATGCCCAAGGCTTCCACAAGGATGGCCTCGGAAATTTCGGGATCAGAAAGTGAGAAAACTACAGTAGCCCATTCCAAGACCCAACAGCAGAGCGTCATGCTGAGGGTCAGATCCAGATTCCGCCTTTTCCGGTTTTGCCCGGCGCATTCTTTGCCGGATCCCTCTGAAACCCAGTAGGAACCAATATGCAGGCGGCAAGCTCCAGAGCCACAGAACGGATCCCAAAGGACCAGCTCTTCATCATTTTGGACGGCAGCACTCAATCGGCGCTGCAGTGGCGTCGCCAAGACCTCAATCCCATATCCAGAGCGCGGCGTGTTCAACGGGGGAACAGGGAAGGACGCGGAAGACCTGGCAAGCCCCCGGACGAAACGCGCACGGCGCACAACTGTGATAGGAACCGCGAGCTCATAGCAACCGCAAACACCCAACCGAAGTACGACAACCGAAGTTGGGTCTAAGCCTGGTACGACGTCTGTCCAACAGGAAATGGGGGCAAGCCCGAAAAAATGCAGAAGCTGCGTTGAACTACTCACCTCACTCTACTCACCTCGCCCTGCAACAATCTGAATCTTGAAGCCCTATCACCAGACAAGGAGGACTAGCCAGTACACGTCGTGCCTCCGTCACAACAAAAACCCTCCAAAAACTTGCGCATGCGGAGAAACAATTACAAGTACCTGCGTTCTGCCATGAAACACATGCAGCTGCCAGCGTTTCCCTCAACGAGGCATCCCCAACCGCCTGACACAATGCTCTGATGTGCTTCATCTTGAACACTCGGGATACGCATCTAGTATATCACCTACTTCACCTAGTACTGGCAGTAGCAGGCAGCCGAGTCAGGGCACAGGCACCGCCAGCAAGCGAGCGTTTCGTGTGCAGATTTGCAGGACTTGTACGGTCTTCCCCATGCCCTCATGGCCTTGCGGTGGCCTCGCTTGTGCAGAAGTCCTGAGGCTGCCATGCTGACCTGCCGGTGCACTCATCAAGCGTGCACAAAAGTTGCCGGAGACGAACTTGAACAGTCAGCACACCGCTGGTCAACCGCGCGTTGTGGACGGAAAATGTCGCCCCCCCCTTGCGACAGCAGGCCTGGCATTCGTTGTGCCGCAGCCGCACTCGCACCTCTGGCGGCACGCTCAGAGGTTGGTCTGCGGAGTCTGCGGAGCCACCGACCTGAGACCCAGCTTAATTGCTGCCTAGCTTTCGATGCGAGGGACATGCTGCAGAACAGCATACAGAATCGACAGCCATGCAAAGCTGTAGAGGAAGGGTGCCTGCTGTATAAGTCGCGCCATCTTGACTGCTTCATTCTCGCAGAGTCACAGAGTCCAGCGCTGCCAAGATGGACTCGGCAACATGATCTTGAACTAGGCGAGTGTGGTAGAGGCGTGACTTCTCCTCAAACCCAGGAGTCTTGCCCAGGGTTCTATGGAAACTACACTGGATACGAGCGCCAAGGCGAGCGTCTGAGGACACCTTTATGACGGGTGCGCCCATCATGTCATAGGCGCCTGTAACAGCCTTGGTCACAGGAAACACAGGCATTCCAAGCAGTGCTGCTACCCACTGCGCACACCAACCGACAATACATGACACAAACAACCGAGCATCACACAGTCGAGGGATTCTTGTCCGCGTCTTCGATGCCAGTGGCAATGGCATCCTGCATGGCATCCTGCTTGCAAACGACATATCGCATTTGAAAGGACGTGAGTTTCTGGGGGTCCTTGTTGAGAGCGATGTACTGATGCCAAGGTAGTCTTTGCAGCCCGACATCCAGGGAGCGCCTAAAGAGAAGCCCGAGACACGAGAAGGAAGACGAGACAAGAGGCCATTCATTGCATTCTCTCATCGCCTTACTCTCATTGCTTTTACTCCATTGTACACTCCAAGTCAAGCGCACGTCTGGTGCATGGAAGGGTTCCCCAACATGCACCAACACAGATTCGGCCACTCGGCTCTGCAGCACTGAACGCCACAGCGTCTCAGTTGTGCCATGAACTGCAAGTCCTGCAGGTGGCACGCCGAAAGAAGAGACATATATGGCATATGCAAGCCTCAAGCACTCCTCCAGCCATAGTCTCAAAGCGACCAGGTACGCCGAGCACCTGCAGCTCGCGCTCCAAGCCTTGCCAAAGAGGCAAACAAGTGCGAATGAATGTTGCAAATTCTCTAAAGCCCCCTCTTGGCCGCACTGCAACTACGACCCACAAATTGATCGTGACGACCCCATTGGCAGGCCCTCCCTGCAAACAAGAGGCTACGCTCCAACCCAGGCGACGTCACCAAGAAGAGGCGACGAAGCGCCTGACTGCACAGTGCATTTTCTTCGCCGTGCTTCACCAACTTTGCTACAAGGGAATTGAGTTCTTTTGCCGTAGCACTGGCCTGGCTCGCGCCGGCATGGACGGGCGAAGTCAGGCTCGCCATGAGACCGGCTTGGCACCATCTCAAAAACTGTTTGCCACGTCCACGACCACCCTACCCTTCAAAACATGAGAAACCTCCAATGTCATCCTTACCAGCCTTAGCGTTTAGTTGCGCAGACTGTGCAAAGGTGTGCTGCGCTGACACACGGATACTAGTGGTAGTACTACGCCTACAGCACGAATCGGGATGGATGTATTCACTTTGCATGTCTCTCTTCGCAACTCAAAGCTGTGAACACCAGAACGACCATCCGCTTCCGTACTTTAAAGTTGCATCCTGCGCTCAGCACGTCCAGCTTACATCTGTGCTTCTCAAGCGAACTTTGCAAGCGGTGCGTCCAAGCAGCGGTAAGTCTAGCAACAGACGTGGCCACGGGTCGTTGTTCGAGCCGCAGTGGCACGTCGCTGACCATGGTGTGCCGGGGAGCAAACTGCCCTCGCAACGCTCGCAGCGCTGGACGCAGAAAGCCACGGGTCCTGTTTGGAAGCCTTCGGACCACTGCCACATCGGGCCGCTTGGTCCAAGAGGGCCATGTTGCATCAGGCTCCTGGGATTTTCCGGAGATAGCACCCTCGATTGCAGCTTCAGGCATCCGCGTATCCTGTAGGCCAACAAGGTCTTCAGGGTGCAACGTTTTAACATGCGATCCCAGGACTCGGCAGCATGGCTGAGGATATCCGGCCTCAACTCAGATCCGGGCCATTAAACCACATTGCATGTACATCATGTTGTCCGCTGAATTTGCTGGGTGAAACCAAAAGAGAACAGACAAAGCATGTAAGCACTATGACGGCTTGCAAGCAAGACCACCAGAAACGCGAAGCTCCGACTCTTGATGAAATCTCCATGCTTGCAATGCAGCCCGGGCTTTGCTCAGACGTCAACGCAGCCACTTGTCAGATTCCACCTAGCAGAGACAAAGGTGTTGCATCTCCCTTCCCGCTGCTCTGAAAGCACTTTGCTGAACCAAGCGCTCAGCAAATGATTGGGGCAAGTGTGCGCTTTGTAGACCTGACCCCACAGGCAAGAATGGCATTCGAGAGAATCGAGCAGCATGACATCTCAAGCGGCAGCCTTGAGGAAGGACCAACAAACGAACGACCTCACGAAAAAATGGGAAGTGACAACTCGCATCACCGCCGCCACAGATTCATGGCTGAGGCTCCAGACATCACCATTATTGACATCCAAATGCCCCCAACACCAATGCGACAGGAGGCCTCAGACCAAGCAAGTTTCCAATTCATGTACAGAAACAAGCATTCTTCTTGTCTACTTCTTTTGCTGGGCATCAACATGCATCTACTGCGGCCCAGACCCGCCAGCATCGCAAAGCTGCTTGTGCAGCGGAGATGACCATGCTGATGATCAGCTGACCAGATGAGCAGCGTTATTCACTCAAACTTCAGAACGCGCGTTCGGCATGCAGAACTGGGTTACGACTTTTGCCTGATCACAAAGGGATGCCCCCCACTTCTTGTTCTGGACCCCTCACCCATACCTCCTGGGCACCACAAACGTTCGGGACCACCCTTGTTCATGGGCTTTGCTAGGTCCATCGTCTTCCAGCCAGAACAACGATCCCTTTGTTGCGAGTCCTTCGGACCTTACCCCCAAGACCTTGCAGCCTTACATTTGTACCTAAGAGATTGCAAAAAGCACAAGACACGGACGCACGGCCTTTATTGAGGCTAAGCTGAGCTGCTTCCGGTAGGTGAGGGCCTGAGCACAGGAATGCTCTTTCTGGCCGCCAAGTGTGCCAACAGTGGCCACCAAAGGAACCTGAGCACATCACAACGAAGGATCCTTGCAACCACAAGGCCATGACATTCCCAATGAGTACCTGCAGCACGGCGCGCGTGACCCATAGTCCGATTGAACAGGAATCGTTTTGCATCTCCGCACCCAAAGCATTCCTGGGCTTCAGATCACATGCAGGCGCCTTATGTAGCAGCAGCGTAGCAAAGTGGGACTCTTCTTCTTCTTGAACTTTCTCCTGATGCAGAACCCCCCGTCTACTGGCATTGCTGCAGAAAACATGCAACGTGAGCAAGCGGCTGCAAAGATGTGGGGGGGGGGTAAAGTCAAACACCGAGACTACGACCTCCTCCTCCACCGCAAAAAGCTCGCTTTGTTGCAGATCTCGCGAAGACTCAGCAAGGCATGTCGTCGCACAGCAGTCACAGTCACAGCGTTTCATCTGTCGCATGCTACGTCCGAGCCCTTTACAACTTTGCCAAACTCATAGTCCTCACGCGCCTGAAGGAGCAGGTAAGCCAATCTCTGGGTGACAAAACATTTGTGAGCCAAGGATGTCTGAACTGAGGTGCCTGAGTGGCTTTCGCAGACTGTCGGATCTTGTTCGTGTCAAAGACCCATTTCTTCTGCAGAGCCATCTCCTGTGGAGCATTGCGCAGCATTGGGCAGCATTGGGCAGCACTGGGCAGCAGACTAGGGAGAGGCCTTCACACGAAAACCCTGCAAAAAAAAACTTGTGCCAGCAACAGAGCGACTTTCGTCAAACTTTTTGCTTCCTCCCGTGGCAACGTCCCGCAGATTCCGAGACTACTAGTTCAAGCAATCTTGGGAGCAGACGCTCACCAAGCTAGGATTGAAATCGAACTATCGTACAACCAGCTTCGAGAAATCTTTGGGGCAGGAAGCCATGATGTGCAACAGCCTAAAGTCTGGGATGTTGCCTCATGGCTTCACCCTCTCGGGTGGTCCAACTGCCAAGGCTTTGCTTGGCCTCTCTTGAAGATTTTGATGTTACGAAGAAGAATCATCAGACTCACTGTCATCACCATCTGGGTCCGTTCGATGACCCAACCTCTGCCGGGAGCTACACCTTCTGTAGACTCATTATTGGCCAGTGCATTTGACCAACTGCTTCGAGGCAGCATGTGGCCCCCGAACAGAGCAGCTGCCATTCTCGCGAAACCTCAGCTTTACCGCGGGGCAGCGTCGCAAGTGTCTCTTCAAGCAGCACAAAGCCCAGCGAGTCTCATGATCCTCATGTCATTTTTGGCGCTTTTCCCAAGTCTCATGTTGGATCGAGGCGCAGCCAGGGAGTTCCGGGCGTGGTGGTTCTTCGAGCGGCTCCCAAGTCTCGAGCGGGGCTTGGCTCCTAGTATCCCGAAGAACAAACACCTATACGCAAGTCGTCTGAAAAGTCTCAAATCGCACAGCGGAACACAAGCTGGAACACAAGCTGTCCTACCAGAAATGTGGTCCAGAATGGCGCCTTCCGGCCGAGAATGGCAGAATGCGGCGTCAGATTCTGTTCTTGTTCACAGCGCCTCCCTCTGTCGCTCGGTGTCGCTCACTCTGCTTTGTTGTTCTACCAGTAATTAGGTGGATGGCCGCGGAGTGTCCACTGGCGGACAATCTCCGTTTCCGTCTCTTTCCGCCTTCATGGCCTCGCCTTCATGGCCTCCCACCTCCCCCCGCGGTAACTGCTCCACCTTGCACCTCGAGCCCCAAAGCAATTTGAGCTCGCTGGCTCAAAATCAGGACAGGGGTAATGTCCAACTTGAGATGGAACGGCCACTGTTTCTTCTCCTTCTTCTCCTTCGTCTCCTGCTTCTCCTTTTTCTCCTCACTTGGGGCTCTCTTCTTCTTCTTCTCCTTCTTCTTCTTCTTCTTCTCAGCGAAGAGGCCTCCGAGAGGGGACCCCGGCCCCGCTCTCTCTCTCTCTCTCTCGCTCTCTCTCTCTCTCTCTCTCTCTCTCTCTTCCTTCCTTCCACAGCACATAACCCCCAAGGGGGTCGTCCCAAGGGACGTGCTCCAGCGATCCAGTCTCTCTCTCTCTCTCTCTCTCGGCTTGGGGGGGCAACTTCCCCCTCCCCTGCGCAGTCCGCGTCAGACTCTCTCTCGCGCTCCCTTCCTTGAACTGCCGACCAAGGTACGCAGCTGGTGCAACCAGGGCTCATCCGCATAGTTGTCCCACCTGAGCACAGCTCGGCATGATCGCACCTTACCTGGAACGGTACAGCATACCCAGAATCCTCGTTAGATCTGGCACCCGAGGCTGCGTCTCAGGATCGCCAGCTTTAAGCAGCAACTGGCTGCCAGCCTCGAATAAAGAGGCCTGCTGCCAGCGGCCTGCTTTTGCATCAAAGCATGCAGAACGCATCTCACAGCCGTGCAAGCCCAGAAACCGCAACACACCTTCACGCTCGGGTCCCGCGCCGTCTTTCAGATCCAACACCCTTCCGCCTTGAACAGATGCAAGACGCTGCGCGGTATTCAGCATGGACTCTTTGTAGCTGGCAGCGCATCGCCTGACCGTCCGTGCAGACTCTAATTCAAGCCGAGCTGCCTGAATCCTTCGCTTGCACCACCACTTGGCCACGCGGAGCAAAGGGGTCATTGGAGCTGAGGATTTGAAGACCTGCCTCCTGCTGCTTGCCAAGTCTCTTCAGAATGCGGCAACTGTCTGCATACCTGCCAACACTACTTGGCTAAGGAATGCTCATGAGATCAGAGAAATTGTCGGGAAGCTGGGTCCTCCCCCTTGTTGACGGCTTTCACCCTCGGTTCACCGTGGCATGGACTCCATTGCGCACAGGGCGCGGTCTCCGAAAAGTCTGCCCCGCACGGAAAGTGTCTTTGTGTCGTGCTCAGTCGTCGCTGAGTTCGGGACAGTATCGTGGAATCTGGCTTTACACGGACCCTCCGTGGAATGCCGTACGGGCGCTGTGTGACTCGCAGAGCAGCAGGATAAACCTTCATCCATTTCTCCAGAAACAGCACCTGATTGGGTGCAACAACCGCAAGAAAGCTGCACATCCAGATACAAGATCCTGGTACGAACGAGCTGATGAAAAGACGACGACTACCCAAAGCATGTACTGTCAAAGCCAGCAGCAGACAGGCTCATGATCGGGCTCATGAACCCTGGCCAGAACCTCAGGTTCAAAGAAGGCAAGGTGGAACCTGGAGGGGGGATCCCAAGCAACAGTAGGCACCATGAAAGCCAAGCGGCGGGGGAGCTCTGACCCTTTCGGTCACGTAGGACTCCAGGCTTCCATACCACACAGACGTCAGCGTGACATAAGGGAAGTACCTTTAGAGACTGGCGACATCCAGGACATTGAAACATCGGATGTTGGGCAGAGTAGAACACCTGCAGTCAAGGCACCCGAGGTGTTCTTGCAACAGGCTGCAGCGATTGCTGCAGGTCCGCGGCCCGACCAAACATCCAATCAAGCTAAACGCCTCGAAGGAACTTAGTCTCTCTCACAGCACACCCGTAAAAGCTGTAAAGCATTGTGAAGCTGCCCGTGGGCTTCATCGCACCTTCGGCCATCGGGCACGGGTGACCACGATTCGGCTGTTCGTGAGGGTCAGCAGGGTGCCTCGTCGCTGTACTCAAGCAGCTCTGTACGAAGACATCACAGCAGGAATCGAGTAAGTCGCTAGCCGCCACCACCACAGCCTGACTAAGTGCGGCCGAAGTGGCTGTAGTTGAACGGATCGCCAAAGAAGCCAAACGCGTCCAAACGATGCTCCCAGATGTGCTGCTCGCCATTGCAGAAGACTTCTTCCAGCGGACAGACACCTGCACGGCTGCTGCAAACAAAAGTGTGTGCGTGTGCGTCAGTCACAGGCCAAGCAGATTGAGTTATGCGACATCCCACCTGCAATGTTAGCGCCGCCATCACCCACAGGCTGCAGCCCAGGAATTTTGGCCGGTCTTTGGGCCAAAGTGTTAAGGGCTTCGTACATCTCCAGGGCCTGCAGGAATACATCTGAAGCTGTGCTGGCACTGCGTTCAATGACCCATGTGATTGCAGCAGGAAAAGTAGCATAAGCGCGCTCACAGCCTCCCCATGCTGTCCTTGATCAGATCTAGGCATCACATTCGCTGTCTTCTGGGAAGTGGTGAACAAGTGAGGCCCTTCAACAATTCGTGCGATGGCGTGACTACGTGCAGCAGCGAATCGAGTAACTTGCAGTAGTCCAAACTTGCCGCGGACGGTCGCCGTCCCTCGTCTCCATGCCTTCGAGATGTTGAGACGTTGCTAAATTTGCGCGTGCTGGATGACTAGGGCATGAGTGCGGACGTGCACGCGACCCAGCCTTCGAGAAACCTGAATGCAGACGATCTTCAAGAAGTGGTCTGGCAGGCATGTCGAGCTGGGCCAGGGAAATCTCACCAACTTGGAAGCTGTCCTCAGGATGCCAACTCCGAGCAGATCCGGGCAGTCCCAGTATGTCCCAGTGCCCTTTTGAGTGGGGGAAGCCTTTTAAGCGCAAAGGTTTAATTCGTCCCCGCATCCAATTGGATGGATGTTCCTCCATACCAAGCAGGACAGAGGATGGCGGGAAAGACGTCTGGTGGAGGGCGTCGTGTCATCTGAGCGGAAGTTGACATGTCTGACATTCTAGTTCTCATCTCTTCTTTTGTACAATCCTACCATAAAGCATGCACGACAGCTACCCAAAAGCGCTTCTCATGCTTCACAGTCACATGGACAAGCCGGCCCCAGCTAGTAACAACGAACAATGACTGGATCTCCCGTCGCAGCTCGATGTAGTAGTGCATAACCTCGCAGGCATGTTTGGAGACAGCTTTGACATGTCCGAGCATGGCTGCTGGCAGGCGCGGAACCATGGCGATTGGCACAACGACGAAGAAGAACGGGCGGAAGCCCGCTCTCACCCACCATGCAGCCCATGTGGGCATCACCCAACTCAGAAACAGCCTCATGCATCAGAAGGTGGCAAAATGTGCAGAATTGCAGGAATCCGATGGCTTTGAAGATCATCGCAAAACCCGCCCAGCCAAGGGCCAGGCAGAACCAGGTAGTACAGGAGCAGCGTCAACAAGATACTGAAACGGGCATGCAAATGAGAGTGGGAATGTCATCACATGTCATGGAAATGTTTCACGGGTGTTTCTCAGTCTCCCGATCGTCCTGTAGATGCCTTGCCGTGGAGTATCCGACCATGCCCTGCAGACCTTCTCGTCCGGTTGTATGCCCAACAATGCCTAGCACCGAGATGCGTGCCACATCGTGCTGCAGTCGACCAAGATTCGGGCCCGGTAAAGATACGGCCTTGTCCACATAGCAGCAGGTTCTTCGTTTGTTCGCCAAATTGTAGCGTTCCTGGAATCGCTGATTCACTCAGGCGAAGGTCGACGGCTCACATCTGGATTGGAGCGACATTGCTGATGCGAACACATGGGCTCACTAAAAGGAGGAAGTATACTCAAAGATCCATTCAAGGATCGTAGCAACCGGCATCGGCCTCAATAACTCAGAAAGCAAAGCAGTGGACACAGCGGGCGCAGCCGATGCTGGCACAGAATGCTACAGAATGCTAGAGACTCTGCAACTGCGGCGCTGGTCGGACGTCAGCTTTCATGTCGGTCTCCCAGCAGTCGACCTGCGAAGAATGCAGATAACACAGATTCGGGACACTCTCAAATACTCTCTTCTCAAGGGCCTCGTTCACCTTGTCCGGCTCACTTTCTTCCTCGCGCCGGCAGGCTTCGGCAACTTCATGGCCTGTCATTTTCTGTGGCCAGAACCTGCGGTTGCCTCTCATACCGGGTCGCCACTTGTCAGTATCTAAGTCTTTCTAAGTCTGGCGCATTTCGACAGAAACTTCCGGTATGCGTCCTCGCGAATTTCGAAGTCATCCTCAAGCACATGCTATTCAAAGGCAGAAGCTTGTCAACAGACATGCCTGCAAGCCCACCGTGCATAATGGGAACCCGACCTGGTTCGCAGGATCTTGCACAATAGTCATGTGCACGACAGGCTTGCCAGAAAACCTTTCTTCTCCCGAGGATGGAATTAGAAGGAACATGCGTTATTGAATCTGGCATCGGCACCCATATGTCAGTCTGTGCCTGGTCCTCTCATGCGGCCACGGGACGCCGCCTTTCCAAGCTGAACCTCTGCTGCCCAAGCTGCCGGTGTTCAGAGATTCAGAGCGCCACAGCTTCGAACTGATAGGAACATCCAGCGTGTCAAGCCAGATGTTCCCTAAAGGTGCCCCTTCGAATCCAGTGGAAGAACTTGCGACTTCAGCTGCTGGCACGGCACGCTGGCATGAGCGCGCTGTGCCACGTACCCGACCCCAATAAGGGTAATCAAATGGCTAAGCACCTGGACACGAGGCACATGTTGGGGAAGCATGGCCTTAAGCCTCTTGAGCCTCTTGAGCATGCTGAGGTGAGGTGCCCATACGCGGAGGATGCTGAGGTGCAGGCCATGCACAAGGCCGATGGCTCTTTGAGCCAGTTGAAAAGCGTCCGCTCGACACAGCCATGGCACGTGGTCATGTCAGACAGCCGGAGCAGGATGCCGGGGCCGCCCGCGAACTGGCGATTCCGTACTCGCCCTTAGGCCAATTGTAGAAGCCAGTTCTTGAGTGGAAGCACGTGAAAACACTGCTCCGCGACTGCTCTGCGCATGCAGCAATGCTGCAGCGCCTTGGTGGAAAGGATCCGTAGATCGAATGAAGCCTCAACACCACTGAAAAGCGCCCAAGTGACCATGGCAGCACGAGGCCAGCAGCACACAAACAGGCCAAGCAGCAATGCTGGTCAGTGGATGCTCCGAGAATGCCCCGGTAGTTAACCTTCAAAATGCTGGGAAACAGACCGCACACCGGCTGCGCCATCAACGAGCTGGGAACTGAACCTCGAGTTCATGCCAACCTTCATAAGGCCTCGAAATCAAGCACTGGTATCACGGTATCACCACCACGGCATCAACACGCTCAGCAAGCGCCTCAGAAACTGGTCGGGCCCATAGAGCGTGCAGGATCCACCAGAGGCCTCTGTGTACACGTAGGCATTGCATTGGGCGACGTCCTGTTCTCACCAAAACCGTCTGAACATGTCTGATTTCGGGACGTCCTGTTGCTCTCAGAACAGTACCGCGTCTGCCCGTCATCTGCCGTCATCTGCCGTCACTGGATCTGTCCTGGGTCGACTCGATGCACGTCGACTTGCAGCCTTCGGCTCCGCCAAGGATGCGATCGGCATCACGGCGAACGTATCCCTGCCTTTCCAGGAGCGGAAACACGGAAACTGAAAAAGAAAAAAGCACACGCACAAACTTGAGAACAAAAAACACGGTTCTTTTTGAGTTTGCGCTGAAGCCTGACCATCATGCAACGTTGCTCGTCTTCACCGCATTGCTCCCCACACTTCGCTGCCACAAAAGCATCGCCCTCGTGGCTCAAGTTGGCAAGAGGACAGGTCCTCGGTTGAAGGCACGTGCTTCCAGCCATCATGGTCTGCGAAGGAGAACAGAATCCAGGCGGACTCAAACTGAGGCTCTCGTACAGGAGGCATTCATAGCTTGAGCTGCGGTTGTTCGTGCCATACCTGGCTGTCTTGCTGCAAGATACTATTACTACTAGCTGACTAGCTGAGCTTGGGCCCAAGAGGTGAGCCCATGGTGAGCCTGCCCAGGTGGTCCGCAATGAAGTGGGGCAGGTGCTGGAAGCCGCTCCGGAAGGCCACTGGGACCTCCCGGATAGAGGGCGGAAGAAGAGCGGAGAGGGACAGAGAGACGATGTGTCCGCTCCTCGCCCGAGTAGAAGACATGCGTGCACCAGGGCTCCTGCCGAAAGGCGCCCGGTGTTGCGCGTGTGCCCCTGACTTCCTGCAGCTTCTGAATCTTCTAGCCACCCCCCCGTCCTTCTGGCAAGCATCCTTGCCTCAACTGCCGACGTGTGTCGTCGTGCGAATTTCACGCAGACAGGCACGAGCATTCTTCTGAAGCCAGGGCCGGGTTGCATTGCTCCACCCTTTCAGTGATGATTTCGCTTGCGTTGGAGAAATTCATCCCTTGGACTACAGTGAGTACAGCATGTGTGAAAGCATGCGAAGACATGCGAAGACATGTGAAGCCAGCGAGTATGTGCCAGCGCACCAGCAACTTCTGATGACCATGCAGCTGGGGTGCTTTGTTTTGGCGTGCCGCGACAGGTCAGGCCACTCTGCCCCTGCTCCAGGACAGACCAGGCCCGCTTCCTCAGTGTGGAAAGTGGCATCGGGAAAGCGCTTTTGGGCGAAGCAAAACGAAGTAGCTTGATGAAAACAGCTTTGATTGTAAATGGCTTTGGCTAGCAGTATTCTTTCCAAGCCATTTTGAAGAAAGGAAGTGGGTATGTAGTAGGTGGTCTAAAACTGCGAAGGAACACTTGAACCAACAGTCCAAGGAATGTGAATGCCTGAACCAAGACTAAGCCTTAATGTCTTGAGTTACTAACCGGCTTAGAGACCTGTCCAACCGCAGCACCCAACATACCCTCATTCCATCTCATTCTTCCGGGCTCCTACCTTCACGACTCAGATGAGCAGAGATGGACTCATGAACCACTACACCAATACCATCAGGGCAAACTGCCATTGCCGACTAACTACCCTCCACCCAAACTGGATCTGCGACCTGACAAATCACTAAAGTCTGCGTTTGCTTCAAGCTGCCAGAATGACAGCTTCATGGGCTTGTAGATACAGATAGTTTTCTCATAGCCTTGGCAAACCAGGTTTCATCAGCCCCCTTGCTTCCCACGTGCGTTCTGGAACATCACAAACACAACGTCTGCCCCGCCCAGGAGCTGTGATCAAAGATCCGGAGCGGGGGCCAATAGCCACTTGTTTCCGGGCCCAGCCCTTCAGCCATGCAAGCTTCTTGCAGATCGTGGCAGTCCTCCTCAAACCTTTGTCAGGTCAGCACCGGAGTCAGCGCTGGCAGGCGTAACGAAGCAGAAGTTACGTCGGCTATGTGCAAGCATGGAACATAGGGGACACGGGCTCCACGTAGACCAGTGCTACATCTATGTGCCCGCGATATGCTCCAATGCATCGCTCCAAACTTGGAAGGGCCCCGATGCGAGCTCATGCAGCTGTGCAAACTGCACACACAGCGCACACAGCGCACAATCATGTCTCGTGATAGAGCCCTGAGCACCGCACAGTTGCAAAGGATGTGCAGCAACCCCCTTCTGCAGCTGCTTGTTTTCCTCAGAGTCCTTCCAATGCACTCTGATGCACTCCGTGTGCTTGAGGCAGAAGAGTTCTCATCCTGCTGTCCTTCTCACCAATCTGAGTGATACGCATGCCCTCGGAAAGCAACACCTTGCAGCATCTTGCAGACACAGGTTACGAAATTCCACTCCCATTGTCGCGTTGATCTTTTTGCCTTGTGCCATGCGCGACTGGACGGGTCCAGCGGCATCGACCAGACTGTGACGTCGTGCTTGATGAGGAATCGAGTGTGCACCTCAATGGAATCTAGTAGTCCATGGGCAATCAGTGCAGAGTTTCATGTTCATTGCGATTTCAGGATGTCTGCACCTCGCCATCATAGGGATCGATATAGGTAACCCTTTCTGTTGCATCGGCCAGCTCATCCAAAGCTTTGCACTCCAGCCGAACATGAAGAGCACTGGTCGCGTCGTTTGTGAAGGCCTCACCCTTTTCTGTGCCTTGCAGAATGACAGTGCCCATCAGTGCCCTATCCTTATCTGTCCCACTTTGCTCAGATTTCCTTTAGGGCGAGGTAATCCAGGCAAACCCTCAACAGGTACACCGCTTGCTGAGCCTTTTCGTTGGGAAGGGGTGTTGAGAATCGCTCACCGAGCATGCTCACATGATGGCACCGTACACAACTTGCAATGTTCGGGATGCCACAAGTAGCGTGAGCAGGGACATCAGTAATTCCTTATCGTTACGATAGCGTAGACGAGCACAAGGCCAATTCTCCACGCAGCCTTCCGCCCCTAAGCATGAGAAAGCTCGGTCCCCCCGAGTGGATCCATTTCTCCAGCAGACCAGCCCTGAACTGCCAATGTCTGAGTTCCGCACAGTGGTCAGTGGGACGCAAAAAATAGTCGCAATAGTCCCCATTGCTGGTGCAGCCGCCTTTTGACCCATGACGGGCTAGTGCGCACACTCAGCTCCAACATGGGAGAATTTAGTCTGAATTAACGAGTTATAGAATGAACTAGTGGCAACTAGTAGCTCACAGGATGCCAACCTTGTCTACCTTCTTCACCAGCATGCAAGTATCTCGAAGTGCATGTGACCGGTGCCTTTGGTGTAGTCAGCGGGCGGAAAAGCTCCGGCCACGCGCTTCACTTTGCCCAGCAGGCGAGAATTGTCCACATGCCAGCTGCAACCATGTACCTGCACTCACGTAAACACTGAAGGTGGATTCAAAGCGTTCAAAAGAACGCACCGTAGCACCAGGCGGTCTGCAATTCTCAGAGGGCCTTCTTGATGCAAAGCTGCGAGTCAATGCGGACTTTGTCCAAGAAAGATGTGTAGTCCTCAGGAAACCCCCAGGAAGCTAGCTACTGGCAACATAATCCCGATCTACAAAACCAAGCGGCATAGATCGCGCCAATTAGCGAAAGCACAGCCAGTATAGCTGCAAGTCGAGCCAGGACAGCACTGTTGACGCCTCCTTCCTCGGACCGTGTGGACAAAAACAGGTGAGACACGGAGCAAGGCTTCAGCTCTGACTGGCCATGCACAACAGCACCTCGATGTACTTGCTTGCAGGATGCTGACTTGCACCACTACGCCCGAGTCGAAACATGAGAGCTGGGAAACGAGTCGCATTCACCAGCAACCGAATCAACCGAGGGGTAATTTCCGACCAAGACCGCAGGACACAGTGTGGAGGGCAGATGGTAGTACTGATGGTAGCAGTTTCCATCAGGCTGCCAACTTCTCTGTCGAAGCGAAGACAAGAAGTGTGTGAGTGAGTGTATCAGCCAAGGCACCTGCTCGATGGTCTCTTTCTGCACCTGAGAAAAACACGTTCCCGTCTCACAAATGAAACCACCCTCTGCGGCATTGAAGTTTAGTCCAGCACTTGACGACTATCCCCAGCGAGCGCCGCTGGGAGTCCTGCACGCGCCCGTCAAACTCTCAACAAAGGAGGGGGATGAGGAAGAGAGAGTGTGTGGGCGCTTTCGCAGTGCACATGCCAAGGCCTGAAACAGGCTGTACCCCACCACATCCCGGGGTGCCAGGTGGCAATCGTTCTGTCAATATCTCCGGCTGGGGATAGAGACGACCTGACTTTGGTGGTTGGGACAGTCGTCCGTTTTTCCTATGCTCTTACAGGTCTGTACTGCACTACACCACCATGCTGCAAGCTGCAAGGCCTTTGCTCCAGGTACCCGACTGAAGCAGAGCTGCAAATGCCCAAGGCGTCGGCGAGCACACAGTTGTTGCACGCTTCTGCCCTGCTGTAGTGCGGGCATGGTTCCAAGATGTTCCAAGCACTGTGCAGAGCTTTGAAGCACGGAGCTAGAGGCTTCTTTTGGGTAACGGCTGAAATCGATAAAGCATCACAAGTCTTTTGGACCTTTTCGGAAATGCCTTCACTGGCTCTCGGAATGAAAGCTAGGCCGAATGCGCGGCCTCATCCACACGCACGTAGGTACCAACACACAGCTCCTGCGAATACAGGAGGGCCTATCGACACAGGAGGGCGTAACCAGAGTGTCAATCAACAAGATCTATGACTCTATGATCCATGACGTCCACTCCCTAAAACAATGCGTCAGATAGCGGGGGTAAGCTGTGCTTTTCTGGGCACTCGGCAACACATCTTGTCCGCAAAAAAGATCGTCTACTGAGTCCCTTCGAAGGCTTTACCTCGCAGAGCTGGCAAAAGGCCCTGGTGAAGGCCCGGGTGCAGGACCTGAAGCCTTCAAGAGACTTTTCTAGAGCCTTCCACACAACCTTCAAGAGGCCGAGGCGGGCTGCGAAGCATAGAGCACAAGAATTACAGAAGCGGACTGTCACAAGAGGAGCCCCGACACATGCCACAGCTTCCTTGACTTCGAAGTGTTGCCGGAAGGTCGTTCCACAGTCTCGCCGAGGACGCTGCGCCCAGGCGTAGCTCAGAAGCAGCACGAGCACCAATATGCCTGCATCATGGTTTCAACATGCAAACCACATCACCACGAGGCACATGAGCAAGACAGGCATAATCAACAAGGGATGGCGCAGCATCTTTGCAGGGCTTCAGACGGCTTGATGTTTCAGACATGGCACTGAAGATCAGCAGCAAGCCACGAGAAAACATTGATGCTTCCACTCGGAGAATCCACGTCCAAAAAAGGATGACAAGAACCTCAGGTGACCCACAGGCCATGTGACGCCACGGAAATGTCCGTGAATGTATGCAGTATGCGGCCCTGTCTTCACTGAGGCCCACGGCGAAAACGACCACAAGGAAGCATATGACCTCTGCACGCTATTTAAGACCCTTTCTGGAAGCAGAACAGCCTTCTCTGCAGAAATGCGCTTCCCGGTGAGCTTTCGACGTTGCCCAGGTAGGCTCGCACAGCTCCTCACGAAGCTCGAACGGCAACAACACGCAGGACGTCTGAGGCTCGCAGGCTGCTTACACACTACGGGGAACCTTCTGTTTCCCCACCTCTTGTCACGTCCGAATCTTCCAAAGCTGATCGGCTCTCCTACCTTTCTTCCGTTGAGTTTGGAGAGCTTGCCAGCTTGCCAGTCCCCCCCTGCTTCGCGTCGCTTTGGAAGCTTAACTCCCTCGTGAACGAGAAAGGGAATCGATAGAAACCTCATAGTCTAAAAGAATAGCAAAAACCCTCAATGACGAGCGCAAATAGCCCTACACTCCGAGACAGGCGGAAGCGAAGGCACAGCTACAAAGTCAGTGACAAAGTCAAAATGCCATGCTCTGATCCAGCCTGGCTGGGCTTCTTGGCCACGGCCCCAGCAAATGAAACCTTTGAGCAAATGTGCGATCGTTTGATCTGTGGCCCCGGGCCTCTCGGGACTCTTGGGACCGGCTGGGCTGAGTGAAGGACGGCCCCTCTTCGTCAGCAGAACCGAAGCAGAGTCTTCACGCGGCTGAAAAAGGAGCCAGAGTCCACAGGTGCTCACCTGGCTCCGAATCCTGCTCGTGTCCTGTTTTGTCCTTTCCTGGCAATCGCAAGCTGCTGGGGCGCCGACGATGTTCAGCATGCGCCGAAAAGCTGGCACCTGCTTGACCTCCGGCTAAAAACAGCCCAAAGACAACCTGGCAAAACCATTCCTACAATATCCGATAATCATTCGGTTGCACTCCGTGGCATTGCCCACTTGCACTGCACAGCCCGGACTGCAGGCTTAAGGCCTCCATCCGGATGGCAGCAACCACCGCATCGCCTAAGCGCTGTTCTCACCGGAGAACTCCCAGCGACTCTGTCCTCTGTTATTTGGGAGCGTCCAAGTTTCCGACTTTCATCAGCGAGGTTGTCCTGCCGTACAGCGGTGATCTGTTCTGATCGAGCACAGCATGTATCGCATGCCTGTTCAAGCGCATTGTAGGATTTGATTGTTGAGAGCTAGGAACGAGCAAGTCCAAACTCCTTGCTGAAATGCTGAAGTACTCGCACAAGCGCTCTTCGATCGGCCAAAGAGCCGAGCAACGCGTCCGCATGCGCACAGCCCTGACACAGTCAACGCAGGCCCACACAGCTGATCTGCAAAGCGCTGTGCTTCATAATGGTGAGGAGTTGCTGGGCTAGCAAGCACACGTACAGCAAAGCAATACCAGGCAATACCAGAAGGTCGTGTGACCGCCTTCAGCTCGTCCTCGTCCTCGTCCTCATCTTCAGAACCCCTTAGTCCAGCAGAGTCTGCAAGGAAATTGCCGAATCATCTTACAATCAGTAGCCACATGCTGCAGGCATGGAATGGGATGATCCTGCGATCGAAGGTTTCCGGGTACGCTCCAAGATGCTCCAAATCTACACCCCAAATCACCTCAACATCCTACATGCACGAGTTTCCTGACAAGTCGAACGTTAGAAAAGTCGTGCTTCCATGTGTGAAGATTGCTAGTTAGCGGCTCTTCACCCTGCTCTTCATCCAGCAGTTTGGCATGGTTTCCATCGCTGCCATCAAATGTGGGCATATGGCAATGAGTGACAGCCAGTCCATGCAATCTGTCCAATCCATGGTTCAAGGATGTTCAAGGAATTGTTTCTGCCTCTGGCAATGCTCGAGCGCTGCAACAGGTGCTGATAGCTGTATCGGGTGTTGCCACTAACATGTTGCCTTATCCAGGCACATGCAGCAATTACCCTGCATCCATGCCGTTCGCGAAAATGGAAAATCCCTCCATGCGCTGCTTGGTGTAACCTACTCTCTTCACTTCGTCTGAGCCATAAGTCGTGGCCATGACGTGCTCGCTTCCCACCCACTTTGGGAAAGCAGTGTCACCCTGTGACCAGTGTCATGTCCTCGCAGAGTCCGGCGACGCTGGGCATCATGCCGCTCTCAGCAGCACGAGCCTGGAATGCAGAAACTCAGAAACTCAGACCACAGCACCTGAAAAATCCTGAAAAACCAGAAAGACAGACACTGAGCTCATCACCCACATGAAGTAGATGGAACCCGATAGGCGAAATTCACCCCTAAGCCTTGGCGACTACGCAAGGAGCAAAAGACTGCACCTCACAGCATCACTGAACGGTGCATCACTGCACAGTGCCAAAGACCCAGGCGACTGCAATCTGTCCGTCTCCGTTTTCCTGGAGCGGGCCTCTGCTTCAGCAAGAGCCATGCCATGCAGTCTGAGTTTTGAAGGACTCCTGGGTCCTTGGGTCCCGGGTCCTGGGTCTGCCGCATCAAGACTCATGGAGGCAAGCCGGAAGAGGCCACAGATTGCCACCTCGGATGAAACTCATCAGAAATATCGAGGACAGCCGGGTAGGAAAGTTGGCACGGATGGAAGACACAAGTACAAAGACACTCTCAAATATATGTCCGTCATCACAGATCACAATCTACAGCTCAGAACTCAAACGGTTGAATGAACTGCACCAGTCAGGAATGCTAGGGGACACACATTTAAGCATGCGCAGAAGAGAGCAACTCCCCAGAACCTGCAGCCAGCGCTTCCGTCAATGTCCAAAACACTCAGGTTGCTAAATGTCGCTCAGCAGTTACAAAAGCAGTTGTTGCTGGGAGCCGGCACATGAAAAGCTTCGCTGAAAGCAAAGCACTGCTGGCCGGTAGGAGCTCCCTTCCCGTCTGTGGCTTGCAGGTTCCCCGCAGAGCACACTGCCATGCATCTGTGCATGAAGGCTTGTCGCCCTCCCGCGCGTGAAGCACAAAGCAAAACTGCTGGCTCATGCAGCACTGTTGAGCTACCTTAGGCGCTCAGTTGCGCCGCCATGCTTTGGCCACGAACTACTGCTTCTTAAATCAGAGACCTTCTTAAATCAGAGACTATCTATGACTATCTCAAAGCTACTGCAATCAGGCTTGCTGCCTGTGCAATGAACTCTCAAGGCTCACAGCTACGCCACTGTCCAGGCGAGGGCAACGACAATAGACAGCACCACGGGATGAGCGGTTGATGATCCCACAGCCTTCAAGAAACCGACTGGATCATGTAATCCGCGCAAAATGCAGAACTGAACAGCGCCTCTAAAGAGTCCGGCGCCTGATCTCTCGGGCAGCCCGTCGAGGTCATGCGGCCATCGGCAAGAAGATCGTGGTAGAGACTCGGCATCGACCCCAACAGTGAATGTTGAAGACTGCCGACTTGCAATGCCGACTTGTTGCATTGCACACAGCTCCTGGCTCGTTGTATTCTTGCGGATAGTTTCCTCCAGGCATGAAGTCATCGTGGAACTGATGGTACAGCTCTGCCTGAGAAAGCATTGAAAACGCTCTCTAGCTTCGTCTGCTTCGTTGCTGTTCTCTAAGCCTGGAAGAATGGATACTGCGCAGTATCGTAGACCCACACGAGGGCCTGGAATACATCTGACTGCATCTAGAAGGTTCAGAAGAGCCATAGGTGCTGGCGACGGCTTGCCTTGCCCAGAGTGTCAGGGTCGTTGCCGTTGCCTGCCTCATGCAGTCTCACAAAGTGAAGCAAGATACATCATTCCGGGGATGCTGCCGCGTCTGTCAACGTGAGGATACCTATCTTTGTTCATCAATATTCGTTTTTTGGCTCGTTTTAGACATTAGACGCCCAAGGACTCCTGAGTCAATCAGTGCTCGCTTACTCACAGCGTCCCTTGGAGTAGGGCACACTGATGGGAATGCACCGGTGGCGCTCAGGCACGGCAATGTGGCTTTTTGAATGACATTCTGGGTCCTCACAGACAAGGGACCCCCAACTCTTTGGTCGGCTCTCTTTTGGGTGGCCACATGTAACTCCAAAAACAGATTCCAACTGCATTCTCACTGCGACAGAACTATGTACTGTCATCTTTTGAGACTTTAAGAGCTTCTTACACGTGGGCAACCCCCGTGAGTCTGCCCCAAACGAAGCGTCGGGCAACCAACCTGTGAAGAAAGAGATATGCATACGACAAAAATGGGACGGGTGCGTTGGTTTATGCCGTGTACTGCAGGAAGTGCCGCGCTCGCTCGGCGCACGGCTCTGCCCAACGTAACCCCTCAGCATGCTGGCCTTACGCCTGCACCTATCGTCTCTCCCCTACAGCCAAATATGTGTGCGAAACCAACAGTTCCTGCGTAGCGTGGGTGTGCTCGGAGAGAGTGTTTGGGTCGGCTGTTCCACCAGTGCTCTGATGGCGCTGTTCCGTGTGGTGGGCTTGTCATGGTCTGGGACCTCTGCGTAGCAGAATGCTGGTATGCCCTGAATCTTGCACACGCTTTGGGGTGAAACGCCTCAAGTCTTGTCGGTCTGGCCGTGTCAGGGCCGTCGCTTCCAGCCGATAGCCATTTCATAGAGAGCTTGGTGTTCCGCTAGAAACGGTGCAACGTCCGGAAATGCTTTCTGGGATTGCCCAGTCTTTCCGCAACCTCCTGACTGCACGAGCTGTTGTAAGACAAAGTGACCCCCTCGTAGTTCGTGGTGTAGTGTAGGACACGGTGTTCTTAGGTGTGGGTGAGGAAACACTTCGGCTTGTTCGGTTCTAGGTCGCTGTGCGCCGCTGTGAACTCTACGGCAGGTAATAGCATTTGCTGTGCGCACTCGGTTGCTCCTGGCAGGACTGTGGTGTCGTCACCGTATCCCAAATCGTAGAACGGTTGTTGTTGGCGATCAAGCCAGGGGGCGAACAGACCCTCCCGAACCAAAATGGCATCCACGTTGCCGGCTGTGAGCTGCCCGCCGCCTTCAGGAGGAAGTGCTAGGCATAAATGCTTTGTATGTCTGCGCGCAGGGTCTGAGGAACCCGTGAGATCTTCCCTCCTCCCTTCACGCACAAGCCCCAGGGGGGGCGCCAAATTTTCGGGTGATGCCTCGCCATCGAACTATCAGGATGGGTCGCTCCCTGCCGGCTTGGTGGTGAAGGCAAGATAAGGCAAGGAGCATGCTCGGAGACTCATCAAACTGAATGACGCTGATGCCTACTTCTTTGTGGTCGATGTATTGATCGCCGCTTGATGCCGCTTGCTAGGAAGAAGGGCGCAAGGTAGACCAAACCAAGCACCCGTCGCACCGACTCAGCGCTGTCACTGTGGAGGCTAATGGAGGTTATTGACACTATGGGTGAGGCCGTTTCCGCCTGTGGCTGACTGCCCCGCCTTCCCTGGCCCTGCATCTGGCAGCTGGCTCTCCCTCTCCCGCTCTCTCCCGCTCTCTCTCTCTCTCTCTCTCTCTCTCTCTCGAGCTTTCTCTGTGCGCCTTCAGCTCAAAAAACCAACCATCTCGTGCAGCCCGACCTTGCATTGAGGAGCTGCTCTTTCAACACGAAAAGCACGCAGTGTATCACGTTGTACCACATGCCCCCGAGGTCCAAGCTGGCCTGGCTTGCATTCACTGTCTGGAGCAGAGGGGAGCCAAAGCCCCCCGGAACCCCAACAGCAGCACGATAGTCGGGACCTTCTCTGAATGCAGGGTTCGCAATGGAAACTCCAAAGAACAAAACCGGGCGGCCTATGTCCATGACATCCACACGGTCCGTCCCGACGAACAGGGACCAGAACACTGCTCCGAAATCGGGCAACTTGCCTCAGAGAATGCACAGGCCCGGCTCCGCGAATCAAGTCTGCCGGCGCGCCGCTCTGACTGAATCTGCAGACATGTCACTCAAAGGTATGGTGAGGCCGACCACCTCCCGCAGGTGCGCATTTTTTCCAACAACTCTGCCAGCAAAAGCGTCATACACAGTGCGGAGTCACAATGCCTCCGTGTGCCCCAAACGGGCATAGTCATTGTAGCAGGCGTTGCCCATTGCATTGACGCTGTTCCCACCCGCATAGCCTCACTGCTCGCAAAGACTGCATACAGCAGTCACTTTCCACACGTGTCACTTCAGCAACTACCAAGCTCGCGCCTGTCAAGGATGTATAAGATGAGGCATTGCCTCAGTCAATTTACATAGCTCCAGTTGACCCTAGGACAAACAACAGCTCACAGGTAGCTGTGCCTTCCCAGTCTGGACTTGACAATTCAGCCAGGAGGCGGCCCAGGATTTGCTCTTCCGCCTTGATGAACTCGTGCTGGACATGCCAGAAACCTCAGCATTGCACTCTCCTCCGGCTGCAGATTTCAGCTCGCTTGCCCGTGACTGGCGTCCGGACACCCGGAACCGAAGTACACAAAGACGCTTTCGTCCTGAGCCACCTTCACAGGAGCAGACTGCTTAATGTCGCCTTGAGAGCCGGTCACCAACAACATGATGCGGCACTGGCAGCATTGATTATGCTCCCGAATCCCGGCCGTGCCCTGCCTGTGCTGAAGCCGCTCTCAAAGCCAGCAGCAAGCCGAATTTGGATGCCATGGTGCAAACAGTGTAGACAGAAAACTTCTGCGGAAGGTGTGTTCTGATGCTGCGTGCACTTGGAAATACATATACTTCGAACGTCCCCACCCTACACTTCGCCGAAAGCTTCTGTCAAGGGACTCTTTATTACTCTAATTAGATGATATTGCAAGCATTACGACAAAAAAATTTTGCTGGCTGACACGCACACGAAATTGATTTGTGACAGGCTTTATTCGTTTAGCAATAATACATTGCTTTTTTGGATCTCAACAGATCCTATACCTGATGAAACAATAATTATAATATATAATACACAAATATCACTTGTGATTCATTTGAATTCTGTAAGCTTGATTGGCGCTGATTCAACGGCATATAACGGCATTTATAACGCGGACTTCTCCGAAGGTGGGCACTCCAGGATATACTGGGCGGCACTTTTTGCCGTCTTCTCTGGTCTTTGGGGGTGGAGTGCCCAGACTCGGCGGGGCTTGTTCGTCGGGACTTTCTGCGGCCTCTCTGCGTATGGGCACTCCGAGGACACTCGTCGGGACTCTCTGCAGGCCTATCTCCGGGTGGGCGCTCTGCGGGTGAGCACTCTGGGGATACACGGCGGGGCGCCCTGCAGGTTTTTTGTCGAGGGATACTCGACGGGACTCTCTGCGGGCTTCTTTTCTGTAGGCGGCATCCTCCGCGGCCTTCTTTGGGGTTGGCACTTGAAGGATACTTGTCGGGCTTCTGTGCGGGCTTCTCTGCGGGCTTCTTCGCGGGCTTCTCTGCGATTGGGCAATCCAAAGATACTCGGCAGGACTCTCTGCTGGCTGTTTTGAGGGTGAGCCAGGAGCATGGTTGATTTTAAACCGAACAACCCCACACCGAGGGCTGGCAACAAGCCTGTGCTGTTTGAGGTCTTTACTCGTAGGATCTACATAAGAAGAGCATGTGCATGTGTCCTAGAATCCGAGTGCCTTGAGCAGCCGAAAGCCTGATGGGGCGACCACGCGATTGGTCGGTCTTGGCAATCCTTCCCTACAGCTTCGACAACAAAGCACCGTCATGCCATCAACATCCTGGCCTGACTCGGAGTACAACTTTTGCCACCAGGGGTCCCGCGATGGGGACCTGCCCGGTGCAGAGCGAAGTACGGCGAAGGAAGCACCGCAGGATGTGCTTCGAACCCAGTGTGCAACAGCGTTTCGAACCCAGTGCTTCGAACCCCGTGGCCTGTTCCCAAGCTTCGGCCCAGCGCTCCGTGATGGGGCCGTGGTCGCAGGCGACTGGCCAGAGTTCCCAAGCTGGTGTGTCCCGCCCATGAAGCGCCAATCATGGCAGGCAGGCGGGCAATAAAAGGGAAGGCAAGATCCTGTTTTGTCAGTCAATCACCGGCTGACCCACAGTAGCAAGTTCACAAGCACTGCCACCGGGGATTGCACCATGTACAGGTCAACATCCTCCAAGATTCCTGCGCCAAATGTGGAGTGATGATGATAATGATAATGATTCGATGATGATGATGGCTATGGCTCGGTGCAAAGAGACCAGCGGCCTAAGACAACGCCGCGAAAGCGCGTCCGAAGGATTCCAAGCTGCCTCGCGTGAAAAGAGAGCAACGGGTGCCAACAGCTACAGGTGTTCACTTGAGGTCATCATGTCCGGTCCAGTCCTCATGATAGACAGCTCCGGCGGAGTGATCAGTTCCCGAAGGGCGGCCCAAGCCCTCCTCCAAGGCACTTGGATTGGCATCATTGAATCTCAAACATGCTTCTCTCGGCTACCACCAGCTGCAATAGTGCTGCGATGGACTGCTGCAAAGCACTGCTCCGGTCTGGTGAGATGCTGCGGAATGCTGCGGCCATCTGAGGCCGACACCTCTCTGCATAGATGTGATGAGCCTCCACCAGGACCAGCAGTAGAAACGACCCTGCGCGGAGTATGCAATAAGGTCGACTATCAGTGACTATCAGAATCACTGAAGCCACCACAATTCACGTGATCGCCGAGCTTTGGGCAATTGCTAAAGCCGCTTTCGCAGGTTGGCCGCAGCACGGGGATGAAGTTCTGACAACATGTTGTAACATGCTACGCCATCCCATACCGTGCACAAGAAGGGCTCAAACACGACAGCCCTCGCCTGCACCACCATACAGATCGGGATGCCAACCTCAAAGGAGAAATACAGAGAGAAACACACGCTTGTGTCGTGTCGAGTTGCGGGGCGGTACTTCCCAGCAGTGACGGGAGCATAGACGGAGACTCCAGGCACTCCAGGCCGCTGGCCCACACCAGCAGCGCGTGGAGCGACAGACTCCCCTCTAGCTGCGCCATGCTCTTCGATGGGTCCGTGGGCTGCCAGACCACACTTGAGGTGGACCTTGGAAGAATCTTGATGGGGTTCAAGTTGAGAGACACCTGCTCCTTCGACTTCTGACTTGGAGGCACATGTGATGACATGTGGCAGCGCTGCTGCAGACAAGTCACTGCTTGGACATTGCCGCATACTGCCTGAAACCAATGCACACACACAACTGAAACTTCACGTCATGATCAGCTCTGGGCGGCACCCTCTCGACTCAGAGGAGGTCGATGACCCCATGCCACCAGCCCGGATATGCCCGGATTGCGATGCAAGCAGAAGTTAAAAGCGGGGTGGTGGTCTGTACATGGTTTGGGGCTCAGTGCGGTAGCTCTCCACACCCGGGCTGTCTCTCGAGGGGATTTGCATACGATCCTACTTGCAACTCAAAGAACTTATGGGAAGGGTTCTCAGCTAAATACTGCTGCGGCAAAGACATGAAAGGACTAGAGGTCATTGAAAGCTTAGTCTCTCAGCCCATGTGATGTAGGCCCTCATCGGCACCCCCCTGCCGCATAAGGATCCAAGTGCTAGGAGCGCTGACTCTCCTTGGATTCTCGTTTCGAACATCTGTAGTCTATTAGCCATCCCTGGCTCGCCTTCGCACCGTGCATGACAACTCCAACATGCCGGAGTCTGAAGCTTGCAGCATCTTGAAGTATCTTCCAGCATCTTCTGGCTCTCACCCTACACCAAACATCACCAAACCCTGACAGCTTAACATGCGAGGTTGGCGCTTTTTTGCGCGGTCAGCATCGAACTGTAGTACTGAGAACACGACTGCACTCAGCATGCTACAGTCTTCGATGACCCCACACATCCCTAATTCCAATAATAGACCCCTGCTAAGATGATAGATCATCAAGACAAGCCCGTTAAGAAGGTGAAACCTGATTCACATCACCACGACGAGAAGTCGAAGTCTGTCCGGGCCTTCTTGGACCTATAGATGGACACAGTGCCAACAGAGATGAACTTGCATCTTGGATCCTCAAGACCATAGTCATGATAAGCTGGCTGCTTCTGGGCAATGTTCGCGTACTCCAACTCTTCCGATGGCATCTCCTTTCACAGAGCAGTTTGCCACCCAGCTTACTGCATAAACTTTGTTGTGTGATTTCTGCAAAATGCATGTCCCGCAACAAGCAGTATAGGATTCACGAACAATCACGGCTTTGAGATGAGCCGCCCATCACTCTGAGAGTTCTAGCACGCATGGGGTTGTAGGAGGGTAACGTGCAGTTTCATGCCACTTGGTCCCAGCGAGTCGGGCCTTCACCGCCTTCAACTCCAGTTGCCCGGAACACTGAGAAGCCATTCGTCTTGTCTTTGACGTCGCAAGTATGCCATCCGCTTGCATCGTTGCTCTGCAGTGCGCACGTGGCGACATGCATTTCGACAGTGTATGGCATCTGGAGGTTGTTCAACCTGAAGCCTGCGGCATCCTGTGGCTGTGGAATGTGATCCTTTCAGCCCGGGTAGGCGAGATACAGCGAGTGTACGTCCCAGCCCATCATATTCTATGCCTATGCACGAGGAAACCTTTGAACGTAGCGACGACGGCGTCCTTCGGTCTTTTCTGGCCAGGTAGGAGGTCCTCCTCCAAATACTTGCCCACCTGTGTAGCCGGGGAGGTCACAATATGCCTCCCTGCAGCATCTGTTAAACAGTGGGTGCCTGGGTGGAGTTGCGATTCTTGTGCCCTTGCATCGGATCCCTTCTGTTGCCTGAGCAAGCAACCAACGTGTTCTGCACTCAGGAGCATGCGCCAGGGTTGGTGCCCACATGTGCCCGCAAGATTTAAGAAATCAGAGTTCAGACCACTATCCGAGACTGTCTCGGCATCATCAACACACTCGGACATCTGAGACAGCAACTGAACCATGTGGCCACGGGGTCAACCACCTGACACACATCCGGCGACTAAATTGTAGCCGGTTACAACACCAAAATCAGAAAGAAGCATCCGTGGTACCTCCCGGCCTTTTCAACCTTTGGCTTGTTCATTTCCTCGATTGTTTCCTTGAAGGGATTCTTGAAGACCTGTATGGGAGGTTCAATCTGACGGACCAATCCCGCTCCAAGAAAACCAGTGGCATGGCAAGCCTCCATTCGAACGAGCTGGATCTCTTTCACCGGTTTGTCCTTTGGATCAGTCTCCCAGTTGTTGAAGACTTCCCTGGGAGGCTTCCATTTGAAAGCCACTTGAAGGAATCCAATCACCCCCCGTGACATCCCGTGACTCGAGGTGCAGGCAAAAGCTTCAGACCTCCCACCACTCGGCCAAACCTGAAGCAGAGGTATCGTCGTGTGTCCCAGCCAGATTGAAGGCTGTTGGGCCAAATCGCAAGAAACTCAGGCGTTGACACGGAATGCTTGTTGTTGAGGTGTTCGCAGGACTTGAGGGAGACGAAAAACTGACTCCTGCAGAGCAGGGGACCCCAAATGTCCCACAATAGACCGGGAGGCCTGAAAGCGTCCTGTTCGTGTTCTTCCCATTGTTGGCCATACTAAGAATCTTGGTTTCATGAAGCTGCGGGTTGTCGGCTGTCAACTTGACAGAATGCCTCAGAATGCCTCCCATGCTTCTTGGACTGCGGTCGAGAAGCCCCAGGTCCCTGATGGACCAGGCGAGAGTCAAACTCGTCTTTGAAGGGCTTGCCGCCTCGCACCAATCTGAAACCAATCTGACCGAACTCTGAGATGCCCGACTGCCCAAGGTGTCCATTCTGAATTTGCTTTCATTGTTCTTCAACTTGTTTCTTCTGATTTCGGCCGGTGTTTCTGAATCCCCTCCGCTCTCGCTCGTGCTTCAAACCTTCTTGTACAACCAAGGCATTACCAAGGCGGTGGTCTTGTGCTCACTGTGCTTTCATTGCGCTTTCGTTGCGCTTTCACTGTGCGTTCATTGTGCGTTCATTGTGCTTTCATTGTGCTTTCATGGTGTGTTTTGTTGTCTTCCGGAGCCTCATGGTCCGTGGGTTTATGGACGTATGTGCGGGGATCGTTCCTTTTGCCGGCTGCGTCCTGCAGCTTGCTAGCGACAGCATTGTTGATCATCGCTGGTTATGCTGAGTTCTCGTTGGTGTTCGTGACCTTCTTGTCGTATCTGAGAGAAGGGGGAGTAGAGCAGCACATGCCGGGATTGGTCGGCCTGGGTTGGGATAGAAAAACGTAGAGTAGGATATGGCTAGTGCCGGATAGCCCGGGCGGTGTTTTCGCATGATGTCGACAGGCCTGCAGGGATCTGCCACTAATCTGCCAGACTGGTTTGTTAGGTGACTTGTACATGGCTCCCTGGTTCGCAACAAGGCCTACACGGCGCCGTGACCGACCACGAAGCTTATTTTTTCAGAACGAAAATACCAAAAGACATGAAAAAAACCGAAAGCCTTCGAAGCCGCTCTCACCGCCGCGGCCCGTGCCAGTGGGATCACCCCCCTGCCATGTGACAAGATTTCACTCACACTCACCCACACTGACACACCGGCACGCACCTGCAGCATGAAGTTGCGGATGAGCCGATGGAAAATCTGCATAAGCAAGCGTCACGGCATTGCTGCGGATGAGAGGAAAGCACTGAGATTCACAACTCCCGCCGTGTTGTCATAGTAGCTCTTCTCGCAGAGACGCAAGAAGTTGTCTGAGGTTCGTGGGGCCTGGGATGCATGACGCCGGCAACTTGCCAAAGGGATGAACTTTGTGCCCAGCTGATTGTCCATACTGCCCAGCAGGAAGCAAAGCTGAATACAGCCATGTCAGAACTTAGGTTTCTCTCCATGTCCTTGTACGCAAGGGACACCCTGGCATCCATTACTCGCTCCCCTCTCTCCTCTCTGCCCCCTTTTCTCGCTTGTCTCGCCCTCCTTCTGCTGCGTCAAATCACCTTGATCAGCCGAGTACTGAGTTGCACACGATGTCGCAGTGCAACTCCAGGTTGAGACAACCATGCGAAGTGACCATTCTCACCTGGCACCAGCAACCATTTCTTCGCAACTCTCATGTTCTCTCGTTCAGCTCGAAAACAGAGCCGCAACCACATAGCCCTTCCGCTTCTTCTTGCGGACCTGGACAGCTTTGCCATGCAAGCTGCAGACTAGCGACCACCAAGTTGCCTGATCGTAGATGTCCTGGCGTGAACGAGTGAACATCCACAAACACTGTATCTGCGCAGAAAGAATGTGCCAACACTGCTGAGAGGAATGGGGCTCAATCTGAAAGGATTGATGGCTTGGAGTCAGAAGTGCTGAACTTCAGACTGTATAGCAGCATAGCACTTTCAGATCGGCGGACTGCAAAAGTGCTGTGATGTCCCTATTTTCCACTTCGTCGACAAAATAGGATGAATGATGGTAAACATTGCATTTTTCAGGTTTGTTACACATCTGCAATGAAAACAAGATTATTGCTGCTCATGTGTCGGGTCTGTCCGTCTAATCTACTCCTGACCCTCGATGATGGATGTTGACTCTGGCGTGACTCAATCAGGTTCGTCGATTTTCATGTCGCTTGCAGATGCGCGTAAAATCCCACAGAGAATCCCAAAAGATCCCTTGAGCGCTTGAAATGCCCTGCCACAGATGATCCCTACAGCTCCATCAAACTGCTTAGTACAAATTTGGCACCACAAGGCCTGCACCTGTAAAGGTCCCTGTCCTGCAACTCCTCCTCTTCGGTGAGCTTGCGCAGCTCGTTGTTGGACCTGAACGCTTATGCAAGCTTCGTCAATAAGTTAGAGACATCCGAAGATGGGCAGAGCCAAAGCAACGGATGCGAGCCGAGCGGAAACACTTCGTCAAATCGTTCGAAACTAGAAACACACAATTGGGTGGGGACCGAGTCAGAAACAACAAGTCGGAAAATGCCCGCGGCGAGTAAGAAAATGACCCCTGAGTCAGAAAACACGAAGCGGCGAGTCGACAAGTGTCGGGGAAACTTTTCGAGGGCAGCGCTTGGCATCTAGAAGGGTTTCGGGTGGGGCCTAAGGTGTACAGGCACAGCTTGGCTAAGATTGGCATCTCGAAGAGGTTCGGCTGGGGCCAACTCTAAACCCTAAAGCCTGGAAACTCGAAAAAACCGAAACCCTGAAACCCTACAACACATAAAGCCCTAAACCCTAAACCTGAAAACCCTAAACCCTAAAATCCCTGCACCCTAAGAACTGTAAACGTCCTAAGAAGCCCTACAAGCCCTAAAAGCCCAGAAGCCTAGAAACCGTCAAATCTCTAAAGCACCTAAGCAGCCTAAGCCGAAAAAGCCCTAAGCCTTAACAACCCTAAACCCTAAACAGCCTAAACCTAAAAAACCGAAAACCTAAAACCCTAAACGCCCTAGAAACCCTAAAACACGAAAAACTTTAAAAACAATCTGAAAAAAAAACACACAACCTGCAAACGCGCGGCGCTCAAAAACACGAGGCCAGGACTTCAGAGGGGCAGCGGTGGAGGTGAAGGATGCGCCGACCTCATTGGAAGTGTAGCCTCAGATGCAGAAACAGAAGTCGCGCGAGGTGGACAATCTGCTACCGTCTGTGACCGCAGTGTCCCCACATTTTTGCCCCTTTTTTGCCCCGTCTGCCAGCGCCCACGGCCAGGTGCCTGCGCCACTTTTCTTGGCTTCAAGCACGGCGTGTGCTGTGGCAATGGACGGAAGTGCCGGCCTCCACTTGTGCAGGCGCCGGCACCTGCCTGGACACCTGCAATTGCCTCAGAGAGAATGCGGTCCGTGTGAAACCCGTTCTTGCCGGGACACGAGGCCACGGCAGGTGTTTGCGAACGGCCTTGCGGGCTTCCTCGGGATCCGCCATCAGCCACCAACCACTAATTTCTGTGCCTGCTCACCGTGGTGAAAAGTCTGAGGAAGGCGCCATAAAAAGTACAACATTCTTTGGAAGGACTCCTGCGTGTGGTGGACGGAAGCCCACCTATAGGCTCGGTCAAATCCAAGCACCTGGCACGCTTCGCATCACCCAACAAATTCGCAAAAGAAGAGGGCGTGCTATGGTTTCGGGGAGTGGCGAAAATCATAATCAGGAAGACCGCTTGCTTCTTTGAGGGCTGCGCAGAGTTTGCCAGTGGCAGCTCTTGCTGGGGATTCGTAGTGGGAGTTGCTCTGTCTAACTTTCACAGGTTTCGGCTTCAGCTTTCGAGCAGCCAGAGGTACTAGGGTTGCCAGTAGCTGCTTTCTGCCCTCAGGGTGATGGACTGGAGGAGCAAGGCTCAGCCGCAAACAGCTTTGGGAGCCAAAAGCACCGTTGGGTGGTATTTTGCACAAACAACAAAAAGCTTCACAAGCAAGAAACCACAAAACCTTCAAGCAACGATAGATACTCTGGTTCTGTCCGGGTCTGGTATGGACCTGTGTCAAGAAGTCGACGAAGTCGCCTGGTCTCAATCGGATCTCACGCCAAGTCTGCTCAATGTCCGCATGCGCATCAGCCACCTCAGGGTCGGAACATGTCGTCCGGATCATGTGACTGGCTCTACGCGCAGTTGCTGTCAAAACAGCCTCGCCTTCTTGTACGCTTTCCACGGCTGTGGCTCGAGGACCAGCACGCCTCCTGGATGGAGCCACCTCCTGCAGCGACGGAAGACTTGCTTCAGGCCCTCGTCTCCGTGCCTCGCGCAAAGGGAGAAAGCCCGTTGCAGGTTGTGCTCTTGTTGCGTGGATTTGTTGAGTGAATCAACATGCAGCTATTGAACCCAAGAAGCTGTAGATGCACCCATTTGGAAGTACTCAGCAGCAAGACGACATCATATTTCCGTCGCAGCTTCAGACGAAGAAGATCTCGGCAGATGAATCGCACCCTGCACCACCGTAAACCAAGGAGACTGATTATGCGATTAGGATCGGCGTAGGATAATCCAAAGAAGAGACCACTCACCCGCCTCCCAGCCACCGAAATCTGTGATGACGTCGTGTGCCTCGCCTCCATGACTAGAGATGCATCGATGTCGACCTGACATCAGGTTATTGCGAAGGGGGCATCAGTTCAGCCCAAAACCCGATGCACCTGTAGCAATTTCACACCACAATGCCAACAAGGCACGCCTAAGACAAGCTTCGCACCTTGGGCTGCTACAGACCATGTGATCTGGCCGGAGTTGCAGCCCAAGTCAAGCACGCGCTTTCCTGGAGCATCTGCTCTGCAGGCCGAGTGCTCTTAGATGCTCTTAGGAGGCCTTGCCTTGCCAGTCAATCGTCTCACTGAGCCACGGGAGACGGGGGTCTTGCCCTCCTGGATTGCGGATCCCATAGTAGTCCTGCCACGTGCAACGACCAGAACTGTTGGCTTGCACTGCATCTCAATAATGACAATAATGACAATAATGACAATAATGACAATAATGACAATAATGACAATAATGACAATAATGACAATAATGACAATAATGACAATAATGACAATAATGACAATAATGACAATAATGACAATAATGACAATAATGGCAATAATGACAATAATGGCAATAATGGCAATAATGGTCCTTGAAGTTGCCCAAAACGTATTGAGGCGGGTCGGCACACTGCGCCATGCATCTGCTATCGCCACCGACTCTGACACGCACCTGACACCCTACTCTCTTCCAGCAGAAGCCGTAAACGAAAAAAGCTTTGCTCAAAAGAAGTGTAACAGAAGCTTCAAGCCGAAACGGCTTTTGCTGACTGGCGTCTGACTCTATGGCCTGCAAACCGTCCCGTCAAATGCTGAGGTCAGCACAGAGTTGCGAGGCAAGCGTGCATGCCAAACACCAGCTCTGAGGTCCCTGCGCTCATTCGTCTTTCGCCTTTGTCGGGCCTGCCGGTGCTACGCAAAATCCGCCACCCTGCAACACGCCTTTCTGCACAGAAGTGTTCAACAAAACTCGAAAACCGAAGAAGCTGCGTAAAAACACAATCTCATTTGACGACGTTCACTGCTGTCAGATTACCAGCCCCTACATGCTGCAGTGGCAACATCCAGTCCCCTGGGTGCAAAGTAAGTGTAGGTGCTTGTGTGCTGTCTGCTTCTCAAGGAAACAAAGAGAAGACACAAGCGACCCCAAAACAACCATTTAATGCCAGCCGTTTATGAAGGTCGCTGGGAGGGGTGCAAGTTGCATGTGCCTGTTCCCAGTCAACTTGATATCAAAGCTTCTTGAGCTTTACAGGAACAGCTATTCAGGTGCTTTCTGCCCTCTCGCCCTTCCCTTTCCCTCCCAACAGAACAACAACAGAATGTTCGTCTACCAATGCTCTTACTTCCGATGGTGCTTGTAAACCTGCGAATATGCCTAGGTTCTGCTAGAAAGCAATGCTGTCAGTCATCACCTGCACACTTGGTGCATCGTGTTCCGTGTGAGATGTGACTTCTTGACGCAAAGCTTTGCTCTCGAGATGGAGTTTCTAACGAAATCAAATCTTTCTGCTTTGGTTGCTGGGACTCAGGGCGCCGGAGGCGCACACACCCTTTCCCCAAGGCATCACGAGGCCTCCTCCAACTCCAGTGCCTTGGCTTTGGCCTCAGCAGCCGCTGCTTTGGCCTTGGCACATCTCAGGGCGGAATTTGAATGAAATTTGGAATGGAGAGTAACTTGGAAGACAAATTAGAGGACGTTTGAGGATGCGCTGAGTCGGAGAGGATTGCTGAGGTCGCAACAGCAGCAGCTGCCTCGGGATCAGCCGCCTCTTTCTCAGCTTCCTGACTCGCACAGAAAAAGGAGGGTGAGAGAAACAAGAAGCTCTGCTCAGGCCAGCTGGCGCCTCCTGTGCCTTCTTTTCAGCTATTCGCTCCTTCTCCTCGAAGATGCGGGAAACCGCCTCTGCGTCGTTTGAGAATCACATTGCATGCACAAGCTTTCAAGAGGCGTTCAATATCGTTCAGTATGCATCCTCACATCATGCTGGGCTGGCAGCGGCATTTGGACGAAGCTTGTCATCCTTCTGCAAGGATGCCTGCAGCACGCAGCCAATTGTCAGCTATATGCCAAATATGATATTGCCAAATCGATCAACGGAGAAGAGCACCTTGCTCTCTGGATTGGTAATCTCGCGTACCACCTCATCCTCGCGACACTCTGTCTTCAGATATTCACTGATGCCACCTCTCCCCTTGGCACACCTGCTGCCCGTGCACGATGAAGTAGAACTTGGACACTTCCCGACCCTGCGTCGTCAAGCCATCAGTGCCGTTCGTTCCCCATGCAACAAAAAAACCAGCCAGCCTCGATCTTGTCGGGGTCTTGAAGCATCACCTGAGGTTTGCAAGGGTGGATTCTTGCAACACAAGCATCATCTCAAGTTCTGCCATTCAAGGCGCTATGTCTGTCCACTTGAAGGGCTGCCCAGTCATCAGATCGTTCCTTAGTGAACCGTCGGATGACAGAGGATGCTGGAAAGCAAGTTCGATCACACTTGCACTGCATGTGGAAGCGGGGTAGCATGTCGGAAGAGGCCTAGCCAGCTTCGGATCGCGCAGGGCCGGTTTCAGGACCACGTGTCGGTTGGGGTGGGTGGGGGCTGGGGGGGGCAAAGGGGGCAAGGGGCATTTCGGTTCCAAGTTCGGTGGGATTCGGCGCTGGCTTCCAGACAAGCACCGCTTCGCAACATCTCCTTTCAGGGGCGGACCTTAGCCCTACATCTCCGTGAAAGTGTCAACGATGTTGCCTCGAAGCCCTGAACGTTAAAAGCCCTGATCCTAAGATGATCCCTCTAAACCCCGAAGCAGACATGCACACCCAATAAGCTCGCACAATCCTGGACCCTTAAAGCCATTGAAGCCCCGAGGCCCGGAACCTAAAAACCCTCAACGCCATGGTGGGAAGCAAGCCCTAGCCCCAAAGGAGATGCTGACAAACCTCAAACCAATGCAAACTCAAAACCCTTGGAGGAGACACTGGCTAGCCAGAAACCCGCTGGCTATCTGAAACCCCGTCCTAAACCTCACGAGCTCAGACTGTGAAACGTGAAGTCTTCGTCCCAAGAAGTTTGGATAGAGTAAAGGCCGCTACCACTTGACACCTGCCAGATAACCCCCAAATGAAGAGATCCGGACCAGTTCTTGTTCTTCTTGTTGAGCTCCAACACCGCCTCTAAGCAGTAGACGTGTCCGGACCTAGGCTTCAGATGAACACAACACAGATCCACACATAAACGCCAAGAAGGGCTGGGCACGGACGGGACAGATGGGGTGGGACAACTCGACCCGTCAGCTCCGGCCCGAACGCAATGTTCGCACACACTGGGGTGTTGTTGCCCAGCACCTGGCCGAATCAATCCACAGCACCGTCATGTTAAACAAATTCGGTGTCTCTACATGAATGTGAATATATGTATATGTGTGTATATATTTCTTTGTGAAGAAAGGTTGCTCTTATAGCTGTGGACAAATTGAAGAGTGCCGGGAAAGCTAGGGGTTGTCTTTTCAATTTTCCGAATGGAGCGTCCTGAGTTTCAAGTCGGGAGCCCGAAGGCGGAAGATTGAAGGGCCTCAGAAAAACTCCTGAGCTATACCTTCGATGCCATCCTGAGCGTCTTGAGCGTCTTCAGTTTGAAGATGAGACCATTGGAATCGAAAGGGTGGCCCAAGAGTTTCTTGACACTCTTCAATCTTCAATATACTCAAGATGCTCAAGACGGAAATGGAAGGCGAGCTCAAGAGCTTTCTGGGGTTGAAGCGTATGTAAATCACATTGTAAAGGACATGTTATACGAGCCAACAACTGTAGTAATGCCTGTGAGGGGTCTTGATCTCAAAAACTGGCCGGTAATCACATCGAAAAGTAAGTAACAAGCGTGAAAACATCTGCATCCCAAGTGACCGGCTGTTGTTTGGTAGAGAACTTTTTGGACGCATTGTTGTGAGCATATCCGGCAGATGGTTTAGATGGCTTGGACAAGGTTTAAAAAACCATGGATCTTTGGGGGACGGTCGGGCTACCATGCTATACAGATATATATGCTACCCCCCCTCCCTGGATGCTGCTATTTGAGGTTGTGGCGGGACACAACTATAACCAGGGGCCGACGACCTGAAAGAAGTTTATAGTCAAAAGGCAATTCACAACTTACTTCGGCTTCACAAAGAGCAGTTTGGGCATCATGAGTTAGAGCGGGAAGTTTGAAGGTGCCTTCGTCTCGAGTACCGAAGCTCATTCAGCCCATCGGTCGTCCCAATAGCTGTCCTTCATTCTCATCATTTCCCCCAGCCGTTAGTCAAAAAAACACAGCTTCGCCTGAGCAATAGATCTTTCCAATTATGTTAACCAAAGGAATGGAGGGGAGTTAACGCCAACTTGCAAAAATGTGCTTCTAGAAGTTCTGTTTCTGCAAAAAAAGAATATGTTGTGTTTTACAAGTGAAACACAGCAGGCATATTATGCGTTTTTGGAATTTCCATGAATACGAACAAAAAACAGAACTTGTGAAATAACACATCCACGTTTATGAACTCACCCAAGTCTGTTATATTAGATAAAAAAATTCACGATTCTCAGGTCCTTTGGGTGGATGCAAACCATTAGACTTAAATCAGAACTCCGTGGCCTGTCAACACATACTGCGTTAAAGGGGATCTTGGCCCCAGCCTTCGCAAAAACTGCACGAAAACACATAGCGATGCTCTCTAGACTTGCTGCATTGTCCGAAATTTGGTTTGCTTCTTTGACGCGCTTTCCGCTCAGGAAACATATCCCAAGAATCCAACACAGAAAGGACCATGTCCCGGGGCCCACAAAACCAAGAGCTTTGAAGGTTCTGAAAGTTCTACAGTGGAAAACCCTAAACCCCAAACCGTAAACCCACTCAAGGGACCCGTAACGAAACCAATGTTTTGAGAACGTTCCAACATCGGCAAACACCTTCTGTTTTCTATGGCTTCCATCTTTTTCGGAGACTGTCCTCATCTCCGGGAGACCTCCCAGGAAAAACAGGAAATCAGCAAAACGCAAGCACTGGAGAACGGGAAAGTGCAAACAACTCAAAGAACGTCAAGATTTGGTGAGAAAAAGTTCGCAACAGGTTCAAAACAACATATGCGATCTTTGTTGAGACCGAAGCTTCCAGAAGCAAATCTGTGGGATCTTCAATCTTCAATCTTCGTTCCAAGAATATCAAATTTGTGTTTTTAACCTTCTTTTCTCAAGAGCTAGGTCCTAAACCCTGCACTCGTGGACGACAGACTCCACAATCGTGCCTGATCAAAACCTGATCCAAAGAACACAGAACGAAAAACAACACAAAACGGTGGATCAATGGGGGGTTGCGACATATACATAAACATATATATATATGTATAGATATACATATGGTACCCCCCCCCCCCCATGGACCTACCTTTTTTCGTTTTTGTTGATGTGTGTGCATTACCTCCCCCCTCCCCCCACTCTTTGAGTCTTGGTACAGTAGCCTGATATCGTACAGCCTCGTCTATAAACACAGCCGCTGTACATAAACACAGCCGCAGCCCCTGTTTACAAACACAGTCACAGCAAAGATCGGAAAACCTTACCACCCGTAAACTCGTATAAGGCTAGGAGGTACATGTTCCGGGTTCTGGGCCTTCCAAAAGCCCGACTTACTGGCAAGTATGTGGGTTTTCATCTCATGATTCCCAAAGGACCCCCAAAAAGATATATAATTTCTCAAAGACAAGACTCACGTATAAACTATCCTCAAGACTTACAAGTACACAGCTCATAAACCCGTCTCACATAAGGTTCAGATTTCAAAACACCTTATTCGACTAAGAAGTAGGGTCAGACCCTATTCCAAGATTTATGCATTTTAACGGCTTAGGGTTTAAGATTTATACAGGCATTTGAACCTAAGCCGTCAGTTCAACCGAAACATTGGAACTTTAAACCCTACAGGGTTTAAGGCTTAAATCGGGTTAAAGTTGAAAGATTTAGGCCTTAAGACTTAGACATTTTAACCTATAGGGGCCTAAACACTTGACCTTCAAGCCCTGTTTAAGGTTTAGGTTTTAAGAAGTAAACCCATAGAGTTTAAACCTTAAGGGGCCTAAAAGGTTTCAAGGTTTAGGTTTTAAACGTGAGCCCATAGAGTTTAACCTTAACGGGCCTAAACGCTTAACCTTTAAACCCTATTGGCTATAGGGTTAAGGTTTACAGGTTCAATCAAGGTTCAATCGTTTTAACCTTACAGACGCTGAAGATATAAATGCCCAGACCTTAGGTTTAACCGCATAAGGGTTAGGAATTTAAGCCTCAGGCTTGGGCATTTAAACCTTTAACCCTCAGGGCTTTAGAGATAAACCCTGAAAAGCCCTAAGCCGTTTGACCCTATAGAGCTTAAAGGTTAAAAAACACCTACTGTCTGCCTTCAGCGCCTATTGGGTTAAAACGTTTTAACGTTTTAGAGCCCTTCCGGGCTTCAGGGTTCTGACCGTAAAGGGCTCAGGGTTGAGGTTTCAATGCCTAAACCTTAAAAACCCTATGGGCTTGGGTTTAATGCCTAAATCTTAAACCCTAAGCCTTTAAACCTTAACCCTATAGCCTATAGGGTTTAAAGGTTAAGCGTTTGGGACCCTTAAGGTTTAAACCTTTAAACCTTACCCCTATAGCTTCTAGGGCTTAAAGGTCAAGTGTTTAGGTCCCTTAAGATTAAACTCTATAGGCTTAGGTTGAATTTAAATGCCTAAATCTTAGAGCCTAAACCCCTAAACCTGAACCCCATAGGGTTAAAGGTTATGGGTTTACGCTTACATGCTGAACCTTGAAACCCTTTTATGGTTTCTATTTGTTTTTGCGACGTTTTCGGAGCAAGGGTTCACAAAACATTGGTTTTACCGATGTTTTTCGAGGGTGGGCTTCGAAAAACATCGGTAAAACCAATGTTTTTCGAAGGCAGGCTTTCAGAAACATCGGCAAAACCGATGTTTCCACAAAGAGACCTTCACGTCGAGGCCGGTACGTGCAGAAAGTCGAAAAGAGGTAGGTCTATGGGGGGGTAGCATGTACATATGTATATACATATAGAGAGACATATAGATGTATACGTACATGCGCTAAGAACGCTACCTTGCTAACCATCTGGCACGTCTGCGCCTTGAACGTCACAGGGCAGTGTAGGTTGCCTTGTGCGTTCTTGTGAAAGTGCCTGGCCAAATCTGTATTCACAGGATGGGCCCAAGCACGCTTCAGGCAAGGTACTGTAAAATCTTGGACCATACAAATGCATGAGAACAGTACCGAAACCACTGCTGATCTGAGATACGTTGGCAGGATGGGAACAACAGAACATCCGAAGGCCAAGCAAGAAAAGTGCAATGGTGTAGTAAGCGGCAAAATGGGTCCACGGAAATCGAAAACTGTTTGCCTAAAAACGTTGCACAGTCGTTTTAATGTTGCTGCACGTTGTTGGTTGACTTGTGGTACGGCCGTGGTAGGGGTGGGAGGGGGGAAAGGATTGAGAAAACTCTCAAACCCTCAATCCTAAACAGAAATTAATCCCTAATTCCACTGGGACCAGAAGCAGTGCAAAACCAATAACACTCTCTAACCCTAAACTGAGTGCAGCCCCCAAACTAAGGCCCAATCTGGGACCCGCCCTCTCAGTTCGCTCCCATGGTATTCCCCCCCCTGTATCCTCCCCGCCTCCCGCCTGTAAACCCTAAACCCCCCTCCCCTAAATCCTAAACCTTAAACCGTAAACCCTAAACGTAAACCCCTAGACCTTAAACCCTAAACATTAAACCCTAAACCCTAACTCCAACCCCCAACCACACCTCAGGGAGGAGACCCCTAGATCCTGGACCCTACACCTCAAAACCGAAACCCTACACCTCAAACCCTAAACCCTAACCTCAAACCTCCCAACCGCCACAGGGACAGGGGCAGGGGGAGCAGGAGGGGGGCAAGCAGACGCTGACCCCAGACCTCACACTCAATACCCCCTCTCCTACGCTCTCACCCCGTTTCTCAACCCGCCTAGCAAAACCCCCACCACTCACACTCACTCTCATCTCTCTATCTCTCTATCTCTGTATGTCTCTATCTCTCTATCTTTCTATCTTTTTTTCCGTTGCTCAAGCGAGTTATTGGTGTGTGTGTGTGTATGAGACTACCGAGGTCTCTCCCTCTCTGTCTCTCTCCGCACTCTTCTCTTGGCGGCAGCCGCCCCAAAGGGCGTGCGAGTCCCATGTTTGCGAGAACCACTGGGGCAAGCTGCTTGGTGGAAATCTTTCAACAAAGGAACACAAATAAGGAAATGAACCAAACATCTTGGGTTTGTAAAGGTTGGGTTTCACTGCTTCTTGGCAGCTCCGCCCACTCTGCTCTTCGCTCATATTGACGCACTAGAAGGCTTAGATGTGGCAACTCGGGCAAGTACAGGTTGGGACCTTCTCTTCTTCTTCTTCTTCCTCTTCTTCTTCTTCTTCTCCTTCTTCTTCTTCTTCTATTCTCTCTCCCTCTCTCCCTCTCTCTCTCTCTCTCTCTCTCTACTTTCAGTTGTCCCCTGGACAGTGGCTTGCGGCTCGAGCGCTCTTCTGCAGGGTGTGGGGGCCAGGGGTTGCCCGCAAACCCGCGTGCCGGGCGTTCGGTTCTGCGCACATAGCCCAGGGGGGAACCCTCTCTCTTTCCCTTGATCTTTCTCTTTCTCTTTCGCTTTCTCTTATCTTTCTCTTTCCCTCTCTCTTTCTCTCTCTCTTTCTCTCTCTGTCTCTCTCTCTCTCTCTCTCTCTCTCTCCCTCCCACTTCTTAATGGCTTTGAGGAATACTTTAGCTGACGTTAAAGCTAGAAAGTGTTTTTGATCCCCTCCTGACAGCAAGCGGTTCCGAGGCCCTCGCAGCGGTATAAGCTCTTTAACTTCGAGCTTGCCCCCATGTACCGGATGTTTGCCATATCGCTTGATGTACCTGAGCTATAGGCTTAAAGGCTTACAAAGCCTGAATTAGGGGATGTCTTGTTGACACATGCTTGAAGAATTTACTGCCGCTCGGGTCACTTCAGGATGTAGGTAATCTCGAATACGGACCCATCACGTGTCGCGACCTTGAACTGACGGTGCATGAAAGCAACTTCGAGCCCGATCTGGAACTAAAAAAGCAAAAGCTCCTGGCAGGTTTGTCGAATGGCTGCAAAGACAAGGAGCAACCTGATGCGTCTGCTAGATGTGATCGGCGCTCGACTAAAGCTGCAAAGGATGCACGGTGAACTCAGGCCAAGGACAATTCAAAGGCAACTTGGAAAACGGAGTCCACCTCGTGGCCTTTGGCCGCATGTTGCATGCAGCAACTCGAGCACACAAATGCATCTGTCGCCCAACCTTGAAACCCCGTCCATCCTGCGCCCATTCTGTTGGCCTGAAGTGTTGACAATCAGACTGGAATGTGCAACGTGTGGTCCGTGAGGCTCCAGACCGCAGGTGGAGCATATCCTTGCTGTGCTGATTCTTGCCTGAGCGTGCGCATGGGAAAGATGCGTAGACAGACAAACTCTTTACAATGGCGGGAGCCACTTGCTGCGATCACAAGGAACCTCTGAATATTTTGACATGATGGCCTAGGAAAGTGCTCCAACCTGTTGGAACCCGAGAGAGGACTCTGGAGAACCCCCCATGTGCGCTAAACAATCCCCCTCTCCTCGTGACAAACCCTCAAAAGATAACAACCTGCTCTGCCGGTGTCGCTTGTCTTAAGGAAGCCAAACCGTACTCAAGCGCCATACCAAGTGTCATGACTGTGTCATGCCCCACCCACACTCAATGCCTAAGCGCTCGGGAGGCGATGGCCGGTTCTCTCTGTCGTTCTTTCTTTCTTTTCTTCTTTCTGGGGGCGAACACCCGGAACAGGCTTGCCCGCCCCTGTTTCAGAACAAGGACCGAGTGAAACCAGTGGACAGGAGCCGAGGTCTCTCTTGCTTGCATGCTGGAGCTCTCGCTCTCGCTCGCTCGCGCGCTCTCTCGCTCTCTCACTCTCTCTCTTTCTCGCTCTCTCTTCTTCTTCTTCTTCTTCTTCTTCTTCTTCTTCTTCTTCTTCTTCTTCTTCTTCTTCTTCTTCTTCTTCTTCTTCTTCTTCTTCTTCTTCTTCTTCTTCTTCTTCTTCTTCTTCTTCTTCTTCTCTCTTTCTTTCGCTTTCTTTGCTTGTGGAGATTCAAGGCCGAAGCCCTGCGCGAGCTGCGTGCCCCTTCTTTCTGCTTTGATGTGGCCCGCAATTTGGAAATTGAGGTATTATTTTCACCATTTCTTTACAGCTTTACTTAGTCATTTAGGTATGCATGCATGTCTTTCGCTCGTTCTGTTGTACTTATGTATTCCTGTCGTTCTTCAGGCTTTTTGTTTCGACAATTCTTGTGTTATGTCTTCATGTCTTTGGTGTATTTCTTTCTGCTTTTCTTGTTCACATATTTGTGCTCTTTCTGCTGTTCACAATGTAGCTCTTTCGTTCGCTATTTCTTCATTTCTTTCTTTCTCCTCCCGCGTGCACTCCTCTCCTCTCTGGCCGTCTCTTTCGATCGGCTTTTGCAGGAGGAAGGACAGCTGAGGCCCCTGCCCATGGTTGCAACTCAACTGGAAATCTGCCTGAGGCGGTTTGGATGCCGCACGGTCACAGCAACATGATTGAAAGCCACCCCAAAAAACAAACTGGCCTGTCAACGTGCAGTTCAAGGACTTTGGGAGCCGACACATGAATCTTGGGCTTCTCCGATCATCTCAACAGCTAGTGACCGCTATTGGCTAGAGAGTGCTGGGGTGGGCTGCGTTTCGAGGCTGGGACGCTGAGTCGCTTCTTTAGGCTTAACAGCATCAGGGCATCCAGTCGGAGTCTACTTAGACTTAAGAGCATCCTGCATCAGCTCTGACAGAGTCTAACTTAACCAGCTTCGAGCCTTCTGAGCGCGGTCTCACGTCTGCAATTGGGCTTCGAAAGCGCTTCCAAGGAGAGCCGCAGGTCATGTCAGGACACAGCTCGTGTGTCAATATGAGCATTTCAATGCGGGTTGGTCTCTGGAGCACTAGCCAACCTTCTGTTCAATAACGCAGCTGAACAATACTCAATACCCCTCACTGTCAAGTATGCACTCATATATACTCCTTGCCTTTGTTGGCTAGCGCATTCGAGGTCATGTTCAATTGCCAATCTGTACTTTGCAGCCAGGCAGAGTTCAGGGCGCTTCAGCACCATGCTTTGTACATGTCGGAGCTCAGACTCGCTGTCCTGGCACTTCGCGCAAGGTGAGCTCTGGCTCGACAGTCTAAAGGCTTTGAGGAGCTGAAGCGACTGTAACCTGGTGCAATTGGACTGATTGTTATTGCTTTTGCTTTGGCTCGTTTGCTTTGGTTCGGTGTCAAGCGTGAACATACAGCCTCTTACACAGCTCAGCTGATGGTACTGGTCCGCTTTGTAATCTACCTGCACCAAACGACTCGCGATGTCGGACACAAGCATTGGGCAGGACTGTCCTCAGTTTGATTTCCAGCCGACAAAGGCGCCCTGGCAGGTAATCATCTCTCATGAAAAATAGTGGCTCCAAGGCGACTCTGAATGGCATCCAGTCGCCTGTTTACTTGTTGGCGCCACACGCGCAGCCTGAACGAAAAGAGAAGAAACAAAATCGACAGAATCTATGGTTTCATTGGACTCCGAAAGTTTTGCAGCTTTGCATGTCTCAGGACTTCCACTCCATCCACAATTGAGGGCATGTAGCGTCGTCGGCCTCTAATGCGGCTGCAGCCGGGGCATTCTGAGCGCGCTCATGCGCTTCCTGCGAAGGTCGCCATGCCTGATTCCACACACAGACTGATCGATGAGTACCTCGCTGAACTCAGCAGCTACGCTACGTGCTGTGATCGTGAGAATGATTCGAGGCGCCCAAATTTATCCTGCAGATTTTCCGCTTCTACTGCAGGACCTTGCTTCCAAAGCTTGCGCGTGAGGTGTTTGCAATCCCTTGAGAATCCAACGTCTGGCCAAGAACGTGGCCGCTGTGCCATGCTAAGACCAGCACATGCCCAGAGGGGTCCACACGTCTGCTTCCAGGCATGACCTCGACGGGCAGCAGACGTCTTATGGGCTCAGGGCAGCTGCTTATCATGCTTCTGAGGAGATCCAAGGAGATCACCCCCATGTCATTTAGTGGCACCCGCTGCGGATGAGCAGCCTCGCATTTGGGAGCACCCACTCGCTACCATCCTCGATACCTCACCTTCACCTGCACTGTCACAAAGCCAGGTCAGAAGAGCTGACGGGACGCCTTTTCAACTGCGTCAAGTTGAGAAGCCATCAAACAGCGACAAAACTAGAGCGATCCACTTCTGGGCCACATCTGCTTGACAACAGTTTGCTCAAGAGTTTCTATGCCAACTGCCCGCAGTCGGCGATGACGACAGGCTTGGCGGTCTTGCCGGACTGGGATCCCACTTGCTCGATCTTCTTCACGACGTCAAAACCCTCCGTCACGCTGCCAAAGACCACGTGCTTGCCGTCCAACCACTGCGTCTTCACTGTGCACAAGAAGAACTGCGAGCCATTGGTATTGGGACCAGCATTGGCCATGGACAAGATGCCAGGGCCCGTGTGCTTCAGGGTGAAGTTCTCATCAGCGAATTTAGAGCCATAGATGGACTCGCCGCCAGTCCCGTTGCCAGCTGTGAAATCGCCACCCTGGCACATGAAGTCCGGGATCACGCGGTGGAACGCGCTGCCCTTGAAATGAAGAGGTTTTCCCGACTTTCCCGTGCCCTTCTCGCCCGTGCACAGAGCGCGGAAGTTCTCGGCGGTCTTCGGGGCCACATCTGAGCGGAGCTCCATGGTGATACGACCGGCAGCTGAGCCACCGATGGTCATGTCCTAGACTCAGACTCAGGGGGCGGTGTACACAACCTGTGCCTTTGCCTTTTACGTCACGCAAAAAAGCTAACTGTTAACTGAGATCAACTGAGCTTCTGACGAAAAACACCTTTGGGTTTGACATGGCGTGGCTTGGATGGCAGGGCTTGGGACAGCTTGCTGGCGGTTGCTTGAGAACCCTGGCTTCGGGACGATGGCAGGTCATTCTGGGCTTGAAGAACCATGTACGTCTGCCACCGCAGTGCACAGGACTGCACATGCTTCAGGTCTTCCCTGCTCACGTCGTGTGTCATGACAATGCAAAACAAAGGCTGGTTTTGTCGAGTTGAAATCAACCCCATGTGATTCACCAAAAGTCATCTGCTTCTGGTCTCATCGCTGTCTACACAAAAGAATCCGGTCAACTCGGGAGGTGGTCCTCCAGTTCAAAAAGTCGACCGCAAAGCTTCACGGGTCCACGCTCTATCATGATTCATGATGATCAGAGCTGCCCGCAGTCGGCAATAACGACAGGCTTGGAGGTCTTGCCGGACTGGGATCCCACTTCCTCGATCTTCTTCACGACGTCAAAACCCTCCGTCACGCTGCCAAAGACCACGTGCTTGCCGTCCAACCACTGCGTCTTCACTGTGCACAAGAAGAACTGCGAGCCATTGGTATTGGGACCAGCATTGGCCATGGACAAGATGCCAGGGCCCGTGTGCTTCAGGGTGAAGTTCTCATCAGCGAATTTAGAGCCATAGATGGACTCGCCGCCAGTCCCGTTGCCAGCTGTGAAATCGCCACCCTGGCACATGAAGTCCGGGATCACGCGGTGGAACGCGCTGCCCTTGAAATGCAGAGCTTTTCCCGACTTTCCCGTGCCCTTCTCGCCCGTGCACAGAGCGCGGAAGTTCTCGGCGGTCTTCGGGGCCACATCTGAGCGGAGCTCCATGGTGATACGACCGGCAGCTGAGCCACCGATGGTCATGTCCTAGACTCAGACTCAGGGGGCGGTGTACACAACCTGTGCCTTTGCCTTTTACGTCACGCAAAAAAGCTAACTGTTAACTGAGATCAACTGAGCTTCTGACGAAAAACACCTTTGGGTTTGACATGGCGTGGCTTGGATGGCAGGGCTTGGGACAGCTTGCTGGCGGTTGCTTGAGAACCCTGGCTTCGGGACGATGGCAGGTCATTCTGGGCTTGAAGAACCATGTACGTCTGCCACCGCAGTGCAAAGGACTGCACATGCTTCAGGTCTTCCCTGCTCACGTCGTGTGTCATGACAATGCAAAACAAAGGCTGGTTTTGTCGAGTTGAAATCAACCCCATGTGATTCACCAAAAGTCATCTGCTTCTGGTCTCATCGCTGTCTACACAAAAGAATCCGGTCAACTCGGGAGGTCGTCCTCCAGTTCAAAAAGTCGACCGCAAAGCTTCACGGGTCCACGCTCTATCATGATTCATGATGATCAGAGCTGCCCGCAGTCGGCGATGACGACAGGCTTGGAGGTCTTGCCGGACTGGGATCCCACTTCCTCGATCTTCTTCACGACGTCAAAACCCTCCGTCACGCTGCCAAAGACCACGTGCTTGCCGTCCAACCACTGCGTCTTCACTGTGCACAAGAAGAACTGCGAGCCATTGGTATTGGGACCAGCATTCGCCATGGACAAGATGCCAGGGCCCGTGTGCTTCAGGGTGAAGTTCTCATCAGCGAATTTAGAGCCATAGATGGACTCGCCGCCAGTCCCGTTGCCAGCTGTGAAATCGCCACCCTGGCACATGAAGTCCGGGATCACACGGTGGAACGCGCTGCCCTTGAAATGCAGAGCTTTTCCAGACGTTCCCGTGCCCTTCTCGCCCGTGCACAGGGCGCGGAAGTTCTCGGCGGTCTTCGGGGCCACATCTGAGCGGAGCTCCATGGTGATACGACCGGCAGCTGAGCCACCGATGGTCATGTCCTAGACTCAGACTCAGGGGGCGGTGTACACAACCTGTGCCTTTGCCTTTTACGTCACGCAAAAAAGCTAACTGTTAACTGAGATCAACTGAGCTTCTGACGAAAAACACCTTTGGGTTTGACATGGCGTGGCTTGGATGGCAGGGCTTGGGACAGCTTGCTGGCGGTTGCTTGAGAACCCTGGCTTCGGGACGATGGCAGGTCATTCTGGGCTTGAAGAACCATGTACGTCTGCCACCGCAGTGCACAGGACTGCACATGCTTCAGGTCTTCCCTGCTCACGTCGTGTGTCATGACAATGCAAAACAAAGGCTGGTTTTGTCGAGTTGAAATCAACCCCATGTGATTCACCAAAAGTCATCTGCTTCTGGTCTCATCGCTGTCTACACAAAAGAATCCGGTCAACTCGGGAGGTCGTCCTCCAGTTCAAAAAGTCGACCGCAAAGCTTCACGGGTCCACGCTCTATCATGATTCATGATGATCAGAGCTGCCCGCAGTCGGCGATGACGACAGGCTTGGAGGTCTTGCCGGACTGGGATCCCACTTCCTCGATCTTCTTCACGACGTCAAAACCCTCCGTCACGCTGCCAAAGACCACGTGCTTGCCGTCCAACCACTGCGTCTTCACTGTGCACAAGAAGAACTGCGAGCCATTGGTATTGGGACCAGCATTGGCCATGGACAAGATGCCAGGGCCCGTGTGCTTCAGGGTGAAGTTCTCATCAGCGAATTTAGAGCCATAGATGGACTCGCCGCCAGTCCCGTTGCCAGCTGTGAAATCGCCACCCTGGCACATGAAGTCCGGGATCACACGGTGGAACGCGCTGCCCTTGAAATGCAGAGCTTTTCCAGACGTTCCCGTGCCCTTCTCGCCCGTGCACAGGGCGCGGAAGTTCTCGGCGGTCTTCGGGGCCACATCTGAGCGGAGCTCCATGGTGATACGACCGGCAGCTGAGCCACCGATGGTCATGTCCTAGACTCAGACTCAGGGGGCGGTGTACACAACCTGTGCCTTTGCCTTTTACGTCACGCAAAAAAGCTAACTGTTAACTGAGATCAACTGAGCTTCTGACGAAAAACACCTTTGGGTTTGACATGGCGTGGCTTGGATGGCAGGGCTTGGGACAGCTTGCTGGCGGTTGCTTGAGAACCCTGGCTTCGGGACGATGGCAGGTCATTCTGGGCTTGAAGAACCATGTACGTCTGCCACCGCAGTGCACAGGACTGCACATGCTTCAGGTCTTCCCTGCTCACGTCGTGTGTCATGACAATGCAAAACAAAGGCTGGTTTTGTCGAGTTGAAATCAACCCCATGTGATTCACCAAAAGTCATCTGCTTCTGGTCTCATCGCTGTCTACACAAAAGAATCCGGTCAACTCGGGAGGTCGTCCTCCAGTTCAAAAAGTCGACCGCAAAGCTTCACGGGTCCACGCTCTATCATGATTCATGATGATCAGAGCTGCCCGCAGTCGGCGATGACGACAGGCTTGGAGGTCTTGCCGGACTGGGATCCCACTTCCTCGATCTTCTTCACGACGTCAAAACCCTCCGTCACGCTGCCAAAGACCACGTGCTTGCCGTCCAACCACTGCGTCTTCACTGTGCACAAGAAGAACTGCGAGCCATTGGTATTGGGACCAGCATTCGCCATGGACAAGATGCCAGGGCCCGTGTGCTTCAGGGTGAAGTTCTCATCAGCGAATTTAGAGCCATAGATGGACTCGCCGCCAGTCCCGTTGCCAGCTGTGAAATCGCCACCCTGGCACATGAAGTCCGGGATCACACGGTGGAACGCGCTGCCCTTGAAATGCAGAGCTTTTCCAGACGTTCCCGTGCCCTTCTCGCCCGTGCACAGGGCGCGGAAGTTCTCGGCGGTCTTCGGGGCCACATCTGAGCGGAGCTCCATGGTGATACGACCGGCAGCTGAGCCACCGATGGTCATGTCCTAGACTCAGGGGGCGGTGTACACAACCTGTGCCTTTGCCTTTTACGTCACGCAAAAAAGCTAACTGTTAACTGAGATCAACTGAGCTTCTGACGAAATACACCTTTGGGTTTGACATGGCGTGGCTTGGATGGCAGGGCTTGGGACAGCTTGCTGGCGGTTGCTTGAGAACTCTGCCACGTTGTTCCGGTTCTCTTGCAGCCACGCAAACTGATTTGCTGTCATCGTGACACAACACATGGAAGACATGACAAGGCTGGGAGGCAGGCCGGCAGGGCATGTGAAGACAGATTTTGGCTTTTGTGCATTTTGGCCTGGCACGGCTCCAACCCATCACAAAGATTAGCATACTGTCTGGCTCGAAGCGAAACTCAGAACTGCCTGGGATCTGGCTTCTGCTCTTTCCTGGGCACTCTGCGAACAAGGATGGAAAACATGCCACAGCATTGACTGGAATTGGCATTGACCTTCACAGCCCCTGCGCTTGGCGCAAGGCTGGCTGCAACACGCGCATGTCCTCCATCGGCGCAAGTTGGGCGATTTTGGGTACGGGCCGAGGCCTGACAAAGCGCAAAAGCGGCGACAGCAGCAAAAGGACTCTGGCCTCACCGCGCTCCAAGACTTCAAGACCCTGGCCCGGCGATTTCGGATCTGTGAATCTCACCTGTCACACTGCGACGCACTGCAATTCAGAGTGAGCCTCAGCACACCGAGACTGCCTGGCTTCAACTTCATCAGCTCTTTCCCTACCTGATTGCACAGGTGTCGCGACACATATGCATCTGGCGTGTCAATGTCAGCTCGGTGCAACATCTGAAGAGAATCATCTGCCTCGTCCATGTGCTTTGCATTTGCAAAACCATTGCCTGAGTCTTTGATTATAAGACTTACATCGTTCACAACCGATCCTGCCATCGACATTTGAGAACTACACTGTACAAGGCGTCAAAGCTGGAGCTTTCAAATTCCGAAAAACTGACGCCATTCATCCTGCAAACATCAGCAAGGAACACACATCGCAACAAGTGTGAACAGTGTGCCCGCTCCTCTCCAACTCTGCGGCATTCGCCCCCGCTCGCAATCCGAAAGCTCTGGTCTCAAACAATGCAAACACTGCTGTGCAATGAACACCCTGCAGGAGAAACGTATGTACAAACAGCGACCGTTCGCCTCATGCAATGAGCCCTTGCACAACACGCCAAACAGACGGTGGACAAAGCAAAACAGAAAACACAATAACATCGTACATATTCATACAGAACCAATTGCAGTCCCACAAGGCAGGTGTTCAGCCATCGTTGTCTTTGGTGTGATGCCTTGGGTACTTGGCGTCATTTGTGTTGGGATTGTGAGGCCAGCCCTTTGGTTAGTGTTCGGCCGGCGATTCCACGATGCCCCCTCCTTGTTCGTCTGGGGCGGGGAACCAAGAAGGAGTCGGACAGTGTCCTGCCCTATCACGCCCAGGTACAATCATACCTTTGGCGGAAACGGTGGGACGGATAGTTTGGTTGTGCAGGTTGTATTTGTTGGTTGAGCAAGCTTGTTTTGAAACATGCTGGCTGCCTGCATGGCCATTACAAGTTCTAAAAAATGACATTCAATTCCACGTTCACTTACGCGGAACAACCTCGAGCATCATTGTCCTGCAAGACCACACCAACATGTGCATGCAAGAACCTCTTTCGCGTGCACGTGCCAAACATGTGGTGTGCTTCGACATCAGGACAGGGGCGTGAACACAGCAGGGAGGGATACGATTACTTCGCGCCGCTGTCGAATCAAAACAAATAGCAGCCGAGGACAAACCCAAGAGGCGTTCAGCGGATGCGAAACGGTCGGATACGAACCCTGTCGTCAGGCTCAAAAGTCCAACACGCCCGAGGGAACGAAAGCCACCAAGCAAGCATGAAGCAACAGCTCCTCTTCAGCAACACGTGCACCAGCGCCTCTTCTTGACAAGGTTTTGCCATCCGATCCGGTCCGAAGCTAACTTACGAACCGGCAGGGGGGTAGCCGGAAGCACCACGCATGCAACCCAGAAAAAAGAAACCCGGAAGTCAGTTGAACCCAAAGGCTTGAAGGAAACTTTTTTACTTTGTGGAAGCCCCGACCCTATCTGCCTTTAAAATACCATTCATGTAGAATGAACAGCCTGGATATGTTGTATGTCCTACATTGGTCTTGAGGTTTCTAGAGGATTGGGAGCCAAATATTGAATTGTTACCGTGTCCTGGTTTGAAGTCTGCGCAAAGCCCAGCGCTTCCTTGTGTTACATGACCTCGCAATGACTCTTATTTGGCTGTGCGGTTCGAGATAACACAAACTCTTGCTACAACGCTGCAAAAAATCGAATGTTCTGAGGTACTCGGGTGTTGTGCACCCTCCTGGGCTGCCAAAACATGCCGGGGGAGGTAAGTCACAAAACATAGCCACCAGCGCGCAAGTCACGCGTGTACCACAAGCTCCCAATGCACATGCTTTGCTTTGGGCACCATGGTCGCGTGTTGACGGTCTTCCGTTCGTCATCCAATCCGACTGGAATGACTTGATTGTAACAATGCTAGCATGTACGGCTTGCTTCTTTGTAAGGCAACGGCCGCCCCGTGTACCAGAGCAACTTCCCCCCAGCCAATGCATCTGTCGTGTGTGTTGGCAGAGGCGATCGCCTGAGTACACTGGCTTGCGGCGCCTGCCACAACCGCCACCGGGATGCTGCAACAGACGGAGCAGCTTCCACGTCGGGCAGTACGGCCACTCCGTTGCAGGGCTGTCTGTAAGCTCGGCCGGCGACTTGAAAAACCGAGCAGGGGCAGTGCACTTACGCACGTGTCGCATGCTTAAGTCTCTCAGCAAGCACGTTATTCCCAATCTTGTCAAAGCGCGGAGACTCTGCAACCGTGCAGCCTCTGCGGCACGCACGACCAAATCACCGCGAACCTCTGAGTCGGATATTGCAAATGCTTGGGCAAGGACCATGTCACGTCACGCGACATGACATTTGCACAGTTCACCAAGGTGAAGGATACAAGGGGCTAGGTTAACTCACATCTTTGTGTGTGTGAAATCACATCTCCCAAGTGACACGCGGCTGCAAGCGAAGTCACATCACCCAGCGTAAAGTCGCATCACAGAGACATACGTTGAAGCTTCTCCCCCAATGTGCTAGCGGGACGGAGAACAGGGGCCCGGATCAGTCACAACACCGGAGCCTGGATCGTCACTAAAGCGGCCCTGGATCGCGCCAGAAAATGCGGTTTGGGGTCACGGGGGCCGTGACCATACCGTGCCCAACCCCACCTGCCAAACCCCCACACCCCCCAAACTATACCATACCGTACCGCGCCAAACACCCTACCATACCATGCCAAACCCCCCCCCAACCATACCGTGCCGCACCGTGCCAAACCTCCCCCTCCAAACCATACCGTACCACACCGTGCCAACCCTCCCCCCCAAACAATACCGTCCCGGTGCCAAAACCCCCCCCCACCCAACCATACCGAACCGTACCGCGCCACACCCCCAAAAACCCCAAACCCTAAAATCCCTAAACCCCTAAAAGCCTTGAAAAAACTATAAATCCTAAACCCTAAAAATACACCCTAAACCCCAAAACCCTAAGCCCCAAAACCCCGAAACCCTAAAAACCCTAAACGCTCAAAACACCCTAAACCCTAAAAAAACCTAAACCCTTAAAAACCCTTACAAACCCCAAAGGCCCTGAACTCTAAGAATACCCAAGGCCTAAAAACCCTAAACCCTCAAAAACCTAAACCCTACAGCCTAAAAACCCTACACCGTGCCAACCGCCCCCTCCAACATACCGTACCACACCGTGCCAACCCTCCCCCCCAAACCATACCGTACCACACCGCGCCACCAACCCCCCCCCCACCCGACCAACCGTACCGTACCACGCCAAACCCACCCTCCCCCCCAAACCATACCGTACCGCACCGCGCCACACCCCCCCAAAACTCTAAACCCAAAAACCCTTAACCCCTAAGAGCCCCTAAAACCCTAAACACCCTAAACCCCAAAAAAACACACCCTAAACCCCAAAACCCTAAGCCCAAAACCTCGAAACCCTAAAAACCTCAAACACCCTAAACACCCTAAACACCCTAAACACCCTAAACACCCTAAACACCCTAAACACCCTAAACACCCTAAACCCTAAAAAACCTAAACCCTAAAAACCCTAAACCCGAAACCCTAAACCCTAGACAACACTAAACCCTAAACCCTAAAAGACCTAAAAGACCCTAAACCCTACAAAGCCCTTAAAAACCCCGAACCCTAAAAATACCCAAGCCCCAAAACCCTAACACTCAAAAACCTAAACCCTACAGCCTAAAAACCTTAAAACGCCACACTCTAAATTTAAAACCCCAAACCCTGAAACACACGAAGCCCTAAAAACCCTTAAACCCTAAAACCCCTAAACCATAAAACCAAACCTTAAAAACCCTGAAAACCGTAAACCCTAAAAAACCCTAAGAATCCGCAAAACTCTAAAAACCCTCAACGCCCTAAACACCCTAAACACCCTAAACACCCACACCCCAAAATGACTAAAACCTGAAAACCCTGAACCCTCAAAAGACCCTAAACCCTAAAAACCCTAAAATCTAAAAACCCTGGACCCTAAAAAAAAAAAAAAAACTCAACACCCTAAACCCGAAACGCCCTAAACCCTAGAAACCCTAAACCCTAAAAACCCTAAACCCTGAACCCGAAACCCTACAAACCCTAAACCCTAACAACCCTAACAACCCCAACAACCCTAAAAACCCTTCAACCCTGCCCCCGCTGTGACCTGCCCGGACACTCTTGTGACGTGATCCTCTCCAACTCTGCGGCATTCGCCCCCGCTCGCAATCCGAAAGCTCTGGTCTCAAACAATGCAAACACTGCTTTTCAATGAACACCCTGCAGGAGAAACGTATGTACAAACAGCGACCGTTCGCCTCATGCAATGAGCCCTTGCACAACACGCCAAACAGACGGTGGACAAAGCAAAACAGAAAACACAATAACATCGTACAGTCCCACTTGGTTTCGTGAAAGGCAAGTGTTCAGCGATCGTTGTCTTTGGTGTGATGCCTTGGGTACTTGGCGTCATTTGTGTTGGGATTGTGAGGCCAGCCCTTTGGTTAGTGTTCGGCCGGCGATTCCACGATGCCCCCTCCTTGTTCGTCTGGGGCGGGGAACCAAGAAGGAGTCGGACAGTGTCCTGCCCTATCACGCCCAGGTACAATCATACCTTTGGCGGAAACGGTGGGACGGATAGTTTGGTTGTGCAGGTTGTATTTGTTGGTTGAGCAAGCTTGTTTTGAAACATGCTGGCTGCCTGCATGGCCATTACAAGTTCTAAAAAATGACATTCAATTCCACGTTCACTTACGCGGAACAACCTCGAGCATCATTGTCCTGCAAGACCACACCAACATGTGCATGCAAGAACCTCTTTCGCGTGCACGTGCCAAACATGTGGTGTGCTTCGACATCAGGACAGGGGCGTGAACACAGCAGGGAGGGATACGATTACTTCGCGCCGCTGTCGAATCAAAACAAATAGCAGCCGAGGACAAACCCAAGAGGCGTTCAGCGGATGCGAAACGGTCGGATACGAACCCTGTCGTCAGGCTCAAAAGTCCAACGCCCGAGGGAACGAAAGCCACCAAACAAGCATGAAGCAACAGCTGCACCAGCTCCTCTTCAGCAACACGTGCACCAGCTCCTCTTCTTGACAAGGTCTTGCCATCCGATCCGGTCCGAAGCTACCTTACGAACCAGCAGGTGGGGTAGTCGGAAGCACCACGCATGCAACCCAGAAAAGAGAAACCCGGAAGTCAGTTGAACCCATAAGCTTGAAGGAAACTTTTTTACTCTGTGGAAGCCCCGACCCTATATGCCTTTAAAATACCATTCATGTAGAATGAACAGCTTGGATATGTTGTTTGTCCTACACTGGTCTTGAGGTTTC